TGGTTGACACCATTCAATGCTGGAGTGAAAGATTGCCCATAATATCTGTGTGAACCTGAGATGTGAACTCTCGCTTGTAAATAACTACAGACCAGTAATGCAAGTATAGTCTGTATGTACAACAATACACGATGCAGGCACAACCGTGAAAATAAATAATGCAAAGGACCTCAATGTAAAACCATTCTAGGTTGTAGCCAAAACATAAATGGAGATTGGACAAAAAATCCTCAATCCATTTAATGCATAGATCTCAAAAGATTCCAAATTCGAATTCTCATAATTCATGTTATTATCGCATAAATAAAAGGCCACGTATAGCTCCAGCGAAAGTATAACTCCCAACTGATGTGACTTGTGCCAAGTTTTAATATCCAGCAAACAATAACTTAGCCAATCACGTGTGCCCGATATGAACCACACTCGACCCTTTATCGGTCAGGTCATTGTTGTTTTACGATTATTTATCTATCAGCCGGCAGTTCTGTGGCGATTTTTATACTTTGGCGCCGGGTGGGTCGCAACAGGTTATGTTTTATATATGATAAATATTGAAAATTGTTACATTCTCTCAAATTAATGATTTATTTACCTTGTAATATAAATTATTACAAGATTACCGTTTTAAATGTAAAACGTATCTCCTTTGTTAATTAACCCGCTGAGTTTAGAAATTTGCAATTCTGAATTTAAATATCTGGAATTATAGGATTATTTAATTGTAATGATCCCTCTAATAATGACGTCCCAACCATAATCTAAAGTCTCAACGATCGTTGTTGACACTTGATGGAACTTCGAATTTTTTTATCATTACATAAAGACACTATTCTACAATTTTACAATTGTGAAATAGTGGAATAGTACAAATCTTTTTTACAATAATTACAACTTATTATTATTGTTATCTAAGGATTGCTGGATAATTCTTTTTAACGATTTAATAACAACTGTGGTACAATAAAAACGTATCTAAACAAGGCACGTGGGGCTATCGTTGTACAAATATTATAAACTATCGCAAACTTAAGACTGTAACATTTTCAGAGCATGCTACGTTCATTACTATGAGTATCTCTGTAATTATAGATAAGACGAGCTCATGTCAAGGATAATATTAGTATAGTAATAATATTGGGTCTTGCGATTTAGATAATGTCAGTGAATTTATTAAAATTTTTGCAAAAATATTATGAAACACCAAAGAGAGGTATTTTTATGGATAAATGCGCAATGACAACCTACACTGTGTTAATAAATTATCGTTAGGGAATCAGTGAGGAATGATAAGTAAGGATGAAACCAGGTTAGTCGGCCCACCGTGACGAATTCATCATAATTGCTTTTACGGGGGCCGTGAGAAGGATTAAAAAAAGGCCTGACAGATCACACATATATTGTTAGAGAGTAGTTGAAAGATGATAAGTGAGAATGAAACAGGTCAGTTGGCCCATAGTGACAAAGTCATAAAGAATTAACCAAAATGGTATCCAGGGTAACCGCTTGGAGGTAGACTTAATGGGGTACATTGCTAATAAAGGGGCTATTAGATTCATATTACTAACAATCCCCCCCCCCCCTCACTCTAAACAGATAATTTGGCTAATCGTAACAAATTCATGAGGAATTAACCACGGTGCTTTCTAGAGTAGACGTCACAAGGTATATTGTTAGCAATAGGGTTTACTAGAGGGAGTAGCTCTCATTGTTAACAATCCCTCTCTCGAAAAAGAGGCTAACTACATCATGCCAATCAGAGAAGGCGTGCTAAACAAATACGTTACGCGAGATAAACCTGAAGACCCTACCTAAGAGGTCTACGGTATCATTTGACTGTAATGAGGTGATTAAAGAGATAAAAAAGGTGAACGAGGCCGGGCCAAATGGGCCAATTCTATTAATGAACGTCGAGAAAAAAAAAAACACCCAGAGATAAAGGGCGAATGGACTGTTTAGCTTTTAAATTAAAAAGTGTAAGTTATACTAAGTCTATTTATTCATTTCAGGCGTTAACTGTCCTCTGCTGAACATAAGCCTTCCCCAAAAGAGAAGTTTTTGCCAGAAGTTGCCATGCTTAGCAGGCGGGTTGGCAACCACACTTAGGCTTTTGATAATGAAAATGTTTTAAGAGAAACGTTGCTGCCCTTTCCCCTACTATTAAGTTCCTTTAAACGCCTCTTACAACACCCACAAGATAAGGAAGATCGACCTCCACACGATGCGATCCCCTTGGGAACTGTCATGGTTGTTAGTTAATTCCTGGTGAAATTGTCATAATGGGCCAAAAGCCCTGTCTTTACAATCATATATTTTATTATTCCACGCATAGACAGAATATTCGTTTTACAATTCGAACATTCGCAGAAGAAAAGTGTTAAATATAAATCTTCTTACTTAAATCGTATATAAATAGATTATGTTCTACGAGAAAAACACTGGCCTCCAGTTATTTTGATTTAGAAACTAAACTACTCAATAGATTTCATTTATGTGCAAGGATAATGTATTTTTTTACATAGATGTAAATCATCTTATATATACTCGTGTCATTTATTTATAAAAACGTCAAATCTTTCTTCCTCTCATAAAGCAAAAATTTTTTTTTATTTTTTCAAATATTTTGTCATAATATATATATATATATATATATATATATATATATATATATATATATATATATATATATATATATATATATATATATTACGCACTAAAACATACAGTAACAACAATAAGTTAATAAATTTGTAGATTTGAATTAGTGACAAAACAGAATAAATACTTAGATTTGTAGAAAAGGTTTTAGTTTTTATAAATAAGGATGTTGAATATAAATCGTCATAGTCGTAGAATACTGACGGATCTTTAATGTAATCTTTGTCAGATCCGTCAGTGTAGAATACTATGACGAAATGTCAGATATATTTTTTTAACCTATCTGTGGAATATAACCGAGTCACGTTAATCCTGTGCTAAGTTAGAGCCGTTGCCATTTACATTAGGTGCTAATTGTAACTTTTATTACTTACGCAGAATTATGAATAATTAGTATGAGACAATGTTTTCTCATCATTTATTTAGATTAATTATGAGGGTTATTAAGCATTAAATAGATATCATTTAATTATTATCTATGTCAAGTTTGCAGTCTCAAGGTGATGATTATTTTATATAATTGTTTATTTCACTTATATTTGTAATGTGGGGATGCAATAAAACATGGATGCATGAATATAAGTGTACCTATGTTCACCAAACTTTCATTCAGACACGTCCTTAACTGTACGTAAATATTTGCTATAATCGCTGTTGAATTTTTCGAGATCGCTTCGTAAGTACAGATGGGCGAGCCCTGCAATATTTATAAGCTGAGTTTATTTACTCAGGCTCGAGTAAATAATCAGTGCCAATGAGTAAATACTCAGTAGACAAATAATTAACACTGATTAATTTCTACTAGATTTACTCAGCCTCGGATAAATCCTTTCTAATATTATATATGTGAAAGTGATTTTGTTTGTTTGACACCTTATAGCGGCTGAACAGCTTATCCAATCGCTATGAAATTTAATACACACGTAATGCATGGGATGAAGAAGGATTGCTACAATATATCCAACCTGTAAACATAACCTGATCACGCGGTTGCGAGAAACTAAATAGATTCATAAAAAAATGATGAATTCATCAATAGATAATGAGTAAATCTGGCATGTTTTCATCCATCATTGATCAAGTATGCTGGTGTCCGCCATGAAATGAAAATCCCATTTTAGCGCAGGCGTATTTTTGGTTACCTAATTCCATTTTCATTCAGTAAAAAAAAACGTTTGATCATCAGACAAAGTATCCGAGGAACGATATTTTAATAAATACTCAGTTAATTATGTAAATTGTAACATATAAACAGTGCTTATCCATCGAAAATATTTCGTAAGTAGGCCCTCTGATTTCTGTTTTTATTTACTTTTTATTTTTAATATTACATCTGGAATCAACAGTTTATATCTAGAATTAAAGTATATTATATTTATACCATACATTAGTTGTTGTTTATAAAAAGTGACAGTTTGCCAACCGCTGGCCGTTAGCTTTGCTTTTATTCTATCCTGTTAATAATCATAAATGTAAAAGATTGTAAAGAGGGATGTTTGTTACTCTTTCATGTAAAAACTACTGAACGGATTTGATACAAATTTGGTACACGGGTAGATTACATTCCAACTGAGCATATTGAATACGTACCAATTCACGTGGGCAACGCTGCGGAATACAGCTAGTATAACACACATCTACCCGCTACTCCATTCCTAAATTTTCCCGTCAATACGCTAGAGCTTTGTGGCTTCTTAACAACTTGCTTTAGTAAGGCTTTGCGTTAAAAATTTACAATCTATTTTTTAACCGCTTGCTGGCGGACAATTGTGTTGAAATTTAGCATCGTATTGTTAATAAACTACACGTGTGGTACCCAGTCTTACGATAAGGATAACAATAGCTTTTTTTTTTTTAAATGTGTTTTGACTTGTTTTATGTTAAATTAGTTGCTAATTTTAGAACATAAGTTCTTGGAAATACTAGTTATAGGGTACGCTTTATTCCCGTGATTTAAAAAACATAATATTTTCCACAGATAATTCTAGAATTTTCATAAAAATAACAATCAAGACTTACACTGGCGTACGGGTTTTACTCTTCTAAATTTAGTATCCTTCCCATACTTTTTTTAATATAAAATTATTGTTTAAACTAACAAAAACCACGGTATTGTCAGTATTTATTCATTTAGTTTTTTTTTTTTTTCACTAACTTGAGATATTTTATCGAAATTAAAAGGACACCAATAGAAAAACATGAAACTGATTGGTTCTTTTTATGCAAATGTGTCTATTTTTAAATTATATCAAGCCCACTTTTGTAAAACATAATATAACGCTTATATACAAATTTTATCTGACATAAAATACTATTGTTTAGGCAGGTACATAAATAAATACATATAATTACTACTCACGTTTCAAAAACGTATTTATTCAGTTATATTTGCAACACAAAAAAAAAGGTCGTACATAAAGCAAACACACTAAAATATTGACAGAAACAACTAAACAAATGTGCATATAGTTCAAAATGATGTTTCATTAGCATCGTCGATAAAAATATTGTTTACAATTTGTTAACAAACATTTATGGTTATTCTGATTAGGTGATTATTAACAAAGGATTCTGTTTGCAACATTAGCATGGTAAATTGCCATAGCAAAAACAAAAGCAAAGACAACTCAGTCGCAAGTATGGTAATTTTTTTATAGAAGTTGCCTCTGTTATTTAAAAAAACAAATTGACACATTTTTTTATAAAAAATGCATCAACTACTTCAGAAAACAAATTAACAAATCTTTCCAAACATATTGGCATTTCACTACATTGTCAAATAATTTAAAGGAAATGGGGTTATGAAAATGATAAGATTATACCAGAGGGAGACTTTGTACAAAAGTCGATTGCTTGGGTACCTCTGTCCCATTCATGTTTCTACCGTGAAGCAGTTGTGCTTGCATGGCTGTGTTTCGGTTTGAAGAGTGGGATATGGCGTGAATTTACTGGGTACAGAGGAATAACACCCGAGTCCACAGGAATGGCAATGTATGGGGGTATCATGGGTGAAACAGTATACTCTGTTATGTCCATGGTATTGCTCATGTTTATAGGCGACGGTTACCACTTTCCACCAGGTGGGCCGTCAGCTTGTTTGCCATTCTAAATTGAATAATAAAAAAAATAAGATTATTAATAAGACGGCTAGTGTTCATCATTCCCAGAGAACTGTATGGAGAATGTTATGGTGTTGTTAATTACCATTATCTTCATTTTTTATTCGTACTTATAGTGTTTTGTCACATGAAAATTTCCATTAATAATAAATTTATGAGTAAAATGCTGTAATCTGTCCTTCTACCAATTAATTATATAAGCATGATTCCTTACATTTGTCCTATTGTAAAAGAAATGCCATAAGCTTTAGTAATTTAACAAAAATACAATTTCATTATTTATTTGGAATTTTGTATTTTCTCCAAAAGCAGTTCCAATCGTCCTGTCATAACAGGTTGTCCTTTCTTATTCTTCTTACTCAACTTCTTGAATCTATCCTGTTTCTTCTTTTTATACTCTAGAATCTTCTGGTTCCTTTCCTCCTTAGCTTTTTCTAACTCTTTTCTCTGTTGCAATTTTTCTTGCTTCATTTTGTTGTATTGTTCTTTAGCCTTTTGAAAAGAATCTTTCTTTTTTATTGGCACTTCTTTTTCTACTAAATCAGGATGTCTAACATATCTGCCCACATCTTGATTAGAATCTACTTTATCCTCATCAAAACCTTTAGGTTTGTATGAACCATTGGATGGATCATTTTTAATATCTTTATAGTAATTTCTCAATAGCTTCTTCTTCCTTTGTTCCTCCCACTGCTCTAATTTATATTTTTTACTATACTTCTTTAACCTATAAGTCTTTTTGTCAAATGGTTTCTTCTCCTCATTCTGTTTCTCCACTCCACGGTTCCTATTAAACTCTTCTTGCCTTTTCCTCTTGTATTCTTGTTTTACTTCTTTTTCATTCTTCTTTTTATTCTTGTCAGACAAGAAAAACGAGTCCCTCTTTTCCATTGCTCAATTTATACCTATAATGAAACGAAAAAGCGTGTTTTATGATAAAATAACAAAACAAACACTATAATTTGCATGCTGTGTGTAAAAAAAAAAACAAATATATAAATGTATTTAATAATACTGCTAACACGCTTTTTCATTCCCATAGGTTGTTTAATATAAAATTTGGTATTTAGCATATTATCATTATTATAAGTAAATATAATATAAATATGTATAAAACAAATTATGATATTTAATAAAATGGAAGACATATATAATGATAGAGGCTTTGGTTCAAAGTTCTCCCTGTTTATCCAAAAAAGGGCATTAAGAGAAAATAGACTATACTATTATAATTGTCAATATAAAATATAAATAGGATAAGTATAATAAAATAAAATCAAAATAATTTGTAAATTGTTGAAAGTAACAAAATAAATATGCATATAAATAAATAAATAATAAATCATACAGAGAAATTCATGTTTAATTAGTAATAAATGGCTTCCACATTATTGATAAATATGGTCAACAAACTGATATTTAATAATATTGATTCTAAACATCATTAGATGTTAATGTGCTTAGATATTATTAAATTGTCGTAATATTTTAATAAATTATTATAGCTTTGTAGAAAAGAAAATCATTAGTATCGAGATTAACAAACTATCATCAGTTAAGTTAGTAAATTATACAGAATATTAGAAACTTTTACATTTAGAGAGCACATATTGTAACCAACAAAAAAAACTATAGAGAAAAACAAATGTTTAGAATAAAACATTTACTAGTCAATAACAAGTCTAAACTGGCATTAATTCAATATGTTATGCAATATTTTTACAATTCACAACTGATTTTGATGATTCAAATTGAGAAACCAATGCAAACCAATAGGACATATCAACCCTTGCATATAGACAATAAAAGCATAATGGTACACCCCCCCCCCCCATATGTTGCTATTCCTGAGTACTTAAGTATCATGCATAACCTGTAATTTCACTGTGAAATCCTACCCTTCAAACAAAAATACAGTTATACAAGTGCAGCCACTTGAAGACAGAAATAAAAATGGAATAGAGGTATCCAACAACACAGACAACATAGTAGGTAATATTAAAAAAAATTCAAGGCATTTTTTTGCAAATTATATTGTATTAGCAGGTAAAAAGTAATGTATAATACAAGTTTTAACAAATTTCCAGCTACTAAAATGGGGGTATTTGTCCATCTAGAACAATGTGGCCTTGAATAGACCTTGAAACTTATAGGACTTAAAAAATATATACATATTCAAGAGTTGGCACCAAACTAAAATATCTACTACCAATCTCGAGTTTTTATATCATACTATCAGGGTTATCATTAGATTTCTTGACGTAACTTCGTGACATACCTAGTATATATACGAGGTGACTCAGACATTATTTGGCTTAGTTGTTAAATAACGAACTAAGTATTCAATTGTATTTAAACTCTTATACAAGTAGATAAGACTTCTGGAAATTACGTTAACATGTAAAACCTAGATGAGCAATACATGTGACAGGAAATACGCGGCGGTGAGGATTGGATTCTATAACAGCTGCTGTGAAATGTTACAAATATTGAATGAAATTGAAGATTTATGATGAATATAAGAATATTTTATGTACAAGAAACAAATTACTCACCAAGTTAAGCCACCCACTGGGTAGGCTTTGAATTATCGGCGGAATCTTGATTGTTTAGTTGCACTTGGCACAAAAAAACTTAACCACGATTATAGACTTTATTTCACGGTTTTTCGTGCGAAAAACTTTACCGACCATGCCCTAATGCGATTTTTTGAGTAATTTTCACAAGGAAACACGATGGACGTTTCGCAAAAATGTCACAAAAAGGAACGAGAATGGAAGGAAATTAACTATGCGCGTTACGCCATCTGTGCGTTGACAAATTGTCATTACCATAATCGATCTGTGAATTAGAGCATGCGCGGTAGTTCGCGGTGCTATGCAAAATTATTTATAATAATCTAATTATTTTTAACATCATAAGAAATTATAATAAATTGAACTGCAGTTATTTTATTTACAGTTATTGTATAATTTAATAAATTAAATTAAATATCATAAAGTAATAAAATAAATATTTGATCTCAGATCGTACATACTACAAAAGATATAACTTGTGTGGATTTAATATTACGGAAATTACAAAAAGAAACTGAAATATTCTCTTTCCTCTTTTTTTGCTTTTAAATATCAATATCTTTTTAGTTGCAATTTGCTATTTTCGAATTTTATTGTAAATCTGAAAGATCATGGGATATGAAAATATTAGTGATTATACAGTATTTTTTAAGGTAGTGTGATGGCTAGTTATATGAATATTAATGGACTACTTTTAGTACAACTAAGATAAAGCATTGCAAGTAAAATGCTTAAACTATGGAACACCCTACCCTTTGTCTGAAATGTCAAAAACAGTCGACAAATAGACTGACTGACATTGACAAATCATTTGCAAAAAAGTATCAATTTATTCATTCGTCTTTGTTTTTAAATTTCCTATAAATTCAAAAAACTTTAATTCTTATGTACACTCTCGAATCGCCGTTACTTCCGCAATTACGTATCAATTGTTGTTATATAGGTAGTACAATTAGAAATGTCTCAAGCACGTTTTGCCAGTTGTATTCCTTTACCTTTAGAACACAAAGTGCTTGTAAATGTGATAGAGAAAGCTAAAGACTGGGCTCTAATGCACGGGGTTGGGATGAGAGATAAGAAACATTTTACTAAAGATGCCATACAGGTATGTCATTTTACTATTATTCTGTTGTATTTACCACATTAGTAAAGGAGCCATTATTTATACATTTTATTATTAAGCAGTTTCTCATGGAATTACTTTTGTGACTTGTGTTTCTACTTATTTTTGTGATTAATACCAAATTACTTGGATTTAACATATGTTAATCTGTGGGCCATGCATGTGTGGGAATACCTTTAAGGAGACTCCCATATCTTATTAATACAGTGAACACTCGATATAAGCAACATTCTTTGTATTTTATTAATTCTACTTAGCTTAGTAATAGAAATAAATAAAAATATATTCCAGACAGTAAGTATTTTTATACTCCTTTTTCCCCTATAAGCAACTTTTCCCAATAAGAAACTTTTTATTGAAATTGGTTTAAATGAGTTGCTTATATAGTGTTCACTGTATAATAAAATTGTGACTGGGGGATGTTTGTAGGAGATATTTAAGAAAATATGGGGGGTCTTAATAAGAGTAATAGAAGCCAAAAAAATAATTTTTATAAATTATGTCTATCTGTATGTTTGTTCTAGCATATTAATCTCGCCATGAGGTTCATGTTTGGTCTTCGCAAATGTGATCATGTCTTCGTCTTATGCAACCAATTAAAGTGGCTGTCTATCAGACTTCAATTTGATATGCACATCCTTTTTTATAACATATTCAATAACTTCAATTCTCCATTGTACCTCTGCTCCTGGTTAAAATTATTGCCACCACTAGTCCATCCTAAGCACTCCTGTCAAGTTCAGTCCAGGATTCTGAAATTTTGAGGCTGAACGAAACACAAATTTGATGTTAAAGTTATATAATACATACTGTTTACAAATATTCAAAAAGTTAAAATGTCATTCGATTAGACTATTATGGCAGGATTTATCAGGAATGAAATATTAGGCTCTATTTACTAGGCCAATTTCAGTATGAATAAACATGAAATTGAACCTGAAAATTTGGAATTTTATTTCATAGTAGTTTAGTTTGGAACTTTAAATATGTTCTATGATAATTATTATTGTTTTTTTTTGTTAATAGATTGCACCATTTGTATTACTACCATCGCCATTCCCGCGAACTGAGTTCACAAAAGCTATAGAACTACAGACGGTGTTGAATGAACTCATGCATAAGGTAAGAAATAAGTTCAAAATTATTTTGTATTGTTACCCATTCTAAATTCAAATATTTTATAATTTGTCTATGTTGTATATATTGACGTGGGTGCTTTTATACTTTGTTAAATAATATAGATAGTAATCAACATGAAATTCAAGCTACACAGCATGTTTTATTTCATAATATTTAGCACATATTAGTTCAAGAAATATCTTAATATCTTGTTAATTCGTGTGTGTATTTATGATTTAAGTTGCCTTTATGTAGAGCAAAATATATTCATTTTATAGTAATTTTGTTCATGATTCTCTCACCTAATTCAGAATTGTAATTGGCAATTTTAGTTATCTGTGAATTTTTTTTTTTTATACAATTTAGAATGGCAAACAAGCTGTCGGCCCACCTGATGGAAAAACCTAACAGAATATACTGATATTATACTGTTTCACCCATGATACCCCCCATGCATTTGTCAGATGTTATATATATATATATATCTTACTGAAATACACCATGTCTTCATGATTACCGAATGAAAGCAATCGACTTTTTTACATCCTTCCTATATATATATTTAGGATTTAATAAAGAGTTATATTCAATAACTTTTTCAAAAATATTACTAAATCTTATAATAAACTACACAGGTGGCACATAATGAGGAATTCCTGGAGCACACACTACAAAATGCACTGCAAGTAGACGAGTTCACAGCAAACCTATACGACATATGGGTTAAAGTTAGAAATGAGGGCATTACACAGGTATATATAGTTTTTGTATTTTATTTAACATTTATTAAGACTTCATTAAAAATACATATATAATATAAAAAATATTGATGAATTAAAATGGCAATAGTCAAAAACAATAGTTAATTGTTTGCTACTTGTGTATCATTATTTTTGACACAACCAACTTTTTTTTTCTCTACTTATTATAATTTTATAACATTTTTTTAATGTAACTTTTTAATGGCAAATAAGCTGCTGGGCGGTAGTAACCGTTTATAGCCAAAAAGAGTGCAATGGACTCAACAGAGATATTTTTTTTTATACCACTGAGGTGGCAAACAAGCATACGACCCACCTGATGGTAAGCGGTTACCGTAGCCTATAGAATATAGAGAAGCAATAGTACTTCTTATAGATGGTACTCTATTCTGGAGACTAGGGTATCACGTCTTCAAATCCTATAATTTCATTGATATCCCATACTTTGAAATGAAATAAAACCAGCACAGCTGCTCTACGTTACAAACACGCATGTGATAGAGGTACACTTACATTATTTTGCATTTAAATTAAACTTAGTGTAATTTCTCTATTAAAAATATGCATCGGTCAGATTTATTCTTATGTTAGTATTTATTTAAACTACAACTATATTAAAACTTCATTAAAGCCCATAAATATTAGATAGTCTGAACACTGCATATACGTATCTAAAATTTAAGAAATTATATAAAAAAAAATCTTATAATTTAATATTGCAATAATAACGCTATTAATGCGCGTAATTTGAAAAAAAAAAAACAAGCTTATACCTGTTTTGTATTTTTGATTAAAAAAGGTTTGTGTAAAATTAAAAACCAAATATAGTTCATCGGATCGATGTTCATTATCATATTGTCTGGCCTTAAAATGCTCAAAAGAATCGTATTTTGATTTTTTATAAAGTTGGTTTCACGAACGAATTCCTTTTGACTGAATCAATAGTGCAATAAGCACTTAGTTTCTTTAGTAACTAGGTTTTATTTTAAATGCCACCAAGATATTGTTGACTGTTAACAATAGAACCCTGATGCCCACGTCCTGAAATAAGTGCATGTACTGAAGTGTAAAGGCTTTTGCAGGCGAGGGATAAATGCATGCTAAGTACAAAAATTTATGCAATATTAACATCAAGGACATCAGACCTTGTCATGTATCAAATAGCGAAGATAGGCCTTCCAGAACACCTTGTGACTTCGATCTTCAACAATATCTTCCTCCCCAAAGATCATTTATCTTGATTATGATCTTTGATCATAAGTATATTTAAGGGTTCTCTGTCCATCCCAAGAAAATAACCTTAAGTATCCTAATTCAGAGACTATCCCTCGTTGGCAATACCTTTAGCAGCATAAAAGGGAATTGATTCGTGAAACGCAGTATATCCAACGCGTTTCTCTCGGCTCAGCCGATATCGCTAGGCATGCTGCGCTCGGACATCATGTTGGAGTCGAGGTGTCCACACACAGAGAATCAGTGCGCCAAACACACACCGTACTGCTCGTGGAAACAGGTCGAAATCAACAGCATAGCGTCCGGGTTCGGCCATCTTGGCCCTGTTTCGAGGGACATACAGAGGTAGAGGCGGCACACGACGCTCACACGACAGTTATTTGTATATTTGTACTTAAATGACAATGGTTTAGAGTTTAGATTTGAGCGTTTAGGGTTATATAGTTCGAACTACAGAATAGAATATCAAACCTCAAGTCTGTTATATAAATATTGTTTATTTGATGTTACTATTTGTATAAAGATTGAATCGTAAGATAAAACAATTATCAAGGAGTGATAGATAAAAATATATGAAACTTGCGCTCGTAAAATAATTTTGTTTATACTTTTTGTGTTTTTCTAGAATTTGGTATTCTAGTCTATGAAGTTTAAACTTTATAAACCTAAATTTATATAGATATGATACAACATGATAAAATTTCTTCAAATAATTTCTTTTGCAATATGTGTGAAGGCCAACAGTATCTAAAACTATTTCAAATCGATAGCATTAGTAGTTACTGACATACAGCGTTGTGACAGACGAATGGACGGTCAAACAAAGTCTCACCATTATAAATTCATTCCATAATAAATCTAGAAAAAGTAGGTTAGTCTTTTTGCTATAGTTTTTATTAGGTTAAGGGCCCAGACAAATGTTTCAACAGTATAACAGTAACGTCCTTTTAACTTCGATTTGATTTCAAACCGACTGACGCAAATCAGCAGGCAATTCAATGTTGACCCGCTACTGCTATCATTTAAATTTATTCAAGCTAAGTACTATATAAATCAAAGAATTTGTTTTGTTCGACCTGCCGATGTAAAGAACTAGTCCATTAATACTACGCCTTCAGCCCGAAAGGCCTGTTGCGTGTTTGAGGCGTGTTATGTTTTTTTTATGCAACTTAGAATGGCAAACAAGATGACGGCTCATCTGATGGAAAGTGGTAACCGACGCCTATAGACATGAATTGCCATGGGTTGCCATTCCTTAGGACTAAGGTGTCATGTCTCTGTACCCTGTAAATTTACTCTTAGGTGAGTTTTTAACCCTCTTTGAGCAGTAATGTTCCATCGTCACTGACTTGACAATTCTCGTTAGATTTCTTTTCTGTTAGTCCTCTGATTTTCTGAAAACAGACTATTTTCTATAACAATACAGGCACCTACACCCAATATAAAGTTACTTTGCTCTGTAATATTATTATGTCGTATCGTACTATTCATTATAATCGATATTGTAATAAAATAATTGAGAATTAAATACTCAATACAGTAGAATCTCGATTATTCGAATTAAATAAAACAAGGGATATTCCGGATAATCGAAAATCCGGATAATAGATTTCAAAGAGTTTTACATTCATTCGTCATTTAGACAATACAATATATAAAAAAAAAAAAGTTATGAGCTATAAACGTAATGGATTACATGATACCTATGTAATTTAAAATTTTGGTTGGAAATTTTTAATCTTTGACGTAATGAATCACATCTTATCATTGCGGCAAGTCTAATGCGCTTTAGTTGTATAACTTATATGGGATTTGTCCTGTATTGTCCGGATAATCGAATATTCGGATAATGATATCCGGATAATCAAATATTCGGATAATGATGTTCAGATAATCGAAATTCTACTCAATGCTCATCATTACTTGATTGAGTTTGCTCTAATATACAAATATTTCAGTATCGATTATAGAGTTCGTCTCAAATCTATTCTCTTTGAAGGTGTGTTTTTACCAGTTATGTATGATTGGAAGACCAGATAAGATCAAAATTTTATTGTTGTAATTTAAAAGTAATATTAATTTACAATAATAAATAAAATTGAAGTAAATATTTAAAGATTTGTGAATAAGTTGTGCGTATAATAAAAATATGGGTATCTCTTAACTTTTCCAAAATATTTTGTCTTTGTTAAAAGTACAGTGATCCAATATGTCCAAGCTATATTTGGATATTTGAAATTTAAACGGGATTACGCGTTTGAAAATTTTACTGTGTAACCAATGGGACTGTTTATATTTTCTGGAGCACTCTAAAATTTTCCATGCATTTTGCTTGAATCTTGTCTGGCCTTGCATCAGCTATCGTAACTGGTGGTAACTAGCCTAAATACTAACAGTGCTATTAGATAACGCTTCTAGTGATAATCTCATTTTGTAGTGTGGATAGTTCGATTTTTTTTTATTGGTTTCACTGTGAATGAACTGATATGCCAAATGTTTTTCCATGCTTGACCTGAAATTGGGGGTATTGTTAAGCTGTTCTTTAAATCATAGTTTTTATATTATATGGGGTATTGCTTTTCAATGTAACATATATAATCTAGTTATATCTACTATAAATGTATATAATTTTATCTATTTAAGTACATTGTATGTATATTCGTTATTACAGAATTCGTCCGGATTAGGGAAAAAACAGACCAATTACCTACTATTTTGTTCCTTGATTTAATTTAAATTTGATACCGCTCCACGGCATTCTACTAAAGATATTCTCGTCATTGTAACTTTTAAACTATTTATTCAAATTACTTAATGTAAAAGAAAAAAATGTCTACTTTACATAACAAAAGCGATAAAACAATTTATTTGGATAAGGATTAATTTACAATACTATAAATACAGCATTCCATTAAAATGTTTTCTATGTCACAATTTCAATTATACTGACGTCCACATTAAAGAGATATATATATATATATATATATATATCGCGGAGTTTTTTAAAACTTTATAAAAAAGAAATAATTTCATAATATCTTTATATAAATCATACGCATGTTAATATCAATGAATCAATTTTACTGAATTAGGCCTTATTTTGCGGAAGTCCACATCACTGGTTAGTTAATTACCGCTACCATTAGCATGTGTGCGACTGCCAACATTTGAAGATTGACTGCTCTTATTGTTAGTAGTAATCAATACTCAAATGTTGGCAGCAATGAATCTAACAATATGTGTAAATAGTGACAAGCATAATAGCCGCTAGCATAATAACTCATAACATCCTTCAATAAATACCAATATTGAACGACACACTGCAAACAGACAGACAACTCGTCCCTCTTGTTTATTAATATCTGTCGGTAGGTTGATCAGTTCATTCTATAAGACTACGGCGTCAATGACGACTAAATAATGTTTAACCCTTCTTTGCATGATTTTTTTTTTATTGGCGAAATAAATCAAGGTGACATACCATAATTCATGTTCAAAATTAAAGGACAAATGGTTAAAAAAATAAATTTGACAGCTATGTTTTTTTTTTCTGCAATGGGCATTAAAAAGGTATCCAGACACGATCAACTTTGTTCAACAATGTTTCGGTTTGAAGGATGGGATATGGCGTGAATTTACTGGGTGTACCCAGTAAATTCACGCCATATGTTCCTCTGTAGAGGAATAACATCTGAGTCCTCAGGAATGGCAACGCATGGGGAGTATCATGGGCGAAACAGTATACTCTGTTATGTCCATGGTACTGCTCATGTCTATAGGCGACGGTAACCACTGTCCATCAGGTGGGCCGTCAACTTGTTTGCCATTCTAAGTTGTATAAAAAAAAAAATTAAAGTACGCTTGTTCTTTTATATAATTTTTGGGCATTCAAATTATGATGGAAATTTCCAACACTATGCAAAGAAGGATTAACTAAAACTTATTTTAATAACTGCCGTATAAATAATATAGCTACTATATATATGTATATTAAAAAAAAACTGTAATTATAATATATTAAAATATAACTTGTCAACTAAATTGTTTTTAAATAACAATACAAATAAAACGTAATTAACAATTTACTTTTTAATTATATTTTTTTCTTTTCTAGTTTTTCGACGTCGATTTTTGATAAGTTTGTACTAATTTTTTTTTACTAATATATCGAAAAGAAACTTTTTAGTATGTATTCTGAAAGAAAGGAATGGAATGTAACCTTTTTTTTTAATAAAAAAAAATATACATTATGTACCTAATGATATTTCACAGCGCAGATGGAAATACTGGATTACATATCGAAAGTGCACAAAATATTAGCTTATAGTGGAATACCCTCTCAAGAGGGGTTTTGCTAGTAGTTGCCACGCTTGGCAAGAGGGTTGACAACCGCAGTTAGGCTTTAGTGCTACAAAAAAATCTTAAAATTCCTATCACTGGCAGGAATTAGCGGCGAACTTTAAAAAAAAGGGCAAGCTGCAAAACATCATGGAATGGTCGCAGTATCACAGTTAACAGCAGTTTTTTCCTCCTGAAAAAAGCCCGTCTTCCAATAATAATAGGCTTTACCGACGTTTTATGAGTACATATTCTTAATATAATATTAATAGTAATAAATATATAATACATATACAAACTATACAATGACTAGTTAGTGACGTCAATTGAACGATGACGTCATAATGAATTGCACAATAAGTATGTTATATTTATTGCTGAATAACTGTAGAGTAGTAGTCGTTACTGATGTTTTCTATTAAAGCTTGTCAATTTATGGGCAAAACATGAAAAATATTAGGTGCTGGCTACATTTAGATATATTTTTTTTTATACAACTTAGAATGGCAACCAAGCCGACGGCCCACCTGATGTAAAGTGGTAACCGTCGCCTATAGACATGAACAGTACCATGGACATAACAGAGTATACTGTTTCGCCCCATATATATACCCCCTATGCGTTGCCATTCCTGAGGAGGTGTTATTCCTCTGTACCCAGTAAATTCACGCCATATCCCAATCTTCAAACCGAAACACAGCCATGCAAACACAACTGCTTCACGGTTGAAACACGAATGGGACAGAGGTACCCAAGCAATCGACTTTTGTACAAAGTCTCCCTCTGGTAAAATCTCAAGTACTTTTTTTTTAATTAAAACATGTTTTTTAGCACTTATTACGTACACAATTTGTATTTACATAATGTATTTTTTTATTAATAATATTAGTGAATAAAATGGTAATCATATTTTTGGTAAGGAACGGAAAGTTACTGTAAGTAAATAATATAGAATCGTTAACATAAGTTTTAAAAATAAAAACAGAATATAATCATCTGAATGTATTTATTTAAAAGTAGGTTAACAATGAGCAAAGATATTGGATAACACATAGAAAAGTTTAAGCTGCTCTTAGATATGTAATTTTTATAAAAATAATAATTAAAAACTTAAACTATAATAAACATATAGACATCATCAATTACATTATATATAAAATAAATTATGTATTTTTTTTTCAGGTTCAGAAAGTTTCTCTTAGTTATCTACAATTTGTTTTAAAGTATGTTCTATATAAATCATGGGCAATGGTTGGACAGAGTTTCACAGAATTAAATTTTCCAGTCCGTCAGCCTCGGCCTCTTCCGCTCTGACTACCTGATGCACACCGCGGACCAAAACCGTATCAAGCAAGTGGAGTTTAATACGGTCGCAGCGAGTTTTGGCGCCATCTCGTCGAACCTTCCCGCGATGTCTCGGTACCGACATGTTTGTTGCTACATGTGAGGGGCAATGACCTGGATAATTTTTTAAACTTGGCTCTATGGTTGTGGCAAAGGAGTATGGTATTGTACAGCTATTTTTTTTTTTTTTATAAAATATTATCCAGGTCTGATAGCCCCGCACTCTATAGCAGCGATGAATCAGTCGACATCTCTCATGTGACTGCTACCTACTTCTGTTTTGCACGCTACATACATCTTCCACTCGAATCATATCTCAAATGCTTTATTTCTATTTCTATGTTGTTTTTTTGTTTGTTTTATCATAGTACGCTAGCGTTGTATTATTGGCATTTAGATTGTGAAATGTATGCACTGGAATTTGGTATTATGGGCTTAGTCTTGTGTCAGATAGCAGAAAAAAAAATGTCTCTTATGATTAGAATATACTCGAGTATATTTTGATGCATGTAAACCTGGGCTTTTGAATGCATTTTGAGGCTTTTAGAACTGATCACTTGAGAGATGTTACCTGTCAACGCCTGCATTGTCGGTTCCAGAAAAAAAAACATTGTCGTTGTTGTGTTCGTGAAATTGTTGTTATTCTGTCCAATCATTGCTGGATTTGGCTTAGGGTACACATCTTTCAATTTTTTTTTTCGCTTACATACCATGCACGGTCACATCAACCATAACTCCTATGAAATAAGGTTTATAATGAACGACAAACATGCTTACTTTGTGGGTAGTTGGGTGCTTTATTTATGATATGTACACTAGATCTAATATTCCGCGTAAATAAAAATAAATAAAGAATATAGAAAAATTAGTAAAAACACTTTTTAGGTAAACTAAGTTTTAATAAATATTTATAATTTATTTATTAAACTATTCTAAATGTTTTAATTCTTCGGAAAATTTTGGTTTATTATAATTGGGGATTTATTTTGTATCTCTGGATACCTACGCGAACACCACAGCAACGCATGTTTAATACTACACTTTCACCATTATACGTGCCAAAAACCCATTAACATCCCATTGCTGAGCACGGATCTCCCAATCAGACGAGTATAGTAGTCTACTATTACCTTCTTGGCCAGGTGGCTTGGTTTAAGATCAAGTTACCTCCTCTGTCACTAGTTGATATTTCTTTCCTTAATCACCTTGCTACATCGTACAATAGGAATACCACTCGTGCTAAGGTGGCGCTCTCTAGTATCAAATTTTCTAGGCCACTTCCTTTAACTGACGACTGCTGTATTTACTTACCCTCTGAAGCACGAAACAAGTAACAACTTTACTAATATAATAAAATTGTAACTGGTCTATGACTGAATATGGGAGATATTTAAGAAAAAGAAATATTTAAAAATTCTTAATGTAAGTAGCAAATGCTAAAATTATGATTTTCGTCTGCTTGTACGTTTGTTCCGGAATAATGTAAAAACTATTACTAAATACTAAAGAGAGTGGGTTTTTCACCGCTGTTTTCCTGAATATGTCTACCTTGAAAAATGGTGTATGTTTTATTTTTAAACATTATCTAGAAGTAGTTAGCTAATTTCAAAATCCATGCGTACAAAGTTGCGGGCAAAAGCTTGTCGTTTACAAAATGTTACAATTATAAATTTGGAAAATTTAGAGGTCAAACTAATTCGGTCTGGAAATCTCCGGATCGTAGTCAAACTTCCTTTTTGATGGATAATAAAGGAATAGTAACCCTGCCGGTGCTAAAGGAATACACTGACGTGGCACCAGTGAGAGATGATAAGTGATCATGAAAAGACACGTCGGTTAGCATATAGCAATTAATCCACCTGGTATTAAGCACGATGGTTTCCAGGGGGATCCACGAAAAGGTCGACTTGACAAGGTATATTCTAGTAATGGAGCTATTAGCTAGATCACATTACTATCCCCCCCCCCCCCCATGCCATTAAACGTTGTCCGAGCTGTCGCCTTTTTTTAATCCTCAGGTGTAATGAGTTATGACACATTGTTTTCTTACTTTGTCACCATGGAGATTTCCCATAATACATAATTATTCATAAGTTTACGGATAACATTTATTTTCCTATTGTATATGTATACTTTATATAGTATTTTCTATGTCGGGTAATAAGTTAAAATTAATAGCTAATCCTATTGTTTTACATATTTCCTAGAAGTTTACAATGACTTATAAATTATTTTATATTTTGCAATGTTTTCTTATAAACAATGGACATTAATGTAATATTAAGTAGGTAGTACTTTGATGTTTTTATAATGCCTTAACATTATGGTTAAAAGTTGCAAAAAGTTTTATATATATAATATTATAAAATGACAAGTTTTTTTTTTAAATTCTACTTTAGAATTACAATTTATGTGAAAAATCGGTTTTATTTACTGAAAATATACATTATTTTAAGTATATTTCAGTTAATAATAAATCCCCAATATACATAAATTATTATATAATATATATATATATTATCTTTAATTCTTACAGCATAGGGTTCTGCAAAAGGGGGTAAAGAGGTTCCTTCAAGGTCGGCAACGCACGCGTAATACCTCTGGTATTGCGGGTGTTCATAGGCTACGGTAACCACTAACCATCAGGTGGGCCGTATGCTTGTTTGCCACCTCAGTGGTATAAAAAAAAATATTACTAAATAAATATGTCATCATCATATCAGTTGTTAACTGCCCACCGTCGAAAATAGGTCTCCTACTATTGATGGTTTTGCCGGTAGTTTCCACGCTTGGCAAGTGGGTTGCCAACCGCAGTTACGTTTTGGTGCTACAAAAAACATCTTAAAATTCCTATCACTGACAGGTATTTTAAAAGATAGACTGATATTTTAAAAGGGACACTGCTGCTTATCCCTCGACCTTTAAGTTCCTTTAGTCGTCTCTTACGACACCCACGGAAAAGAAAATAAACCAAAAACTCATACAAAATAGGTCAGCACCAAAAGAAATCAATTAAATCACCCATCATGAGGTGGTATTGTAATAATAATGTGAAAAAAATTAAATATCTCAGTACCCGCTACATAGGTTTTAGAATTAAAGTAATTGATAGTTATCCCTTGCAGGAAAAATCCGTCATTGCATTGTACTCGTAAAGTATATACTATTTTATGAATATGTATGTATATTTATTCAATTATATTATTCTATTTATCAAATGACCATATTTCATATACATGAACCTCGTATTGTGCAGTATAGTCTGTTACGCTTATGTTTGATGCTTGTTTGTGATTCAAATATATGTTTTATAGTACTTATTAGTACTCGTAGTTTTGTATATTAGATTAAATACTTGTAAAGTAGTATGTTTTGCATAGTTTTGTAATGGGGAAGTTCATTGTTTAGTCACATGTGGTAAACTACTCTATAGCGACGTTATATAATACGTTTTCTCTACCGTATGCATGAGAATAAACAAGACGCTGAATGTCTTATGTAGCGAGAACGTATCTATCGACAATTATTTTTGCTAATTGATACTTTTTTAGGTTAAATATGCTAATTAACCGAAAGTCTATTATGGTGATCTTTTCCATTGTTGCTTCTATTATTCTTCAAGTTAAAATTGGTGTGCCATCTTCCACAGTGTTTGTAAATGCGATTGTATTTTCACGAGGATCTCTGCTTAAACTTCAATATATGATCGAGTCAGTGATTTGTTGTTTCTGTAGTGACATTATAATACATATTTTTGTTCTAAGTACAGATACTTTATATTCAAAAGGAATTAATTTACCCGAATATCACGCGCTGTATGAAAGTTTCATCGATATGAGGCCTTACCTTTCTTCCGAAAAGTCTAAATCCGCTTAATAGAGCTGTTATGATAATGACATGTTCTATTTTCAAATGTCTTTAAAATCTGCGGCTTTTATGATTGTAAATTGGGATTTATCTGTAAAATACACCAAATTACTGACTTGACAAAAATCAAGCAAAATGGCATGTTTGCAATTGTTTGTTTAGTTTTTTTTCTAGTATAGAGATGGCTTTAAAATGGGTTGTAAATATAGTTAATAAGTCCGTATTTTTAATGACCTATCGCTTTTTGTATTATTATTATTACTATTACTATTGAACAATAGTGCTTGTAGACAATATAAATCTTGATGCAGTTATTTTTATGAATATTAATGCTTTAATGTTACCAAAATAAGGTTATGTTTATATAAATATAAAATAATATGTTTATTGTTCAAGACAAGCATTTTAGATTACCAAATCTCTATAGGCCATACGACCTTCGAATAAACTGATGAACTATTTCTTTATACATGTTTACACTACCGCACCCATAAAAAAAAATGAGAACTGTTGTTCGCTGTCTCTTTCTATATCATACATGCGGACCGTAAACATTATAAAGGAAGCGATTCATTTCTTGTGATTGTGTCTTAATGATTTGGTTTGAAATATTTTACTTATACATACACCATATTTGAAAAAAAAATAATAATCACAAATTTATTTCAGCTACATCCTACGACAATTGAATCGTGGAGATTTGATTAAAAATGTAAGTATTTATAATCAGTATTTATAAATATAATAAATTTGTAATTAAGTGATGTCTGTACATAAGGGATGTTCAAGAAAAATGCTATGAGTTGTCATAATAAAAACAATATTAAGTATAGAAACAATAGTATTAGACATTTTTTCGTCCTCACTGGTTGTTTCAGTTTCAAGGAAACATTGCATCAAATTGTATGCGGATGTATGTTTTCTTTTAAAATGCCATCTTTCCTTGTTACGTAATAAAATGGTATTCCAAAATCTAGTTTATAATACAAATATTGTTTAACTTATTATAATCGCTATAGTCACACGGGGCCAAATCCGGCGAATAGGGGAGGTGTTCGGTTTCTTCACGGACAACAAGAGACGACAATAATGTCGTATAGGGTGAAAAAGTCCATAGGGATAATGAAAACCGAACATCGAAAAAAACAATCAACATTGTCTTGACATTGATAATGAGCGGGATTTTCTTGATTTTTTTGTTCGTGGTTCCCCGGATGTCTTATCGAATTAGATCGGCAAAAATTTCACGGCCATTCTTGCCGAGTTTCGAGAGAAACTTGATTACGACGCGCTGCTCTTCAACGGAAGCGGGCTCCATGCCGATTGATCAAGAAACTTATTAATTAGAATCATATTTCTTAATAATAAAGTTTTATTGAAATATAAAAATTGTAGATGCCGGAAAACCGCGCGCTCTCCGGTCTTTGCTCAGGCATCATCGAAGCTTACGACTTATTCGGAATACCGTCCGCTGTGGTGCTGTTTGTGGTCGAGGAGGTGTCCTACAACATCTGCGATCAGAGGTTCCACGAGTTTGAAATCTCTGAAACACGGCCTGATATTATGGTAAGAAAATATCTTAGTGTATTTTAAAAAATAATAAATGTCATGGTGACTTTTATGGGATTATTTTTTTTATTAAATATTTAAGATACCGAAGAATATTTTGGATCATCCTTTTAATAAATTTAGAAATGTTGGTATGAAACACTTATTTATCAAAGCCTTTTACACTCTAAACTCTAAAAAACTTGAATGACAAACGTGCATGGTGTTAGTCGATCATGCAGCGGGCTTTTTAATGACCATGTAATTTTAGACATAGTCATCACTTTAAGAAATATATATGTAGGTACTTATAATATATGTATATTTTAACAGAAATTTAAAAGAGTAACTGTTGAGTTTCTTGCGTGCTCTTCTCGACAGATAACAACTTTCTGAACCCTGCAGTAGATTTAAAAAATTACGATTTAAAAGTGTTTGTAAACAAATTTATTTAAATAAATATGATTTGAATTTGTCACATATATGCAGTAATATGTAAATACACATGTTATTTCATTTGTATGAGTATACATATATACACCCATACACGCCATAACATGTATACACACAAATTACACAGTATACTCGGTCATGCTCATGGTACTGTCCATGTCTAAAATCGATGATTTCCATCAGCTTGAGCTTGTTTGCCATTCTAAGTCGCATAAAAAATACATACGTGTTCTTTTTCTCCACAGATATTCAGAAAAACATTAAATGAAATATACGAAGAGACTGAATTAAATGATAAAAAGCAACTTATTTTGTGAGTATTCAGATTCATCTCTGATCTGAATGATCATGAATTCAGATCTGAGAAACATGTTTTTTTATTTTATTTTAATGGTTTCATCATCAATTAAATTTGATGATTTTGATAATGTCACACTTAGAATAATATAATTTGGTGGTAAATTATAATTTCAAGATTATAAATAAGGATACTATAACTTGGAATGAGAGTTTAATAACTACTCGTATTTAAATTACTGTAAATTTTGGCATTTATAGTGTTAGTTTTATTTTATTTTTAATTACTTAAAAATAGGAGGATATTTTGAATTCGATTGCATTTTTTATGCACACAAACCGTCATTTATAAACCAATTTGGAATTTTTTTTTTATCTAAAAAGATATACTTTCAGATTGGTCCTATAGAAATTTTATTAAAATCGGTTCAGTAGTTGAGTTCTTATGTTGCTGTACTCCGTTATTAACGCACTTAATGAACTACTAGTTGTCCAACGTTTCTGGCAACACCTGAATAATATTGAACTACTGTAGATGTTTTTTATACTGTGGTTGTATACAATTTAGCTATTGGCATATACAGGGATGGCCATCCGGTGGCGGTAGTGTACTACCGTTCTGGGTACGAGCCGGCGCAGTACCCGAGCTCGCGCGAGTGGGACGCGAGGCTTCGCGTCGAGCGCTCCACGTTTGTATCTATAATATTTATTTCTATATAGCATGAATTCCAACAGAGGGCGCTACATATTGCCCTTTGTAAATACGGGTTTAACATACTGTTTTATCCTAGCGGTTGAAATGAAATAGGTGTGAAAGACATCGCATCAGGGTATTATGGGCGAAACAGTATACTCTATTATGTCCATGGTACTGCTCATGTCTATTGGCGACGGTTACCACTTTCCATTAGGTGGGCCGTCAGCTTGTTTGCCATTCTAAGTTGTATAAAAAAATTATATATTTTTTAAATTATCATTTATCTTTTCTCAGTGCAATAAAGTGCCCATCGATCCATTACCAGCTGGCTGGCACGAAGAAGGTACAGCAGGCGCTGGCCGCGGCGGGCGCCCTCGAAAGGTTCATGGGCTCGAGCGCGGCTACCACCCGCGTCCGGGACATATTCACCGGACTCTACTCCTTGGACTTTGATGAGAATGGAGAGAGAGCAGTAGAGATGGCCATCGCTGATGCTGAGAGGTTAGTTTGCTGTGATTTAAAACTTGTAATCCAATTTTTCCTTTTATTAATTAGACATAATATCAGCCATTAAATGTCCGCTGCTGAACATAGACCTTCCCCATAAGGGGTAGTTTTGCCAGTAGTTGCTATGTATGACATATGGTTTCGGCATAGAATGGGTCAGCCCTTCCTTTCACGTGGGTTTCGTATGGAGACTAAAGGCACTTAATAATTGAGGGATGAGCAGCAGTGTCTCTCTTAGAACATTATCAAATCCTACGCGGTTGCCAACCCGCTTGTTAAGCGTGGCAACTACTGGTAATTAGATATGGATGACCAAAAAAATTTATTCTCTTATCACGCATCGCCGACACCACATGTGTAAAAAATTATAAAATTTTTGTATATTCTTAAATATGTATATTTATTTATTATGTGTATGTTAGATTTTAAAGTATTCATATATGTATATACAATTATACTGTAAATTAAAGTTTAAATAAAAAAAATATGTATCGATATAGTAGTTTATAGTAGAAATTTTTGCCTGAAATTAATAGAAAAAGAATAAATATTATTATTGTAAATTGAAACTTGATATAAGTCTATTTTAACTGTTGAAACATTTCATTTTCTTTCAAATTGTGAAATTAGCACAAAAACAAAAGAAAATACCTCAAAACTACAATTAAACGTTCGACATTTTTTAAATAGGGTAACAATATGTTGTTAACAGAGTAATTATAGAAAAAAAATTGTCACCATACAGGTTCGTGTTGAAACCACAACGCGAAGGAGGCGGTAACAATCTGTACGGTGAAGAGGTGCGCGACGCCCTACTGCGCATGCGCCATAGTCGAGAGCGAGCCGCGTACATACTCATGGAACGAATTCTACCCCCACTGGTCAGTATTGATTGTCTACGATAACATGGCACGCCCCTTCAAAATTTAAAGAATCAAATATGTGTGAATAAAAATATTTACAAGGTTTCGACCAAGGAATAAAATGGTCCTCTGTCCGGACTGCTACTCTTGGGGGAAAAGGGATTGTTAGCAATGGAGTTTGATAGCCCCATTGCTAGCAATATGCCCTATCAGGTCGACCTCCACGCGGTTCCTAAAAACCATCAAACACAAACCACAATTCTTGTTGAATTCGTCACGATGGGCTAACTGACCTGCTTCATCCTCATCTATCGTCCTTCACTGGTGCCCCGCCTATGTATACCGATAGTGCAGGTGGGGTTACTATTTCATTATCACCCATAAAAAAACCGGTACTCTACGTTTACGCTTTTTTTTTTTATGGATGACAATGAAATGGTCATACCGCCTATGCTATCGGTATATACTGGCGGGGCACCAGGTTGAGATGATTGGTGAGGATAAAAAGGCTGGTCAGTTAGCCCATCGTGACGAATTCAACGATAAATTAGTCACGATGGTTTCCTGGGGGAACCGCGTGGAGGTTGACCTGATAAGGGTGTTTTGACAGTAATTGGGACTAACCTTTCCATTACTAATAATTAATAATAAAATTATAAATATGAATATTTGTAAAAATGTTTGTATGTTAGTCTATTTACTTTTACTTACTTATGCGGGCAATTTCGCGTGATACAGCTAATTTATAATATTAAAAAGATTGATTCTTAGTAAGATTTTTCTTTATTTTTAACATACAGGTGTCAGGGTACGTGGTGCGTCCAGGCGCGCCTGTTCCACCCCAGGTGGTGGATCTGGTGTCTGAGCTTGGGATCTTCGGTGTCATCATAGGGTAAGTGCTTGCCTCATTAATCCGTTGACGGCTTGAACCGTAACAGCGAAACTCCAGTTACTCTGTCCTATATTGTCAAAACGTATATTCCGTTTTATCTATTTATCCGTAAATAGTATTGTTTATTCATCATTCATGACAGCTGTTAAGTGTCCACTGCTGAACATAGTCCTCCCCTTTAGGTGGGTTTTTTTTTAATAGGTGATAATGAAATAGTAACCCCACCCGCGCTATCGGTATACGCTGATAGGGCACCAGTGACGGATGATAGACGAGAATGAAACAGGTCAGTTAGCCCATCGTGACGAATTCAACGAGAATTGTTCACGATGGTTTCCAGGGGGAACCACGCGGAGGTTGACCTGATAGAGCATATTGTTAGCAATGGGGCTGTCAAACTCCATACATAGCAAGCCACTATTGAGACCGCTATATATATATATATATATATATATATATATATATATATATATATATATATATATATATAATGATTATTTCAGTACAAAGGACAAGATCATCAGTAACCGTCAAGTAGGACACATGCTTCGCACCAAACTGGCGGACGCGGACGAGGGCGGCGTGGCGGCTGGTCTTGGGGCCCTCGACTCGCCGTACCTGATCGATATGTAGCCACAGACCATCCTATAATTCTAATTAATTACCATTCTAAGACTACATTCGCATTATAATGATGATCAGAGCCTCTAGACAAATGACAAACGAATTCATTTATTCATTTAATACATTTTAAGTTATATAAAAAAAAAGGGTCCATAGTTAAAATTAAAATGTTATGAACCAATAACATTATGGAATGCAATAAGAAATAAATAATTATGAGTCTAGATAATTGAATGGATGCCAAGCAAACGATGCTAGGTTCGCTTAGTTTAGTTCTCGGTGTGTTCAGCGCATAAAGCAAGGGACCCCAGCCTGTATATAATAATGTAAAATTTATAATAAATTAGGATAAATGTTGCCAGTATTTTATTCTAACACAAGAAATGGACAACGTAACATATAACAACTATAAATAGTTTAAGTATTGTAAATTTATTATAATATGGTTCACACTGAGAGCATTGTAGCAGGGTGCGAGTGTCACAGCCATTCACTAGAAAATATTTTGTTGAATTCGTAACTTTAATATTAATACCAATTACCAGAGGGATACTTTGTACAAAAGTCGATAGCTTGGGCACCTCTGTCCCATTCGTGTATCTACCGTGAAGCAGTTGTGTTTGCATGGCTGTGTTTCGGTTTGAAGGGTGGCATATGGCGTGAATTTACCGGGTACAGAGGAATAACACCCGAGTCCTCAGGAATGGCAACGCATGGGGGGTATCATGGGCCAAACAGTATACTCTGTTATGTCCATGGTACTGCTCATGTCTATAAGCGACGGTTACCATTTTCCATCCGGTGGGCCGTCAACTTGTTTGCCATTCTAAGTAGTATAAAAAAAATACTTTTTTTTTTATAATTGTCCTGATCCAACACCCACAACACGCCAAGACATTCTAAGATAAACGAATACAAAGCTTATCCTAATTTAGAATATTTTGACTCCATTATCACAGATTATCCATAGATACAGTAGCCAGGAGACTGTACAAAAGTCGCTTGATCAGGCACCTCTGTCCCATTCGTGTTTCTACCGTGAAGCAATTGTGTTTGCATGGCTGTTTTGGTTTAAATGGTGAGATATGGCAGTGAATTTACAGGGTACAGAGGAATAACACCTGAGTCCTCAGCTCAAAGCTTTATTAATCGGTATTAATCGAATATATTGTTTTATTTTAAATATTGTTTTAGAAAGTTTTATATATATATAAATATATATACACACAAAATATTAGATTCTAATGGGTAATAGAAAATACTAATTACATTATTTTCCTAGAAAAGGCTGCATGAATTTTGCTTCGAATTTTCATCTTTATTTTTTATTTTAATTCTATCGTCTATTTTATAGTGAAATTTTCTATTTAATTTTAAATAAAGAAATAAATATTTTTTTTTAAATTCAGAATGTATTTATCATAGTTCCTATATTTTAATTACTGTGTCTACATATTATAAATTATTTTTATATCTGTTCACAAAGGACAATGTTGCCATGTATTATTTATATTGTTTCCGACACTAACATTCCGTTATAAATGTAATTCTTTGAATTATTGTACGAATCGTTTATATAATTTGAACAAATTAATTAATATTGTATTTTTTTTTTATAAATAATTACCTAATATTAATATATGATAATAAAATTGTTTATTAATACATATGTGTTATGCCATAATTGAAATGATTCAGGAGTGAGTGAATTTTTATTCTTTATTAATTTTACCAGATTACACTATATAAAATTCTTTTTAAAGGGAAGGGCGAGTGCTGGGCACTTAAAAGTGGCATTATGTATTCTCAAACAAGTCTTTGCACCTAGTTAAAATCCCGCCCGACCTTCCTCTAAATACGCGTGACCAGGATGAAAAGTGTGTCCTTCTTCATCACAAATTTCATAACGATTTGCTGAGCTGTCAATGCGCCAAGAAGTGATAAATAAACAATTTCATATTTATAATAAAATATGAACATTACGATTAACCCGCATAAATATATAGGCGTATTTTTGGGGAAGGGCACTTCAGAATTGTCTGATACCTACTACTACCTCCACTTCTCCAAAATCATGAGCGGCTGTGAAAAAGACATGTCTAAGGGTAAATAAATATCCTTCCCTGAAAAATAAATACGCCAATACACAAATCCACTTATAGAGTACCTCTAATAAACCAGTTTAACCATATATGTTTTGTCACTTTCTTTCAAGTTAAATATTGAATTGGAAAGAAAAAGACTAAACTATAAAATAGCTAATGTTTATTAAAACAATGATATTATACGAAAGAGGATTATATGCATTTAGTTTGTTTATGAAAAATTGGAATAAAAAATGAGAGAAATTAAAAACAATTGACTTAATTCGAATAAAAAAAAGTAAAGACGTTTTTTCTCAAATATTTTGTGTAATATTTTATGATAATGAGCTAGAGATAGAATGTATCCAATTAGTGTAATGTTAAATTTGGTGCTGTGTACAATACAGAAATTGTTTTATACATTTTTAATTATTAAGACGATTAAAATACTAATAATTATTATTGTGTATAATTTTGTGTCATGGAACCCAGATTTCTTTCTTTTTTTTATTAATATTTTCACAACAGCATACTCTGTAATTTTGTAATTTTTTTTGCAAACGGGCAAACAGCCCACCTGATGGTAAGTGGTAATCATCGCCTATAGACATGAACATTATACCATAGACAACAGAGTATACAGCCCATGATTGCTTTCATGTGTTGTCATTCCTAAGGACTAAGGTAAACACCTTACACCTGTACAATGCACTGACCACTTTGTTCATGAGGAAAAAAATTGTAAGAAATGCGGGCTAAAGGTCTTACAGCTACTCTGTGAAATCAACCTCCACGTGTGAACCTCTAAAAACCATATTGCTTAGTTTTTGATAAATTCGCTACGATGGGCCAACTGATTTGGCTTTATCCGTACCTAATCCATTAAAAATTACACCTAAATCTAAAGGGCACGATAACCCTGTTTACCATCAAACGGGCCGTATGCTTGGTTGCCAACATAGTGATATAAAAAAAAATATCGAGCAAAAATACAACTAAAATGATAAATATCAACAGTGTGAGATCGAGGATATTTCCTGTTGGTCAAACTGACGTTTGAATGAGTTCCAAATTTTTTAGCCCAATAGCTAAACTAACAAAAAAAACTACCTCCTTAAATAATAACTTTATTAAATAAATTCTCAATCTACATTAATGCCAACACGATTTATAAATACTCCGTGTACTTGGGCATCTTGTTCTTCGTGAGAAGACCAGAGTCGTTCTTCGTGTAGCCCTCCAGATACTCGAACGCAGGGTTCTCGTAGATGGCCTGCCGATGATAATACAATTGGGTTTAATTCAGTACTGGTTTTAGGGTGGGGGGAAGGGGAGGACGAGCTGTTTGCAGCGCCCGGCAGCGTTAACTCAAGGAGGAATCAGTAGATGCAGGTGGCTCAGGACCGTTCTTTATGGCAGTCTATGAGGGATCCCTATGTCCAGCAGTGAATGGATAATGGATGAAAGGAGACTTGAGAAGCTTGCCCTTGTGCACTATTATGTTTAAATATTGCATATAATAGACATGTATTGTTCTTTTGCACGCATGTGAAAGTATAACTACCTTATAACGTTCATAAGCGTCGTCAGCGCTGGTGATCAGTTCGGGCACGTCGAGCCTGGGGATCGCGAACAGGTTCATCAGATGGTACTTCTGGTTGGAGTAAAGCATACGCTTGTCGGCCCACTCGACCTCGCGCGGGAGACGCCAGTCCTTCATCTTGGGCTCATCGCGTTCCGTATACTTGTCGAAGTCCAGACGTTCGATATCTTCTACCACCTAGGATGTTTATCTAATTTATTAAATAACAAACTTTTACCCGCGGCTTTGTCCGCGTGATGGGATATGTTTACTGACCAGAATAAAAAGTAGCCTATAAGCTTCTTTATTCCATATAGTATGTGTATATCAAATTTTATAGTCACTGGCTAAACCGATAAAGCGCTATAAGGTAACAAACAAGATCTCTCAAAACTGGCTGCTTACGATTAAGGGTTCCAAAGGATCCCGAAACTAGCTTTCGCGACCTAACTGCACGAAAGTTAAATTAGTATTAGTAGTGTTCACTGTATTTATAATTGATAATTGGTTTTTTTATACAACTTAGAATGGCAAACAAGCTGACGGCCCACCTGATGGAAAGTGGAACCGTCGCCTATAGACATGAACAGTACCATGGACATAACAGAGTATACTGTTCCGCCCATGATACCCCCATGCGTTGCCATTCCTGAGAACTCAGTTGTTATTCCTCTGTACTCTGTAAATTCACGCCATATCCCACCCTTCAAACATTACATTTACATTTACATTAATTTAAAGTACCTAATATATATGACATAACTTTTTTACTTTTTGTCAATATTCTTTATTAATCTCTAATAGTATCAGCTCTGTAAACACACTTAATTCATTTTATTGTTCATACAGTTTTTATTATCCAAAATCTAAAAGTTTACTAAATAATCTTCTATTATTCAAAAATTATTCCTATCTCATGGTAAGAGTAAGGTAATTTTTTGGTAAGATAAATGGGATTAATTAATTAACAAAATGTATGAGACTCTTACATTTTATTAATGTATTAATTTCATTTATCTTTTACATACCACTTCTACTTCTCCGCCACCAGTCCAGTCGTACACCAACAGCTCAGCATGTGTAGAGATATCCCTCAAGTACTTGTTCTTGTATTGTCTCTCCACCTCGGTGAGGAACTCGGATGTCAACGCCTTGCCGTTCACTTCATAGTCACATCGACGTGCTTTTATATTGTCTACTACCTGAAATTTAAAATTTCAATATTTCAATTATTATTATTTAAATCAATTCAGCAGGCCAAGGAGCACACTTAGGCTCGTGGTCGCGTAACAGCTACTCATGATTAAGGGTTCCAAGTTGGTCCTAAAACTAGTTAGGATTTGTCAATCTAATTATATGTAAGTTTTAATCAAATTATAATATATGCAAATGTTTGTAATGATGGATTATTATATGATTGTTTGTTACACTTTTATTCAAAAACTACTAAATGACTTTGAATGAAATTTGGTACATAGGTAGGTTTTATCCTAACTTAGGACATACATAGGATACTTCATGTAATTTTTTTTGTACAACTTAGAATGGCAAACAAGCTGACAGCCCACCCGATGGAAAGTGATAACCGTCGCCTATAGACATGAGCAGTACCATGGACATAACAGAGTATACTGTTTCACCCATGATACCCCCATGCGTTGCCATTCCTAAGGACTCAGATGTTATTCCTCTGTACCCAGTAAATTCACGCCATATCCCACCCTTCAAACTGAAACATTGTTGAACAAAGTTGATCATGTCTGGATACCTTTTTAATGCCCATTGCAGAAAAAAAAACATAGCCAGCAAATTTATTTTTTTAACCATTTGTCCTTTAATTTTGAACATGAATTATATCACCTTGATTTATTTGCTTCACACTTGTTGAAACACAAATGGGATAAAAGTACCCAAGCAATCGACTTTTGTACAAAGTCTCCTTCTGATAAAATTTATCATGTATTTGTGCAGTCTTGGGATATAGCCAGTTAGATACCTTTAATAAAACAGGACAAAATAATAAGCAAAATGGTAAGCCTACATAAAATAGGAATGAGGACTGGTGACATTATATTGTTACTACATTAAGTACCTTTTTTTGACTGTCAGTTTAACAATGATAAATGATAATCTACATAGAGCTGCATTGTTTAACTGAAGTCCCTAATTAACCATGAATAAAAAATCTAACTCTTTATGGAAAAATAATATTTGGATAAATTTATTTGTTATTTTTATTTATATTCTTTAATAAATTAAATAAATGAAGAAGTTCTCTGACTTAATTTTTTATATATGTTCTTATCTTATAAAATAGTTTGGCAAATTGTCAAGTTAATTCAAAGTTAACATTTAATTGTTCATGGAAATGGTAGCTTTCGAAAAGACCATAGATTTCAATCTTGTTAAATTAAGTCAACTTTTATTAAAGAATAATATACTTAAAAGATATTACTATATTGTTACTTTTCATAATTTTTAGTTAGTGATTATCTGAAGATATTTTTTCTATGAGTGAAGATGGAATGGTAACCCCGCCTGCGCTATCGGTATACACCGGTCAGGGGGAACTGCTTGGAAGTTGACCTGGTAGGGTGTATTGCTAGCAATAAGGTTGTCAAATCTCATTACTAACAATTCCATTCCCCCATTATCTGGAGGTAGTCAGAAATTGTTGTTGCAACAATTTTAATGTAAAAATCTACACTGGAATATTTACCTTATTTACAGGCAAGTCAAGGTAGATAACCAAGTGAGGTCTCATCAGCTCCTCAATCGTGTTCGCTCTGAGTTCGTAATAAACTGACTTCACACCCTTACTGATGTACTTCTGCGATACCATCGCTTCCAAGAACACAAAATCAGAGTAGGGAGATCTCTCCAACACTACACCTTGTCCGGTATTAAACAAATGAGCCAATGCATCAATATACTGGCTATAACGAGCAATGTACATCATGATCTGGAAATTTCCTGCTAAACGATGGCTCGGAGCCAAGTTGAAGTTCACATGGTCAAAGGTTCTAGCGTCTTCGGGGATCTGATTATCGAGCGTACGCAAATCAAAGCCATTCGAGCGTATGTAGTGTATATCCATGTTAGCTTCGGGGAAATGCTTCATTCCTAAGTCCTCGGCCAATGCGGCGGCGAATTGCGTCTTACCGGCGGCTACCGGACCTTCTACTACCAGCACTTTTGAGTTCTCGTCGAATCTATGGGTGGTACGGTCAAATAAGCTTCGCAACCAAGTGTAATCCTTGTTTATATAGTCGAAAGGGGCTGGTTTCGGCGGAGGTGGCGGCAGCGACTCCCTAAGAGCCTTACCAGCGATATTACGGTTCTGTACGAAAGTACATGCCGCTATCTTACCTCCTTGACTAGGACTAATTACTTTTACGAAAGCAGTTTTGATCAGGGTAGCCATGGTGGCTCGAGGTATCTCTGGAAGTTGATACCTAAGGACAAAAAAAGGTATATAATTAGGGATAATCGAAACGAATCTATTAAATAAATAATGTTAGTAAATCGAATACAAGGAATATTACCTCTATTTAATTCATAACAAAAATTCTACTAGAGAAATTATGACATAACCATGTGAAAAAGTGCATTCATGTGTTATAATTTTAATTGAACTGTCACGTTGACCGTTTCAAAATTATTTACAAATGGTATACAATTGTATTATTATTTCATGATAAATGGTAAATTAGATAGTTATTTATAACAAAATACCTACCAAGTAACTAAATATTTCTAAACAGTAATATAATTCAATATTTTTCTTGTGTATTTGTTCTTTTTTATGAACGCATTATTATACAATACATAATCTACGGTCCAACTACAGATCACATAATTTAAAATTATATTATAGGTTATTGATATTGACGTTGGAAATCTAACAGTTTTTTTTTTTTTATTTTAGGCGTGACGTTATTGTGAAATATTAATATGATATCAGATATCGAAATTACATATTACAATAGCTCAAAATATTTTTCTCTAAAAGTCAGCAATATAGCTTCTGAAAATTCAAGTCGCATGATTAAACTTATTATATTATTAAATTTCTAAGATATATTGTAATATTTAGTTCAAGTGTTCATCATTTACTCTTTTGTGGAGTGCAAGTCACTCCTTACACGTATTATATTAAAATAATAATGATAATAATGAATAATCGATATCCAATACAGATATTAGCAACGTACCGTGATAATAGTTGGCACAGATTGATATCTATTTATTTGACATTGACAGCAATATACGATTTGTATCGCTCATTTAGTGATGGGACTCGAGCGAGTTTTTTTCACTCGAGTCACTCGGTTCTGATAAGTTACTCACTCGAATGCCACTCGAATGAAGATAAAACTCGAGTGATTTTTATTGACTCGAGTCACTCGGAATATAAAACTCGAGTGACCAAAATTTTAAAACGAATAAAACAGTATTAATTTTACATAGAAAATGTGTATTCATTTTCTCAAAAAAAAAAATCTAAACAAAATGTAAAAAATAGAATTTTCCTTCAAACTAAACCTGTCATACATAATCAAGAAACCTCTTATATCAACTATCAGTCAAATTAAAATATTATAATCTACTACTAATAAGTTCTAATCCAATTTAATTTATTCTAACAAGGAACTTTCATGAGATCCAAATATAAACAGTTTTATTATGTTCTTACACAATTTATGTAATAATATACGTGTTTTAAAATTAACTTAAATGAAACTTAAATAAACTCAACAAAAAAACAAAAATAATGTATCTTTAAGGAGATAATAAATTTAACTGAAATTGGTGTAATAACTACTTTAAAAAAATAAATTGATAAATTTTTTCCCTAACGGCTTCGATAATATCGACTTCAGCACTTGCTAAAATAATAGAAGAATGTTTCTTTGTAACCTCTTTAGTAGTAACAGTTTGCGAAAAAAGTTTTGAATTATAAGTATTGTAATAGTTAGGTATGCTTTATTATTGTCAGAAGTCCATAAATCTGTTGTAGCAGCCGTATATTCAACTAAATGTAGAATATCTACAATTATAGTGCGTGCGGCATGATAAGCATCAGGAAGAATTTTCTCTCTTAAAAGTTTCCTGCTACCGCGGGTAAACTTGTCACAATTTGAATTTCTCACTCGGTTCGGTATAAACCACTCGAGTGGTACGAGTCAACTCTAGTCACTCGTAATTCGAGTCGACGCGAGTCACTCGAAACTCAAGTCAAAAATTTAACTCGAGTGCATGTAATATAAAAACTACTCGAGTCACTCGAGTGAAAAGCAACTCGAATCCCATCACTACGCTCATTCCTATTTCTTTTTAGTCTGTGGCTGTATTGTTGAGCCATGTGATAATTTATTATTTTCAATTAACAATAATATTTTTCTACAACTAAGCTCATTCTGTCATAAATGCTTTAAAATACAATAACTATTATAAAATGGAAGTGGAAAATATTAATGTTGAAGAATTTTTGCCTGCAAAAAAAACCGTGAAATTAAAAAATGTTAAACGCAGAGCAGTTTCCGAATCTGGCGATGGTATGGAGGTAGAGGAACATAATGGCATTCAAGGGAAGGCTAAACACAGCCGGTCTAGGCCAAAGAAAAAGAGGAATACTGAGCCAAATGAAAGTAAGGTCAATATGAGAAAAATTCCCGTGCCTGCACACAGGTAATAACCTCAAAATCTGTTTCTTTTTTTATACAATTGAAAAGGCAAATAAGCTGATGGTTCACCTAATGAAAAGTGTAACCGTTCCTATTCGTAATTAGAATTGTGGATGTCACATAATATATTGTGACGCTCACAGTATGCATTGCTATTTTTTGTTTTTTGGGAGAGATAAATATTTTTAATTTTCAATTTTATAATTTATTAGACTAACACTACCTACAGACAAGATCAGTAAGAAATTAGTATTTACAAATATAATCCAAGTATTATATTAAATATTTCCAAGTGTTGAAAGAGGCAATTATTGTAATAGAATTAGTTTCATTTTACTACTATTAGTATGTGTGAATTTTACGAAATAACTGTAGTTAACCTTAATGGTAAAAATATTAATTCCTTTTATTATTGACAGTCTATTGAAGTGTGCTAGTCTACTAATAAAACTTGGAGACTGATGTCTTTTTCCTGTTGTATATTATTTTATTTAGCTTTCTCCAACAATAACATCAAATTTAGTGAATTTTTTTTATCAATATACTTTTAAAACGTTGCAGATATACACCTTTAAAAGAGAATTGGTTGAAGATTTTTACACCTATAGTTGAGCACCTGTTACTACAAGTTCGGTTCAACACCAAAACCAGGAATGTAGAAATTAAAGTTGGCCCAGAAACTAAAGATATAGCCAACTTACAAAAGGCGGCTGACTTTGTAAAGGTAGGACTTGACATCATAATTATTGTTTAGTATTTAATGGATGATAATGGAGTGGTAACCCCATCTGCACTAATGGTGTACACAGACAGCAATAGTGAGGGATGATAGATGAAATGAAAAGGCAGGTCAGTTTTTTTTATACCACTGAGGTAGGAAACAAGCATACGGCCCACATGATGGTAAGTGACTACCATAGCCTATGAACACCTGCAATATTACACGTGTTGCCGACCCTATTAGTTAGCCTATCATGATGAATACAACAGGAATTCAGAGAAGACCATGTGGAAGCCAACCTGACAGTGTATATTACTAGCAATGGAAATGGTTCATTATTAACAATCCCTTCCCTCTCCCCTATTGTCTAATATTAAACCACAACTAAAAATTGGATAAATAAAGCAAAAATAAAAGACAAATGGAGCCAGTTGGAGGAGGCCTATACCCAACATGGGGGCTCATATCCAAAATGCAACATAACAAATAAACTAACATTGATATTAAGATTTCTAGTACTAACCATGATGTAATTAATACAAATTAAAACTGTTGTATGAATATGACAATAAAGAGGTTTTATAATTATTTACAGCTCAAATCAAAGCTCATATAACTTTCTATAGTCAAATTCCATTTTGACACAATGTTATTAATAATTAAATTAATGAATGATAAATAAAAATGTAACTGCTTTATATTTTCCTAATTTAGAAACTTTGTTCCAGGCATTCATTTATGGATTTGATGTGGATGATGCTCTAGCACTTCTCAGATTAGATGACTTATTTGTAGAGTCCTTCGAAATCAAGGATGTAAAGACATTACAGGGAGACCATTTGGGCCGTGCAATAGGCCGTTTGGCAGGCAAAGCAGGCAGAACGAAATTCACAATAGAGAATGTTACAAAGACAAGAATTGTTTTAGCCGACTCAAAAATACATATACTAGGAAGTTACCAGAACATTGCCTTGGCCAGGAGAGCTATATGCAACCTTATTATGGGTTCGCCACCATCAAAAGTGTATGGGAATTTGAGGAATGTGGCAAATAGAGTTGCTGAGAGATTTTAGATTTAATAAAAGTTATTTATCATTGATATATATATTCTTTTATTTGTTTCTTATATTTATATATAAAATAACGAAAATAAATAGCATCAAATATAATACATATTGAAGAGAACTTTCTTATTTTATTTATATAAACTCTTAATTTATTTATACATAATATTAAAATTTTAATATTGGTGTATCTTTTGTTTACATTTCATTATCTTCTTGCCCTTATCCCAATTATTTGGGGACAGAGTAATATGACCTGTCATATTACGAAAAGTTTTGGCTTTTAGTTATACGACCTTCTTGACCTTGAGAATACACATTGGTTATTTGCAAGAAAAAAAAATAGGGAGACAGGAAACTTATCGTACAGTATCAACTACATTTTAAGAGAACTATAATTACAGTAGTATCTTATATTTGAAATGTCTAGGCACTCGAGAGAGCACTAGCCTCGCGTCGTAGCTCAGCGATGCGAAGGTCCAGGGTTCGGCGGCGCTCCATTCTGCGCAGTATACGGAGTCTTCGTGTTGCTCGTATGATTGTAACACACCATCCTCTAGACTGAATTCAAAATGATCATTAAGGTCGATTCTGTAGCGCCATTTCTCTTAACATTTCAATTTAATGATTTCATGAAATTACTATATTATGGACCATTAAAAACTAAATTCATAATAAATTTAACTTAAATCTATTATAAATTAAGTTCATAATGGTCCTTACAATAAAGATTTCGGCGTTTAAATTTTAATTATACAGACTGCTTTAGAAAATTGGCGCCACAGAATCGACGCCATTATCAATCATGTCTGATTAGGGGGCACTAGTGACAAACTTATAATAAGATCATAAAAAAAAAAAACTCGAATAAATGGGGTCGACCTACGGACCAGTACAAACTAAGTTGACAATAACATTGAGTTGTAATTATATTTAGTATTTCTTTTTCTTTTAACCCCTCTTCTTAATAAATATGTAATGCAATGCATATAACGTACACTTGGCAGGGGGAAAGGGATTGTTAGCAATGGAGTTTGACAGCCCCATTACTAGCAATACCCGAACATTGTTATCAATGTTAGCAATGTTAGGTCGACCTCCACGTGGTTCCCCCTGGAAACCACCGTAAACAATTCTTGTTGAATTCGTCACGATGGGCTAACTAACCTGCTTCATCTTCACCTATCATCTTTCACTGGTGCCCCGCCGGTGTATACCGATAGCGCGGGTGGGGTTACCATTCCATTATCACCTACTAAAAAAAAACGTACACTTGGCTGAGGCGCGCGGCCTCGTCGTCCAGGTCGCGGCACACGCTGGCCGCGGCCGTGAGCAGCGCGCGCGCGTCCGAGCTGCCCGTCAGCAGCAGCTGCTCGTGGTACGAGTTGTAGCGCACGCTCCATACCCTACACAAGGGGCACAACAATTAACATCCACGCATTGGCCTATTTAATACTAAACCTACCAAGCGCGGTCAATTTTTTTTTATACAACTTAGAATGGCAAACAAGCTGAAGGCCCACCTGATGGGAAGTGGTAATCGTCGCCTATAGACATGAGCAGTACTATGGACATAACAGAGTATATTGTTTCGCCCATGATACCCCCCATGCGTTGCCATTCTTGAGGACTCAGGTGTTATTCCTCTGTACCTTGTAAATTCACGCCATATCCCACCTCTCAAACCGAAACATAGCCATGCAAACACAACTGCTTTACGGTTGAAACACGAATGGGACAGAGGTACCCAACGGCAAACGACTTTTGTACAAAGTCTCCCTCTGGTATACATTAGTTATTTATCATCAATCTGTCAAAATTAAGATGAACTAGGCTTATTTGTGTCATTGTGACAAATTACTAAGGAGATTCTAGCAATGAGATTTCAAGTACCTTGTAAATCCGTTACAATGGGTATGAATTATTTTTTATGCGAATTTGCGAAACAAAAAAGAATTGATTTTTATCTTTATCGATTATTTAGTACGCACAGTAGATACTTTGATTAGTTTGACACTAGATGGCGCTATATAAGGATATTTATTTTATCGAATATAAAACTTTCTGAATAAAACCTCACCAGTGCGAGTGGTCGGTCCTGTTGAATATTGGTTCTTTGCCATTTCTGTAATCCCATATGTTGAGGGCAGCGTCATCGCCCGCCGTTGCCAAGTGAAATTGTCTGTAACGATATAATTAAAAACACTTTTTTTTTGTTCTATACAACTGTTTTTAATCTTGAACAAATTCACATAGGAACAATATCTCCTATATAATCGACTTTGGATAAAAAAATAATCACAAAAATAAGTTTAAAAGGTATTGAATAAGATAAACACATATAACGTATAGACAAATTACTAGCCCCTTTTGAAGTCAATTAAGAATGAGTTCTTGCTATTTTATATATTCACTTGACGTGAATCATAATTATAATTAATTTCATCTAGCCAATAGAGTTTAATAGGCACTTCATACTAAGGGCGTCAATGATATTCTGGACGCATTGACCGTCAGTCATACTAAGGAACAGTTTTGGCCGTAAGTAAATTATATATATATATATATATATATATATATATATATATATATATATATATATATATATATATATACAATATATATATATATATATATATATATATATATATATATATATATATAATTTGCCTCTGCCGAGGTTTTCCCAAGAGCCTACAGCATAGGGTTCTTCAAAAGAGGGGTAGAGAGGTTTCTGGTAGCGTAATACCTCTGGTATTGCAGGTGACGCACGGTAACCACACCATGTATGCTTGTTTTCAGTGGTATAAAAAAATAATAATATTTCTATGATTATTTTTATTAAGGAATTTCGCGACTAGCTCTTGGCTACAAAAGAATATCAGTGTTTTGTTGTTTTGAGGGCAAAGCAATAAACTGAGTTGTGACCATATTGAGTTACTATTGTAATGGCACACATATGCAAGAAATAAATTGTTGTTTTCTATATTTTCCTTTTTTTATTGCTTTTTTTGTTTTTCTTTCTTTTATATTTTTTAACTGTCTTATGTGTTTTTACTTTGTATTATGTATATATTTGAATTGTTATTTGTGTGCTTTAAGTAATGTAAATAAATTATTTATCTATATATAACATTCATACGGCTCGTCTGATGGTAAACGGGGTTACCGTAACCTATGGACGTTTGTAACACCTCAGATGTCACGCGCGCGTTGTCGACCCTTAGGAAACCATAATACACACTTTTTGAAGAACCCCATGTTGTAGTTTCTAGGGAAAGCCTCGGCAGGAAGATCATTAAAGAAACCAGAGGGAGACTTTGTACAAAAGTCGATTGCTTGGGCACCTCTGTCCCATTCGTGTTTCTACCGTGAAGCAGTTGTGTTTGCATGGTTGTGTTTCGGTTTGAAGGGTGGGATATGGCGCGAATTTACAGGTACAGAGGAATAACATCTGAGTCCTCAGGAATGGCAACGCATGGGGGGTATCATGGGCGAAACAGTATGTGTGTACTGTTATGTCCGTGGTACTGCTCATGTCTATAGGCGACAGTTACCACTTTCCATCAGGTGTGCTGTCAGCTTGTTTGCTATTCTAAGTCGTATAAAAAAAAACCTAAATGTTCATGGGTTGACAATCCCAATAAGCTACCTGTTGGGATTGAAGTCTAGGTCCCTGGCGAGCTGCCTGTGCGCGTTGTCGATGCTCCATGACGGTTTGTTGCTGTCGGCGCGAGTGTCGTAGCATTTTATGTGCATATCCTGTAGCACTGCGAACTGTAAACAATTTAAAATTACACTCTATTATACGACAATGTTGCCATGTCCCTCTCCCTTTATAGTGAATGTCGTAAGAGGCAACTAAGAGGACATAATGGTAGGCGGATGGTCAGCAGCGTCCCTCTTAAAAAAGCACTAAAGCATAACTAATTGCTAACCCATTTTTGTTATTATTGTCTGCAATAGTTTTTTTTTATAGGTGATAATGAAATAGTAACCCCACCCGCGCTATCGGTATACGCTGATAGGGCACCAGTGACGGATGATAGACGAGAATGAAACAGGTCAGTTAGCCCATCGTGACGAATTCAACGAGAATTGTTCACGATGGTTTCCAGGGGGAACCACGCGGAGGTTGACCTGATATTGTTAGCAATGGGGCTGTCAAACTCCATTGCTAACAATCCCTTCCCCCCCCCCCCCCCCCCCGTCTGCAATAGTCGCCACGCTTGGCAAAACCTCCCATATGGAGGAGGCCTATATTCAGCAGTGAATAGCTAACGGCTAATATGATGATATTGGGGGGGAGGGTTTGTTAGTAATGCGGGCTAACACTCCCATTGCTAACAATATACCTTGTCAGGTCGACCTCCACGTGGTCCCCCCTGGGAACCATCGTGCTGAATTTCAGGTGTATTCATCTTGATGGATTAACTGGCCTGCCTTTTCATTCTCACCTATCCCTCACTGGTGCCCCGCCAGCGTAGCCCGTTAGCACAGGCGGGGTTACCATTCCATTATCATCCACTTAAAAAAATATATGATGATATCTACATCTAAAATATCTATCTTTTTTTTTTTTTTTTTACAACACGGGGCAAACGAGCATGCGGCTCACCTGATGGTAAGTGACTACCGCCGCCCATGATCACCCACAACACCAGCGGCATTGCAGGTGTGCTGCCGGCCTTTTAAAAAGGAATATACTCTTTTCTTGAAGGTTATGTTGTCGTATCGGTTCGGAAATACTGCTGCTGGAAGTTGATTCCAAAGAATGGCTGTGCGTGGAAGAAAGTGCATTGAAAAACGCACGGTGGAAGACCGCCACTCGTCCAGATGATTGGGATGAAACTTTAGTTTGTGGCGGGTTGTACAGTGGTGAAAATCAGCAGCAGGTATCAATCCGAACAATTCCTCAGAACACTCCCCATGATAAATTCGGTAGAAGATGCACAGAGATGCAACATCTCTGCGCAGTTTCAGTGGGTCGAGTCGGACAGTAAGGCGTTGACTATCGATAATTCGAGCCGCCCGGCTTTGAATGCGGTCTAACGGAAGGAGTTGGTACTGTGGCTCTCCTGCCCACAGGTGAGAACAGTATTCCATATGCGGCCTGACTTGGGCTTTATATAATTTCAGGCGGTGTTCTGGCATGAAATATCGTCTCACCCTATTGAGCACTCCTAACTTTTTGGAAGCTATCTTAGCCTTCTCCTCCAGATGCCCGCAAAACTGGACGTCGCAAGATATATCAACGCCCAGAATTCCTAGACTCGACTTTTTATCAAGGAAAGTGCCCTGAAAGTGAGGAGATACGACAAACGGCGTCTTTTTTGCGGTAAACGCGCAGACTTGTGTCTTTTTGGGGTTAAATTGGACAAGATTTTGTTCACCCCAGATCGAAACTTGATGGAGTGAAGTTTCGATTTCAGACATAATCTATTCCGGCACTCATCGGTATGTGCCCGCGAGATCTTTGCATGACCGGTATATAATGTATCTCCTGTACTGTCGTCTGCATAGCAATGAATATTACTTATCTGTAACATATCATTGATATGCAGAAGAAACAGAGTCGGAGATAGTACACAGCCTTGCGGGACACCAGCATTCAAAGGTATATCTACAGCTTAAATTGTGGGGAAGCATATACTTTCTGTGAAGATGATAAAATTGTGGTACAAATATAACCTGGGTATGCCCTTGGTGTGGGTTCCACTTGCCACCTGTGAACTTGAGCCGCGCGCGACCCTCGGGCGCCGTTGTCGCCACCGCGGCCCCCGTGTTCACGTCGTGCACCCGCAGGCTCCCCTCGTAGACTACGCCTATACGATTCGGGTCCGTGGGGTGCCACTCAGCACAACGGATTTCTTCTTCTGGTTTCTGTTTTATAAATAATTTTACTCACTATATTTCTTACCAGTTGTTTGCCCGCTATTTTGTATGTGCGGATTTCAGAATTATATATAATAGTAGTAATAGTAAACCAATAAAATATACCACTTTTGGACGATTTGTCACTGTTCAAGATCAGGCATTATAGGAATTTTAATAACCCATTTACCAGAGGGAGACTTTGTACAAAAGTCGATTGCTTGGATACCTCTGTCCCATTCGTATTTCAACCGTAAAGCAGTTATGTCTGCATGGCTGTGTCAAACATCACGAAAGGCATACACATAATATTTGGAATAGAAAAAATCATAGCCGCTTCTTATTTTAGACAATATATAAAATTTTATTATTTAGTAAAAAGTAAGTTACATACTGTTACCCCTGATGGGGTAGTCGGAGCTATTATTTTGACTGTTACATTTGTGGTAAAGGTAACACCTGACAGTCTAGGAAGATAGCCCATAAGTTGAAAACCCTGAGTGCCACAAAGTACCTGCATATGTGTGCAGCTGAATCAAGTTCAAACTTATATTAATGCAATTCTATTTAAAGAAATATTACCTCTGATGTTATAGTCTTTAGTAGCTCCATATCTTCAGCATTCCTGCCTTGTATCGCACTCAGGTCATCCAAATCTTTAGGTATCACCTGTTAATGATGAAGTTGTAAATATTAAAACTTTTTTTATATAAAAGTAGTTAAGAAATTTAGCCAGGTAATGGATTTAACAAGTCATAGTGTTTATTGTGATGTCCAAGGAGTTTAGTTACCACTTTTATCAAATGAGCTGTTAGCTCATTTGTCGTTCAAACTGCATAAAAAGTAGAAACTTTCTAATACAACTTTTAATACTGAAGAGATAATCTTTACAGATTATCCTTTTAATTTGTATCTATTAGGGTTTATTAATGAATTTTTTAAAAAAGTTGTTAGTTTCTCAAAGATATTAACTTATTATTTATGACATATGTAATAATATATATCAATTGTTTATAGAATCTTGGAAATTATGAAATATTGCAGACAGTCAAGTAACTATGATAATATGCAGCACTTAATGTCACTCACCCACCTACTCATACCATACATAAAGGATATATCTCCTTTGGAAAATACACTTTATATCCTGAGGTGATAAAAAACATTGCTACAAAGAACATCTTATAATTCCTAACACTGTTAGGAATTAGCAACAAACTTTGAAAAAAGGGTGAGCACAAAAGTTCATTTAAAGGACACAGTGTTACAGGTTTTTCTATCTGCAAAAGCCCATCTATTAATAATAATAATAAATGATAATACAATAAATGTAGTTTACCTCAACTGTGGGTAACTTGAAAATTGTGACACCCATAGTACACTGGGAGCTGTTTGGATCAAATGCATTGTGGGTAGTGAGTAGAGTAGCCACATCGTGGGGTGAACAGCGAAGGTGCCATATCTCACCAATCTCATGCTTGAATACCTGAAAATAAACCTTATTTTTTTAAAGAAATGTATATGTTACAGTAATACAAATCAAGAGTTCTTTTTACTTGAAAATAAAAAAAAAACATGAATGTATTTTTTTAATTTATTATATTATTATTTTTTGTTGTCAAAAGCACTACATGTCTGGAGTTTTCTCTGAAGATGTAAGATCTTCATAATATAGCTATGTCTTATAGATTTTTCTTTGTAAATTGTAAATACAAGTCTCTTATGCATAATTAAAGGACATAGTTTATCATAAATTTAATTCAATTCTATTAAGGCGATTGGTTAACAAAATTGGACAACACTAGATGACACTAGAATTAAGACTTGTTGTTTTTGATGATTATTTTGTATTTAAAGATAATTTGAGGCAAAATTTTAAAAAGCTTGCTCCAAAATAACGTAATATTATATTAAAACACCATTTTAACATAGAATATTGTTCTAGAGCAGAGAACAGCTGCTATTTCTTTCTAATTTGGGTTAATACTATAGCACCATAAGCTAGATACGAGAGGAGTATGTTCCATGTTTTGTTAGGTCAATTTGGTCAGTTCTCAAATTTGAACAGTTGTTAGTTTCTAAAAAACAACTGTTGTAATATTAAAATAAAAGAAAAAAATCCAAGTTGTTGTTTTTTGAAGCCTATTATGTTTAATCGCTCTGATATGTCTTATCTCAAAAAAGTATATTATTGCTAACATGATACCATACCTTAGTGTGTAAAGCGCCTGTATCTTCCTCTAATTCGACTACATGCACTTGGTTAGCTTGGGGCTTAAGATTCTGTGTACCAATTAGAAATCTAATGGCATCACTTTCTCCGTATTGGGGGGAAAGTGCCCTTGTCTAGAACAAAGACAGTTTGATTAAATTTCTCATTAATTATTGATATTACAAGTACAAATAATAAGTTTTCACCTGATGTTCTAAGCCATAAATTATAGAATTGCCTTCCTCCATCACTTAAAATAATTTTATTTGAATAGAATCTAATTTAGTTACGTAAAAAAAGCTATATCATAGTAGTTTTTCTTAATTTTTAAGTTCAGAAATTAATATTAAATATATTCGATTAGTTTTCTTCACAAACACATAAAATAGAAAACAAAACAAATCCATCACGATTCAATCAACACAACAATGACATTGACAGCATGATAGTGATCTGTCAGCCGTTTGTGTTCTTACTTAGGTCACCGACGTCAAAATAAAGCTTTATTTTTTAAGAGTTTGACAATTCCTCGGCAAAGGCATTAAAGACATACTGAAAAATTAAGAAAAATACGTGTGATTTACATAACTAATAATAGTATTAAGGTTATTAGAGGGTAGTTTCACGACAGATTAATAAAGTAATTAGAAAGTAAAAAAAAAGAAACATGAAGTAACTGTGCCCACAATACGTGCGACGTGCACATTATTAATTTGTTTGGTTTTTTTTTATACAAATTAAAATGGCATATAAGTCGACGGCCCACTTCATGGAAAGTGGTAACTGTATCCTATGGACATGGTCATAACAAAGTATAATGTGTCGACCATTATACCCTTTAAGCGTGATCATATGATAATTTTATAAAAGTAGACTATAGTGCGCAAGGTCAGCCTTAGCATACATGGAAAGTTTTTGATGGCACTCGTTTTGAAAAACAAAACAAAACAAAACATAAGAAAGGTCATTACGTTTGAAAGTAGCGTTGACAAATGTAAAATTTGATGTGATTATTAATCCTACTAGACACAGCACCTCTATTACATATCTGGGCGCCCCTTTTAGTATTCTCTCTCACTCTCTCACTAGAGATGCCAAGATAAAAAGGGAGCTCGGAGGTGGTACAATTATTTGATATGAACACCATCTAGGGCATTTTTACAAAATTCTGTTAAGAATTTCTGGAATACTTTTCTGAGCGGGATAACGGAAATGGAATCTGATATGCTTAAACAGATTTCAACTAATTTTAGGAAACAGATAAATTCGCCGCATGGTCTCGGTATAGAACGAGCTACCTCTTCCTTTCAAGAAAAGCAATGGTAGAGGGATAAGCATCAGCGTTCCTCTTAAAACATCGCCAAAGCATAACTGCGGTTGCCAACCCGCTTGCAAATTGTGGCAATTACTAAAAACTCTCTTTATGGGGAAGGAGCCTATATTCAGTAGTGGAATGGCTGATATAATAATAGTATATCCATATATATTAAATAATTTTTAATTATTATATGTGCATTACTTATGTATTGTGTATGATTGCTTTAACGTATCGCTATAATTGTCACATATTCTTCACCACATCTGCCCTTCATACGCTTTCTGTTTTTACCCAATGGTTAGCTGGTAGAGAATGCCATATGGCATTAAACCCGCCATTTTGTTAAAATTTTATTGTGCAATAAAGATTAAATAAAAAAAAATTATAGTAATAAAAGATAGATTAGTAAATACGTTACTTTTTCTGAATTCACGAGAGTAAAGTCAAAGGAGGAATTGAGTCTATATTTACACAAATTTTAGAAATAGGAAAGACTAGTTTATTTTTACGTGTATATGGATTAACTCAAAACTACTCAACTGATTTTAAAAATACTTTCATTTATAGAAAGCTACATTATCTGCAACTAATATAAACTAGTTATATTTTTTACGAAAATTCTATGTATTCGTGCGAAATCGTACATTATCACCAGAGGGAGACTTTGTACAAAAGTCGTTTGCTTGGGTACCTCTGTCCCATTCGTGTTTCAACCGTAAAGCAGTTGTGTTTGCATGGTTGTGATTCGATGTGGAATATGGCGTGAATTTACAGGGTACAGAGGAACAACACATGAGTCCTCAGGAATGGCAACGCATGGGGGGTATTATGGACGAAACAGTATACTCTGTTATGTCCATGGTACGGCTCGTGCCTATAGGCGACGGTTACCACTGTCCATCAGGTGGGCCGTCAGCTTGTTTGCCATTCTAAGTTGTATAAAAAAAATAAAAAAAAACTACATTATCTGCAACTAATATAAACTAGTTATATTTTTTACAAAAATTCTATGTATTCGTGCGAAATCGGACATCATCATCATCATCATCATCATCATGTCAGTCATTATGTGTCCACTGCTGAATATAGAACTCTTCCATAAACTGCCATAAAGAACGGTCCTAAGCCACTTGTATCTACTGACTCCCTGCAATGCATTTTATAAATGAAAAACGAGGTACCTAGTATGTGAACTAGACATAGAAAGTATCTGCGTATTAGTATTAGACTGTATAGTACAGCGTGTAAGTCAACGTTCGGCCACCCGCAGTAGATATTGGGTTACGGACATACTACGTTTGCTATATGAGATGGTATAAATGAGTAGAAAAGTGTTTAAGAGCGTAAATACTGATGTTTACCGAATTGTCGCAATATCGCAATTATGTGTAAATTTTTCATCCTAACTAATTGAACCATTATTAATATTCATTATTTAATAATTGACAATATCTTTACAATTAAACATCACACAATTAAATTCACTTTGACATTTATAATATTAGTGAATTTCATCATCGTATACCACAAACTAAAGTTTCATCCTAACCATCTGAATGACTGGCGGTCTTCCATCATGCGTTTTTATTGTAATTTCTTGTGCATACAACTACGCTTTAACATCAACTTTCAACAGTAGTATTTGCGAGTCGATACGACATTGTAACCTTAAAAAAAAAAAAGAACATATTCCATTTTAAAAGGCCAGCTGCACATCTACAATCTCTTCGGTATTGTGTAGATGTAGTTGTCGCTTACTATGAGGTGAGCATACATTTGCCTCCTGCGTTATAAAAAAAAAAGTAAGAATTTTAAATCAACTAATATTGTCGTCGTCTGTACTTACGTACGGTAGAATAGTTCCATTAGGCCTGTTACGCTAATCCTTCCTTTGTTCGCTTGTATTCGGCCAATGTCTGACCGGTGGCGTTGGTACATAAAGATTCTAATAACATTACGTCTTATGATCAAATAGAAAAAAAAAATTTATATATTGAAAAAAAAGTGAATACGTGATTGAAATTTAAAAATAGAATAGTGAAAAAAGTACATATTATGATGTTGATTTAAATTTATAGTTAATTATTATTCAGTTTAGACTATTAATTAATTAGCTACAAATTAAATTATGTATATATTAAAATTATTAAAGTTGACTTCTGAATAAGTACTGAATTTAAAATATAATTTCGTGTAGGTATTTATTATTTTTATTTTTTAACGTACACTTATGTATCGATCAAGCGTACAATGAACTAAATTGATTAATTAGTCCGCTGTGTGAATTATGAGCATATATGTTTATAGATAGAGGAATGTGTTCTCCATTTTATTAATATAATATAACTGTAACTATACGATGTCTATATATAGATGTTGAATAAAAATTGATAGGAGACGATTTAATAAGAGCTATAGAAGCTAAAATAATATTTTTTAGAAATATTATGTCTGTCTATATGTATGTTTGTTCTGGCATCACGCGAAAACTATATGTACACGCGAAAACTGTATGAGAGTTTCACTGTTGCATTCCTGAATATTTAACTTAATAATTGGCGTAGGTTTTGTCTCGATGCATGATCTAGTCGTGATCTATTTAATATGATTTTCTACTTCTAAAATCTACGTGTACAAAGTACATGTGGACAAACAACTAGTTTGTAATAACATTTTATATAAGTGTCATCCTACAAAAGATCTAAATATCCTGGTTCCTTTATTTTTTTTATATTAGAATATGTAAAATAAACCAAAGGATTAAAAGGCTATTTACTTGATATTATTATTCAAACTAACTAAACTAAAAAATGGACATACATTATTTATTTTAACAATACGAGTTTTTATTTGTTTTAACGGGGTTATTATTCTATTTTAACCCATTAACAAGTTTGATTACTAAATACAATACCCCTCCCCCTCCTTTCAAGGTCAGTAAAAATAATCAACTTTGTTACAGTTTTTCTCAGTATAGAAGACATAATGAAGTTTCCAAGCTTACCAGTGATACCTGATTGGGCCACAGCATACAAGCCAACGTCTCTGGTCTCCCACCACGAGGGTTACACTGTGGGCCAGACGACCGGTGGCCTCAGCGTGTTCTTCACTGTGCTGTGTATTGTCGATCTTTTTGGGGTCTTCCCTGTCATCGCATTGCCTAAAAGCGTCATATCTTGTGGTACGTATCTAAGAATTGTTGCTTAACGGTATTATATTTCTATTGTTTAAAGTATCGTAAGCACATATTATGTAATAACTACCGGTTTAACTTACGTGTAATTAGATCGAAAAAGCTGGACTAGTTTCGGAATTGATCCGTGATCCTTAGTCATGAGTGACCGTAACGCGAGCAGGAACCTGACTAGGTATATGCAATTACATTTTGCCGCGAAACAACTTGTTTGCAAGCTGTGTTTTGGTTTAACATTCGGTGTAAGTGGTAGTGTGAACCTGGTGTAGAATGGGCTATCCCTTCCTTTCCCGTGGATGTTATAAGAGGCAACTAAAAGAATATTATGGTCGAGGGACGGTGGATCTGATGATGGATCTAACTGCGGTTACCAACCCTACTGCCTGGGGGGAAGGGATTGTTAGCAATGGGGAGGTTACTCCCCATTGCTAGTAACACACTCTTTCAGGTTGACCTCCACGTGTTTCTTCCTGGAAACGATCGTGAACAATTCTTGTTGAATTCGTTAAGATGGGCTAACAGACCTGCTTCATCCTCACCTATCATCCTTCACTGGTGCCTCGCCGGTGTATACCGATAGTGCGGGCGGGGCTACGATTCCATTTTCACCCATAAAAAAAAAAAACTGCGGTTACCAACCCTACTGCCTATGAGGCCTATGTTCATTAGTGGATAGTTAACATATGATGGTGATAAAGATCTTAGTTTAAAAGGTTAAATATGACGATGAAATTACTAGGAACTATGAATCAAAGTCACAAGGTTTCTTTTTAGAGCATAGTGGGTGTTGGAAGCGGAAACGTTTCGGGCTTTACTACTGTAAGACCAACTTATGTTTTATAATTTATCACTCTCATTGTATATATTATGAAAATAAATCCTACAAAATTTCGTATGAAGTACCACCGCATATAATAATTGCCTTTAAGCGGTTGTGGTGGTACGGCTATATTGAAAATAGGGCACGTCTTCGTACCAATTACTTTCACTGCTACTTATAACTTGTAAGACTCATTTTTTTGAAGGCATACGGAGAGGGATAATTAGAAACGAGACTAACAGCTCCATTGCTAGCAACATACAATATCAGCTAATCCTCCACGCGGTTCCCCCTGGAAAACATCTCAACTAATTCTTATGAAATTCATCACGATGGGCTAATTTACCTGCTTTCATTTTTATCTATCATCCATCCTTCACTGGCGACCCGCCAGCGTATATCGGTACCTCGGGCGGAATTACTTTACGGGCGATTTTCAACTTGTTTAATGCCTCTAACTATATACTAGCAATGACATGATACTATGTTAATATCTGTTGAATTTATATTTGCAGGTATATATGGCCTACCTTTGGTAGTGTGCGTATTTGGACTGCAGTTATACACAGCAGTCTTGCTCGGAAAATGCTGGATCCTTGCGCAAGAGATAACACCTAACATTAGCAAGAAGAATCGGTTAGTCATGTTTCATTCTACTCACTCTGATGATTTGTACAAAAGTCGTTTGCTTGGGAGCTCATTCGTGTTTCATATAAACGTTTAATGGCTGTGACGGTTTGAAGAACAGTGAATTTACAGGGTATATTATTATAACATGAGAGATATTATGGGCGAAACAGTATACTATATTATGTCCATGGTACTGCTCATGTGTATAGGTGACGGTTACCACTTTCCATCAGGTGGGCCGTCAGCTTGTTTGCAATTTTAAGTTGTTTAAAACAAAACTCTACTCTGATAATTCGGAAATGCCTTTTGAGAGAATTCATATAAACTTAATATTGACTAAGTACATTGATGTCGAGGTATATTATTATAACAGACAGATTTACCGAAAACTGATAAAATATTTTTATATCTGGTTTGATTCTAAAATGATTTATAATATATATATTTTTTTATACAAAAAAGTCATTCATATTTTTACAAATTTATGTTCCATTAAAAGTATGTGTCTTCAAATTATCTAATTTTAATGTAATTATGTAAAATTTTGTAGACTACCTTACGCTGCAGTGGCGGAATTGACTTTTGGGGTAATGGCAAGACGGATCGTAACTTTTTTAATAGACGCCGCTGTTTTTGGAGCCGGAGTTCCGAATTTTATATTAGGTGAGAAAAAATATATAATAGATTATAGTGAACAGGGCAGTTTTAAAATTCATACAAACCGCACGCAGATGGACCAACTGATTTAAATTTATTCTCACCTGTCATACTTCATTGGTACCTTGCCAGTACCAATTACGCAGGCGGAGTTTTTGTTCCATTTTGATCTATTGTTTATTAATTTTTATTTATTTATTTAATACTTTATTGTATCAATTATTTATAAAAATATGACAGGTAATCAATAATACAAAGGCGAGCTTAATTGTAAAAGAGTTCTTTCCTGCAAACCCAGTGGGAAGGAACATCTATATTAGCGGGTAGAGCTGTGTACAATATTATGGAAATTTTTAAACAAAGAAATTAGACAAACTTTAATTAATTACATTATGTTTAATCGTATAAATACACATATACATATACATAAATATATACTTACACCTATGCATATACTATGTTTATGCTGTTTGAGGCAAGTTGTCCATAGTATGTTCATAAGCATATTTAAAGGATGGGGGGGTGAGAGGGTGAATGCCCACTCCAAGAACAAAGCTTCGCAAAGACATATCTAAGAGTACATATGCACCTTCTTAAGGAGGCAAGTCCCTTTGAAAATAAATAGGTCAATGGCTACGTATGTATGTACGATTAACCCCGTATACAGTTAAACTTGTTTTGAAAATTACAAGGACTGTATTTACAATCAGCTTCACAGAGCATGCAGCTTTTCTGGTGGAAGATCAGCGGCGGCGAGGTGGGCATCACTTACTGCGTGTGGATGCTGGTTATAGCGCTTCTACTCTGCCCCGTCATGTGGCTGGGTTCGCCAAAGGATATGAAGTAAGACATATAGACTTATACTATCTTTTGTGTGTTTGAATGTATTTATTAGGGGTAAAAATTTTTAAAAGTTACTAGATATTATCTAGTTAGTTTTAAAGTTGTAAATTTTAGTACTCTTACCTGATGATAGTGAGGCAATCAATATGATGCCTCCAGACCGTTGGCGGTGACGTCAGTGCTGATTGTGACGACAGTAGCGATGTCCGTCTGGTCGTGTATACTGCTGGATGACGTCTCCCCGCGCAGTGCGGGGAGCCTGCTCGACTACCAACCCAGCGCTGAGGACTTCCTCAATGCTTACGGAATTATAGCTTTTCAGGTATGATGCACTTTTATAAACAGGGTGAAATATAAAATATTTATCCTAAAGCAACAAACTAATCTCGCATACTAAGCGCCACCACAGCGCGTTGTGTTAAGCTATCATTTTTGTTAGATTTTATAATTTTACTGTCGTTATATATATTTATATATATATATATATATGTGTGTGTCAATAATTTAATAGTTAATGTATTAAAATATTATATTATATGTACATTTATTTATTTATAGAAAAATTTGTAACTTAAAAAAGTACTATATTTTATATGAATATTATTTGCATATATATATGCATGCTTAACGTTAGTTGAGTATGGAACTATCTACTTATTAAATTAAAGCTCGTATCACTTATTTAAAGCAAATAAAGTATTTTATTCTATTTTATAAAATAAATAAATTTAAATTTCAGTTCGATATTCACCCACTGCTACTGACCATCCAAGTGGATATGAAGGATGGCAGGAGGATCAACTCGGCGGTGTTGGGGGGATTTGCAGTCACTGTCACCATGTTCGCGGTCACAACTGCACTTGCTGCTTATAGATATGGGGATCATGTTACCAGTAACATATTACAAGGTATTTTTTTTTCTATTTACTTAGAAGAGCAAACAAACTGACAGCCCAGTTGATGAAAAGTATTATTATTATTGGGAGATAAATTTTTTAATCGACTTCATAAAGGAGATCGTCAATTCGGTTGCATATTTTTTTATGTTTGTTACCTCATAACTCTGCCAGTTTTAAACCGATTTGTATTATTTTTTATTGGACAGAACATATATACAGATTGGTCCCCAAATAATTGGTTTTGTCACAATTGATATGTAACTAGGGAATTTAAACAATGTTATCTTTTTAAAAGTCACTTAAAAATGCAGATGGAATAACAATCTCCATCTCTTCCAAGCCTCTCATACTCATTTTAAAAAATATTTATTTGTTATGCTTATTGTATATATACAAACCCTATAAACACTTTCTCCTTACGGGTTTTTAAAATTGACTTTTGAAAAAATCCCTTTAAGAGATAAGTTCGCTTGAGATATTAGGTTATAACAAAAATGTACAATTTTTGTTATTTATACTATAAGTGAATGTACAAAAGCATTTAATTAACAAATAAATCATCATACTACGGTTAGAATTAGCAAAACAATATACAAAAAATATCGTAACGTTAGGAATTTCTGTTTTGAAGTCTTTTAGGCCTATATTCAGCAGTGAGCGGTTAATGGCTGATATCATGATGTCTTAGATAAAAATAATTCTATTAAAAAAATATGTATAATAATTTGTTTACAATAAGCTGTAGTAGTTTGCGAAACAATACATAAAAAAATTTAGTCGAATAAAGAATTGAATCGAACTTTCTTAGTTTATGTCTTTTAAAAATAAGTTCTCTACCCAGGTATTCCACCGTCCATAACTTTGTACGTGGTGGCGTTGCTGGTCACCATCCAGCTATGTCTGTCCAGTGCCGTGGGAAATTCAGCGCTTTTCCAGCACATTGAAGAATTACTGAAAATTCCTAGAGGTCGGTATTTTTTTTTTCCATCCATCAATAATTATTCGCTTAATTTATAATACAATGATATTATAATAAAAGAAAAAGGTTTCAAAGATATATTACGAATACATCGAAAATGAAATCTGGAAATGCCGCTGAGTTCGCGCTTCTATAACATTTGCATGCATTGCATTTCTGGGCATAGATTCATTACTACCATAGACATCGTGTCATGCAATGGAATCTATTCTCATTAAGGCGTCATTAAATTTTAAATTTTAATTTTATATCACATGGAAATCTTTATTCTAAAGGCCAGTATGAATTAAGTTTCTAATAGATTTAAGCTAAAATCTATATAAATTTATTTTATGATGGAACAATAATTTCAGGAAACTATCAAATTAAAACATTAGGTTAATACGTAGATTTAGAGAAATAGCGCTGTAGAATCGACCTCAATGCTCTAAAAGTCCATATATGAATCTTTTGAATAACGGCTCGAAGGACCAAAGTGGCAAATTTAGTAACCTCGCGGCAATCAAACAGATATGAATAGATGTGATCATAATGAAAAAACGGATCTATCCAGGATCCGCCCAAACTAATATCTATTACGTTTTCTATAAGTTAAGCAAAGTTGCGGGCTATATCTAGTATCAAATAATGAAGAAGAACTTTTAACTTTACAGATTTTTGCTTACAGCGTTGCCTGCTCAGATCAGGTATTGTGGGGTTGGCTGTGTTCTTAGGAGAATCAGTTCCAAGGTTCGACCTAGTGATGGGACTAGTTGGCTCAACGCTTACAGGACCGCTAATGTTTGTTTTCCCGCCATTATTCTTTATCAAGCTCTGTTACATGAAAACAAAAATGTCCGAAAAGGAGGTTGCAAATAATATAAGCTATCACAACTTAAAACAAAATGGTATCAACAATGATATACATGGAAAGAAAAATTCAAGTTCGATATTCAACTTTGATATTTATAGAACGAGAAATAACGTACAAACCGACACTATGAATTACACACAAAATGGCGGATCGAATGGTACACAAAATGGAGGACTATCAAAGTTCCCGCTCATTTTAGAATACCACACAAAATATAAGACGTTTAGTAATTATGAGGAAATTGAGGACAAGAACGATGGATATAAAGTGAAATGGTACGATATGTTTTTAGCGTTAACGGTAATGGTGATTGGTGTGACAGCTTCAATAGTAGCGACCTTTTCGAGTTGGTCGAGCAGCATAAACTATGCTACTTTCTCGCCGCCATGTTTAATTAACGCCACGGTAGCTGCCAGAAGTTTCCTAGAATATTCTGACACAGTGTAAATGTTATTATCAATTTTTTGTAAACCCTATGATATATTGTGCTAGGCACTAAGCATAGTATAGTAGTTACTAAGCATTATTTATTATTTTAAGTGCCTTATTTTGTACTTTGTAGAAATATGATTATAATATAATATTAATATTATTATAATGGCATGAATGTAAAAAAAAACAATACTAAGTATTATAAAAATTACCAAATTAAGATTAATTAGGTATTAGGTGGAATATAAGATGGATGTATGTATGAATGGATTATTCAAGTAGTGAATCGAGGCATTATTTTGGTACATACCTAGTTCGAGGGTTCGTTACCATATTTTAAATAGAATGTTCTAAAGTTATATGGAGTTTAGGAAGTTTATCAAACGAAGAGTGTGCGCAGAGTAAAACATTCTATAGAATTAATACTTACGACTTATAATGGGGTCGATTCTTTTGCATCACTTCTCTATGCCTATATCTAATATTTTTTTCTTTATTGGATGAAAATGGAATAGTAACCCCGCCTGCGCTAACGGGATAAGCTGGCGGGGCACCAGTGAAAGGTGATTGATGAGGATGAAAACAGGCCAGTTAGCCCATCATGATGAATTCATATGGAATTAATCATGATAGTTTCCAGGGGGAACCGCGAGGAGGTCGACCTGGTTGGGTATATTACTAGCAATGGGATTCTCAGTCTTCATTACTAACAATCCCTTTCCCCCCCTATATCTAATATTAAATTTCAATTTTATATTAACGCTTTTATTCTAAGGGTCAATATAAATAAAATTTCTAATAGATTTAATTTTAGAGGCTGGTTTAGAGAATGATGCCACAGAATCGACTCCATTGCTAGTTTGTTATCTGTAAATACGTTCCTATATACACAATAGTATTTAGGGCTAAAGAAAAAATTAAAAATAATTAATAACAACTTTTTATTCAACATATATATTGTACATAAGTGATCATAGTTTTATGTTATGAAGGAAAATATAAATTATATAAATTACCGATTGTGTAAATCAAACATTTCACGCAATTTACGCTGTTAATGAAATTAATAAAAGGCTTCATATAATTACTTAATTATATAGATTAAATAATGTAATAGTAAATATTAAAATTTCAAATTTAGAAGCACTCACCCATTTTGAAAACTTTCCAAGCCTCACAAACAGTAATTAGACTAGACAAGGCACTTACTTGGCGTTACAATATTACGCAATAAGTATTATCTGAACTGTAACAAGGTATACGTGCCGCGTAATTTACGTTAAGTTGATCTTTAGTAGATTTTGATGAAATTAACTCGTTTGTGAATAAAATTCATTGTTCATTAAATAAACGAAATATAACATTATTATAATATTTTGAGTATTCAATGCTACGCCATTCAAACTCGTCCGCTTCGAAATTTGTTTAATCACATAATAATAATTTAATAACATTTCTATAATAATTTTTAAATAACAAATTGCCAAATGTCTAATTGCACATAAATGGAAAATACAAATTCTTCAATTATAAATATATAAAATCAATAAATAAAACAAGACTATTCAAATCACACACAGTTCATAACTTTTAAGGTAAAAAATAACAAACAACTATATTATTATTATAAAACAATAACAATTTAAAATAACAAAAGTTAATTTTGTTCATAACTCATAAAGGAACATAATTTTCTTAATAATAAAACACACTTATTTTTGTTACAACAGTAATGATTTATCACCAAAAAAAAAAAGAAAAAGAAATTAAACAATAATAAATGCGAAATTATGAGTTTGTGATATTTTAAATTAAATATAAACATTATTAGTTTTTATTAATACCACCATAGTCACATTCTATGGTGATGGATGGATGTTCCATAGTCAGAATGTAGCAAGATGTAAGGTAACAAAGCCATATGCCATTACAAAAGAAAGCACCATAGTTGTATTTAAAGGTGAGTAATATATAGCAATATCTATATATTTTAGTTACAATATTTATATACTGGTTCAATAACGAATATACTAAAAGTTTGTTATCCAAAAAATAACATATTCGAATATCCGATCGAAATGGGTGATAAAATTTTTTCCGCCATCAATATCCAGAAGAACCCAATATATAGATATCGGATCGGAATCCATATTACCAATGCCTAATTTAAGAGGCGTGCTCAACCCAGGATCTGAGCGAAGCTTCACAAAGACATGTCTGATATACGACCTTTTAAGGAAAATAATCTTAAATGACTATGCCAATGGAAAACTCTAATTAAAACTATATACCAAGTTGGCTAGCGAACGTGGTAATGGTAGGCTAATATCGTCCACCGACTGGAAGTGACATGAGTTTATCAGTGGTAAGATAAAAACAACAATATATATATATATATATATATATATATATATATATATATATATATATATATATATATATATATAAGCGAAAACTCTACACATTCATTACATACATATTTTTTAAACTTCGGCCAGAAAATAAAAACTCTACCTTTGAGTCATGTTGTAGGGCTTTTATAATGACAGTACAGTCAATTATACCAATCAATAAAACTAGAGAAAGTTAAAACTTGTGTCTACAAATAAGCATAAGTATCTTTTTGGACAAAATCAAATTTAACACACGCACATATACACACATACATGCATGCACGTACGCACACATGCACACACACATATAAAGTCTTCCCTTTCGGTAAACATATTTGGAATGTACTCGTATCAAGGTTTACCTACTCTAAAATGCAGTGTCTATAGATATATTGAAAAATACATTATTTGCAAAGTACAATGGGCAAACAGTTTAGGAGATAGGAGAGACCTGATGAACAAACTCACATACGTATGCTGCTAAAATCATAACCAACTGTACTGTTATCATTAAAAAAATGTATTAATATATATATCCGTAAAATGGCGAGCGAAGGTTTTTAATATCCTGGCCGGAAATTAAAATTATTTTATTCAATCTTGCCTTTTTGTTACTTAAGTTCAAATATTCTTGTCTTCAATATTAATTGGAGTCCACAGCCTCGTGGGAAGCCATTCCCGTGCTAAATTGGTCAGAGTTAGCACTCAATCATAGCCAACAAAGAAACTTTAACGGCATTGAAGTGTGCGTGGGGAGCGCACTAGATTAATTATAATTGTAAATAAATAAATATTACAAATAATTTATAATCAACGCGCAATTAAGTACTCCTAAATAATAGAACAAAATGGCAAAATTAAATGTTTGCTTTACTAACGAAAAATATTATGGCCTTTTATAGTAACACGATACACAACCTGCACCTTAAAAAAAAAAACTTACTTTATACAATTTAGAATGGCAAAGATGTTGATGACCTATCCACTGAAAGTCGCAACCATCGCCTACACAAAACAGTACCATAGACAATACAGACTGCACTATTATGCCCATAGTACCCCTCATGTGTTGCCATTGCCGAAAACTAAGGATGCCTTATTATTTTCTAATTTCACTACCATAAACCAGCCTTCAAACCGAAACACAACCTTGCAAGCATAACTGCTTGGCTATAAAGCACGAGTAGAAAAGAGGTACCCAAGCAACTTTTGCAGTCTACCTTTAGTTTTAAAATAAAAAAAAATAAATTATTTCCTCTCTCCTTTTTTCAACCCTAAATCTTTTCCGTACAACTTTCTTATTTCTTTCTTATCCAGTTTACCCATAGCGTTCCTAGGCATTTGCTGTATAATTAACAAAGTCCTGGGTAGTTGGTAGGGAGCCAGTTTCTTGCCGGTTTCGTCTTTCAACTCTTTTAGGGTGAGCTTAGTGTTTTCCTTCAATACAACAACGGCCGCAACTATCTCACCGTAGTCTTCATCCTCAATGCCTAGGACAGCTACATCTGAGATGCTAGGGTGCTCCAAAATGGCGGACTCGACTTGCAAAGCGCTGACCTTGTAGCCACTGGTTTTGATTATGTCTACAGAGGTTCGGCCTAGGATTCTGAATTTACCGTCCGCGTAGAGAACCGTGTCGCCGGTACGGAACCAGTCGTCTTTGGTGAAATCTGGTGAGTCGAGCTTCGGCGCACGATTCCAATACCTGATTATTGTAAACGGTCAATATTAAAAGTTGATTAATATATTAAATACATTATCGGGACATAACGCGACACGACTGCAAGTAGATAGTACCTACATATCTGATTTTTCCTTCCCTTCCTTTTTAACTTCGCTTGCCAAGCGTGGCAACTACGGAAAAACCCCTCAATGGTGAGGCAAATTTTTGTGTAGTTGTTCGGAGGAAATAAATTTAACAACTAACTTTGTCTATTCGCATATATTATATACAGAAGGCAAATATTATATCCAAAGGAATATGTAGAAAATAATATATAAAAACGGAAATTAGAAGTGTAAGAGACTAGAGATCGAGATGGAGAGAATGACAGCAGAAATGAGTGTAAGAAGTAAACGTCGCTGTCATGTCTGTACGACCAGTCCGAAGGAAAGAAAGAGGTGAAATATCTATGTACAATTTAATTAACCTACTTGAAGGAAAATAAAGTAATTATGTTGACAAGTGGCTACGAGATATGTACAATATTTATTTACAGTCGCCACATATGGACATTTAACGGCTAATATGATGCCTTGTTTTCATACGTTTCGACATTTAATCGTAGCTAATATGATGCCTTGTTTTCATTTACAAAAAAAAATATATTTTACTTATTATTTTTTGATTTATTTATTTATGGCAACAAACGATAATAGTATTTCATTTAGATTTTTATTTTAAAATAATTAACAACAAAATAATATACATTACAGTTTTTAGAACAGTGCCAATAACAATTTTTAAAACATAGAGATAATTATTAAAACCTTTACACCGTAGCATAAATATGCCATTGTATATGTTCAATTGCCGAGTGTGGGGGCCAGAATACTGTAACACAGGGTACCCTAGTACGGATTCTGTCCACTTTTAATGACAGTCTATATATATATATTAGTTTTAGTAAAATGTATAAAAGAAGTGCCATTGTAATAGAAATAATATAAAATAAATAATAAATATAATAATAAATAAATTATATATATGTGTAATATTCCTTTTTATATGTTATTGTACTCGTGATTTCCTGGGTGAGCGTATTGGAAAACTGTAAGGCTCACCCAGTGGATGTAATAAATAAATAAAATTGATTTTGTACATATATTATTTTTGTCCGCGAGTTCGTATTTGTAGATTTTGGAAGTAATCCTTACTAATATCATGAGAAAGTCAGTTTGTTCGTTTGTCACCTTTTAGCGCCTTAACGGCTTAACCAATCGCTATAAAATTTAATATACACATACTATATGGAATAGAGAAGAATATAGGGTACTTTTTATCTCGATCAGTGAATATATCCCTGTCACGTGGACGAATTCGCGGGTAAAATATAGTTTAAACTAATATTATAAAGAAAAAGAATTTTATTTTTGTTTGTAAGGAATAAACACAGAAAATAGGTAACCAATTTTTATAATCCTTTTACCTATAAAAAATTACTTTATCAACAACTAACATGAGCAGTATTTTATTAAAAAAAAAGGTCTCTCTCTATTAACCTATGCAAAGCCGGAGCGGACCACTAGTAATCTACGTATGATAGATACAATAAAATCAAAATATACCTGGTGAACACTCCCGGGCCCTTCAGAAGCAGTTCACCTTGGTAGGTGTCGTCTTCGCTCGGCTCGTGCACGGTCACTGTTGGAGGCTGCCACTCGGATTGTTCAGAATTGGATTGGTTCTCTTTGGTGATCAAGCCGAGACGTTCGAGAGATATCTGTAAGTAAAACCATTTTATAAGTAACTATTAACCCTTTCCACTCCTTTCACTCTCGAGTGACACTCGACATAGTGTAATACTTCTTTTTGCGGACAATTTTAAAAAAGGTGGGACTTTTTTTACAAAAATTTTTGATAAAGATCAGGATTGTGCTGTGTGTTCCCACCGAAAAATAAAAGAGGGGAGAAAAGAAACATGCTATTTCTGCAAAACATGTGAGGCAAAACCTTCGCTTCATCCCGGGATTTGTTCTGAAAAATACCATACTAAAAGGGATTATAAAGATTAGAATTAAGAATTATAATATAGTATCCTGTCATTAATCGTAAAATAAAGTTTATCATATAAAAAAAAAAAACTATTTTATTTACAAAATACGAAAAAACCCCTAAAAGTTTTACAAAAACGCAATTTTAGCGTGGAGCTGGTTGAATAAAAAGAAAAAAAGAACTTGGAGTAGAAAGGGTTAAATTTGATTAATTTTCGTTGTAACTTTTGACAAATCAAACATGTTTCTTAGCAAGTTCTTCAAGATGAGCTAACTGGCCGCTCTTATACTGTCGTATATAGCAAAGGGTGGTGTAGTATTTAACTTTCAGAAAAAACGCGTTGCTAGCAATGGTGCTGTGATTGCTAGCAATATATCCTCAATAGGAAAAGGAAGGAAAGAAAAAAAAGGAAAGGAAAGAGAAGGAATACAGCTCAATGTCCAAGTGATTTTCCTTGGAAAATATCGTGATTAATTTCTGTATACTACTATATTATTACACTGTACCACAGATAATATAATACTGTAATAGTACCTACATATGTACACTGACGCGAATTACCATGTGTTCTAGGACCGCTCCAAAAGTCAATCTGAGTCAGCCCATCATGATGAATTCATCAGGAATTAACCATGATAGTTTCCAGGGGGAACCGCGAAGAAGTCGACCTGGTTGCGTATATTGCTAGCAATAGGATTCTCAGTCTCCATTACTAACAATCCCTTTCCCCCCTATTCCTATATATTACCCACCCCTACTAATAACACCTTTTTCCTAAGTTGTCTGTACTCACGTGGGCGTCGGTTGCGGGTACGGGACACTCGACGGTAAGCAGCGGCCGCAGGTCGGGGCCTACGATGCGCGCCGCCATGCCCGGCAGAGGGCGCCCCACGTGGCCCGGCGTGCGGGACGTCGCCGGCCTGTACGGGTTGCTCAGCGCCATACCCGCTTCACTCATGCCGTAACGTTCCAGTAAACGCATGCCCGATATCTGGAGGATAATTTACTTATTATTACATACTGTTATGTTGCGTTGGTTTGGTCATTTGGAGAGGATGGATGAAAGAAGAATTACGAAAGCGATTTATCGAGCAAAAATGAATGGAGATGTCGGTAGAGGCCGCCCTAGACGGACGTATGTTGACCAAATAGGCGACGTGCTGAAAAAGAGCCAAATTAAAAGTACCCGTAACCGGCGAGAGTGTATGAAAAGATTCATTAATGTGGAGGAAGCAAAAGAGGTTTGTTTGAATCGAAGCATTTGGCGTTCCTTTGTTTCTGCCTACCCTAATGGGAGACAGGCGTTACAGATATGTATGTATGTTCCTAACGAAATAGGCAAAGAGGCCGTGTGTTAAAATCCTAATAGAATATAATGTACTTTTCTACAGATGAAAGAATGTTTAAATTCGGTCGAGGACTTTTTGTGTCTATCCATTACAAACAAACACATAAACACTCAAATCTTTTATTTTTATATTGTTAGTATAGATATCAAGTAGATAACACCTAATAATTTAGAATATAATTCAAATATGTGTTTTCCTAATTACCTTAGAAAATCACTGACAAAAAAAAACTTAAAAAATTTAAAAACTCAAGTACGTGTGATCTTATAGCCGAATTGTAGTTAGGATACATAAACCCATAAAAAACTCTACATATTTTCAAGGATGTGTTGCACGTTGAACAATGCACCCTTGAAAATTCTGATAAGAGGGTAATTCTCTTATCACCAAAGACTTTAAAATAGAAAAAAATTGAACTAAAAAACAATATTCAAAAAGGTTTATTAAACACGGGAATTAACGCAATTATTTAGATAAAAATAAACCATAAATCATGCAACGAAAGTCTATAAGTTCTAAATGTTGACATTTAAAATGGAATTCTAATACCGTCATCATAAAGTTCACTTTTCCATTTTCGTAAAACGTGACGTACATACCTCTTCCCACTTGTAGAACAGTTTATCTGGTAGCGGGGCGGAGCCGGCTGCGAACAGTCGCATACGAGCGAGCGCAGCGCGAACGTACTGCGCGGTGCGAGCGTCCGCGAACATTCGCTCGTAGTCGGCGACGAGGCGTGCGTACATCGCCGGCACGCCGTGAAACACAGTCGGTCGGGCATCATCCCGCTCGCCCATCCCGAGCAGCCGAGCCCATACTACGTGTGACGCGAACGACGCCAACATACGGATTCTAGATAGGACATATTCGCAAATAAGTAAATGTGGGGGGAAAGGGATTGTTAGTAAAGGAGATTGAGAATCCCATTGCTAGAAATATACCCAACCAGGTCGAACTCCTCGCGGTTCTCTCTCGAAATTAATTCCTGATAAATTCATCATGATGGGTTAACTGGCCTGTTTTCATTCTTATCTATCACCCTTCACTGGTGCTCCGCCAGCGTATCCCGTTAGCGCAGGTGGGGTCACCATACCATTTTCACCCATAAAAAACATCAATTCCTGCACCAAGATTAAGACTTATATTATATAAATCTTGTATGATTTAATACAAAATTTTTACATTTTAGCAGAGGGAGACTTTGTATAAAAGTCGATTGCTTGGGTACCTCTGTCCCATTCGTGTTTCTACCGTGAAGCAGTTGTGTTTGCATGGCTGTGTTTCTATTTAAAGGGTGGGATATGGCGTGAATTTACAGGATACAAAGGAATAACACCTGAGTCCTCAGGAAAGGCAACGCATGGGGGTATCATGGACGAAACAGTATACTCTGTTATGTCCATGGTACTGCTCATGTCTATAGGCGACGGTTACCACTTTCCATCAGGTGGGCCGTCAGCTTGTTTGCCATTCTAAGTTGTATAAAAACAAAAAATGCAGATACTAGTTAGGCATATATTAGGTATGTGTATTCGTATTTACATGTGTATGTGTTTAGAACTATCCACTGAGATATAGGCTCGGCCTGTTTCAGTGACTAATAGATTTAACTAAATGTAGTTTATTATTAAATAAAGATATTATTGTTATATATTTACTTGTATATATTGATTTATTTAAGTATCCCCAAGAGGGTTGACGTCAGGCAGGTGGCCGGTCGTAAAACTAAAAGTCAAATCTTTTTGTAATATGGATAAAAAACATATTACGCCGACCCCAAATAATGATTGGGATAAGGGTAGGAAAAAGAAGTATTAGTAAGTTAACATGTACATTTATACATTCACATTATTGTACGTATACATATCTCTATATGTATTTAAAATAATGAACAGAGAGTGATTAGAAACAGTTTGCTTTATAATTACACTCCATTACAAATCCAAAGGTTGCCTGGAAGAGTTCGCTCTTAGCGATAAGGCCGCCCATTGTTTTCTCATTGTGATTATTTCTTGTAATTGCTCATATTTATAAAAGGTTTACTATTGTAATTTTATGGAGGAAACAATAAAGGGTATCTATCTATATATATAGTATGCGTTATAGCGAATTAGATTGATTATACCATTAAGACGCTAAGAGGTTTTTTTTTTATGGATGATAATGGAATGGTAACCCCACCCGAGCTAATGGTATACACCGGCGGGACACCAGTGAGGGATGATAAATGAGGATGAAGCAGGTTAGTTAGCCCATTGTGACGAATTCAACAAGAATTGTTCATGATGGTTTCCAGGGGGAACCACGTGGAGGTCGACCTGATATTCCATTGCTAACAATCCCTTTCCCCTCGGACGCTAAGAGGTAGCTGCAACAAACAAACTCACTCTCACATTTATAATAATATAGTAAGGACAAGCGATCTGACCCGACTTCGCACGAGTAGACAGAGTTTTCGAAAATCAATACATATAACGTAAAAAGTTTAAGCCAATTCAACTGATCGGTTATTTTATAGCGTTTTATATGTGATTCTTTAGATTGATATAACTTTTTTATTTGTGAACCGATTGGAATAAAACAAACACTAAATGTTAAGTGAAGCAAACCGCAACGCATGAGTGAAAATCGCATTCAAATCGGTTAAGTCGTTTTTGAGATTAGCGTGCATAAACGTAAAAATAATCAAAAAATTAAAAATCATTGTTTTTGGGCTCTATAGTGTTCATAAAGTCCTCCTATAATAATTTTTTTTATATATCTACCATGTACAGTTACAATTTTATTATATGTATTGATAAAGAGAATTATTATAAAAAATGAAAAATTAATGAAATCATATAAAAAATGAATAGAGGAATTATAATTACCTGGCGCCGGCAGCCAGTGAGGCGTTCATAGAGTTCAGTTGACCATGTATGTGGTGCAGTGGGAGTGTGTGCAACACGACATCATTGCATGAGTACTGCCACGCTGTGTGCAGAGACGCTATCTGCGTTTGGAGCATGCTGTGGGTCCAGACAACGCCTTTGGGCTTGCTTGTTGTGCCTTTAGAAACGAAAATATAAACATATACACAGTGTGGAAGGGACAGGTTGGCAAAAACGAAAACAGCTGATTGACGGTCCACCTAATAAAGTGGTAAACATCGCCTATAAACATGAATATAGACATCAATATACTGTGACGTCCATAGTACTCCTCAAGTGTTACCATTCCAAATTTATGTCCTTATGACTCATGCATTCGATATTTTGATATGCATATTCAGTATTTTCACTGTCATACTCCACCATTCAATCTAAAACACAGTTTTTTTTTAAGTCATATGATTAGGGGCACAGCAAAACTACAAAGTCAAATGATCAAAACGGGTTACTATTTCAAAGGTCCAGTTCTGACCATATTATGAATTCTAAAAAATATTTACACACCAATAAAACTGCACCCAGATATTAGTGTACCCTATAAATAAATAAAAAAAAAAAAGTATGACACATAAACGAAACTTACCACTAGTATAAATAAGCATCGCATCCCTATCTCCGTACCAAATGTTGGATCTACCAACATCGGTCAACAAATTCTCTGTCTTTGGCTTTAAAAAGGAAGTGTCAGGTTGGTACAACTGCGCCGTTATTTCTTTATCTTTGCCAGTAATTAGGAGTGGTGTTGATGTTTCCGAAGTTATCGGTCGTAATATCTTCTCATACTCCTGTGTACAGACAGTGAAATCGGCGTCACTGTCTGTTAGGAAATACTTGAGCATTTCTGGCGGATGTAGAGGGGTTAAGGGGACAGCTGGAAATAAATAAATAGGTTTTACAAATATTGTATCTTTTTGCACCTATATTTAAGGCTATATATGCAAAAATGGATGCTTTCTGTATAATTTAGAAGTTAAGTACTAATCTAGATTCCAACTAATTGCAACTGTACAATAAAAAGTTCATGATCTGTATGATAAGTGTTGCAACATCGACAGTTGGCAATTTGAAAAAAGTAAATTATAAGCGACTTTAATGATGATCATGCATAGGTTATCATTTATATATATGGATATCTTTACTTAGAACACTGGATACTTTATATTCTGATTCACGCGGGCAAAGAAGCAGGAAACTGCTAACAGATTATAAAGCCTACTCACCAATGTTGCCTGTCATCCATATGGCCCACTGGACGATGACGTGTGACGCGTCGTTACTGCACATGTAGCATATTGTGCGCTCTGTTTCTCCCACTAAAGGACAATTATGATAATAAATTAGGACCCATTTCTCAATTTGTTCTCTGGGAGATATATATTTTTTTAATAATTAAATTTAGATTAATTAATACTTTATTACACACAAAGATTACATTTATATAAGTTACTTTGAAAAAAATTTTACAATAGGCGAGCTTAACTCTGTGAGAGTTCTCTTCCAGCAAACCCAAAATGGAAAGGAGTATTAATTAGCAGCGGTATTTAATTAGGTTCGATTCTCTTTTTGTTTGGCTGAGGCGAGATTTCGTGAATAGCCAGATTAGTTTTTAAACAAATAAATATCAGAAAGAAACTTTATATTACAGTCGTCTGCTCGGGCACCTACGCGTCACTCATGTTTCAGACGTGACGTACTTGTGTTTGCAAGGCAGTTTCAGTTTAAATGTTGGGGTATGACAGCGAAATTAGAAGCGTATAGAGGCATAACATCGTGATCCTCAGGAAGGATAAAGCAAGAGATGTATTTTAGGCATCACAGTGCAATTTGTTTTACATAATGCTGTTTATGTCTTTACATTGTTCTAATCTCTCCATATTATGCAATCACATCAAATCGGGAATGATAAGATTCAACAATGAATTCAACATAGTTCTCAATCTACAGCAGATAACTGTAGATAGAAATTATTTAGATAATTATTGAGATAGGTATCTAAATTCTAAGCTTATCTTGAACGTCGTAATTCTGAGTTTTTAGCTATCACGGACGTGTTGACATCACTCAAGTACCAAGTCATGCATGCTGTATTGTTTTTATTATCATTTCCATTATCGGAGTAGAGTTGTAGAAACTGTTCAGATAATATAAATAATGTGCGGGTTATCAGCGGATTTTCATATTCAAACAAACTGATTCCCTTTTTTGGAAGGCGAAGAAATGAATTATAAAAGTAATGCTGTTTAACAATGATATTCAATGATTTTTTTTGTACAACTTAGAATGGCAAACAAGCTGATGGCCCACCTGATGGAAAGTGGTAACCGTCGCCTATAGACATGAGCAGTACCATGGACATAACAGAGTATACATAATAATAGCTTTTTCCATAAAAAATTATAACAATGAGACATTGAATTATTGATATACAACAGGTCCCATAGAAATTTTAACAAAATCCATTCAGTAGATTAATTTTTAGTCCAAAAAACAATTAAAGAATTTTTTTTGTAGAAAAACAACTTTATTATGATTCAAAATGTCAAACCAGTCTTTAGGTATGAAATAATTTTAAGGATACCCTGAATGTTACAGTGTATTGTCTGTTATATCCATCTTATTTTATTCTCCATCAGTAGGGCAGTCAGCTTATTTGCCATTAATATGACTTAAAAAGCAACCAAACTTACCAAGTTGTGTAGCAATCTCATTGCTGAGCGCCGCAGCAGCTTGGTACAAGCCGGCATATGTGTAAATACCGACATCATCTTGTAATGCAACTCTTGTGGGAAATAAGAGAGCATGACGGAACACTGGAACCACACCACCTAAGAACAAAAAAATTTTTTAACATTTTAACTGCTGAAATTAACCTGATAAGCTTAGAGGCACGTGTGAACTGTTTTTATTTCACAAGTACATGAAAACTGTTGCAATATGGCCCTGGCACAGAATGGTCTTTTTTCCCATGGGCATTGTAAAAAGCCACTAAGGGAAATTAATGATTGAGGGAAGGGTAGCAGCGTCCCTCTCAAAATATTAAAAGCCTAACTGCGGTTGCCAACCCACTTGCCATGTCATATCACTTGTCATGGTAGCTATTGGCAAAACCCTCTTTGGGGGGGGGGGGGGGAATTGTTAGTAATGCAGGTTGAGGCTGTGGTCCCCCCTAGAAACCATTGTGCTGAATTCTGTATATATTCATCATGATGGGCTAACTGACCTATCTTTTCATTCTCAATTAATTATCAATTTTTTTTTTATTAATTAATTGAATCAGGAACGCTGCTGCTCATACCTCGACCATTAAGTTCCTTTAGTCGCCTCTTACGACTCCCACGATAAAGAAAGGGACAGGCCATTCTATGCCAGAATCACACAGCGCAAATTATACATACTTTAAAAATATTCTTACCCGCTTTTATATCTTGATTGAATGAATTCAGAAGCTCTGTGTTAACTTCATCTTTAACTGCAGGGCAATTAACATTCTTTAGATTCGCTATACCAATAGGTCTTCGTAGAAGCCGGTTAAATAATCGGAAACTACGTCCAGTCACATCCATAATTTTGGAAATATTTTTTATTAATTTTATTAACTGTATTTATTCAATGAAATAGTATTTATTAGCAATGTTTATGAGATGAACATCATACCAACAAATAACTAAAAAAGAGAAAAAAATTATCTATAAGAAAAAGATAAAAATGATGTGTTAAATTAGATAGGTAGCTCAATACTATACAGTATACATCAATTTTTTTTATTGAAATGACATTATGTGACAAATGACTGTCAAAGTGACAGTAATATTGTTCAACATTGACAGCAGAAATTTTTTTTTTTTTTTTTTTTTACCTTTTTTTGATATATTCACCCCGATATTAGGTATTTTGCCAAGAACAAAACGGGGAAACGATAATAGTAATAAAAATACCTAACACAAACGAATTTAGAAAGGATAAGGATTAGGTCTAGGATATTTATAGGATATGAAACATATACTTGTACATATGAGAATATACTTATAAATATATAGGAAAAGCAATTGATGCAACTATAAATGTATTCATGTAATATAACTAAATCTTAATATTGTTATCATATATATATGAAGATAGTATTTTATAGATAATAGGATCATTGGAAGAAAGTAGAGTAAGAATAGAAGTTGGGAGTGGAACACGGATGGATCGGAGATGATTAAAAAGGAGGTGTGGTCAAATTTAGAACATGAGAAGAATATATGATTCAAGTCCGCCACTTCAGCACCGCAATTACACGACGAACTTTGTACAATACCAAGCTTGTATAAATGAGAAGGTGTGCATACGTGACCTAGACGCATACGAGTTATAATAGTTGTTGCGGTCTTTCCAAGCTTTAATTTACAAAACCATGGTTTGAAAGGAATATCGGGTTGTATAAGGCGATAAAATCTTCCTTTTATTGTACTTGTTTTTTCCCAATATTCCTTCCAGGCATACCTTAAATATATTATTGGGAGACAAGCTAGGTCACTACAGTAATTATGATACGGATACATATCACCACAAGTTACAGCCTCTCTTGCAATAAGGTCAGCTTTGTCATTGCCGCTAATACCACTGTGTCCTGGTAACCAGGCAAAAGAAACGGAATAACCTCTCAACATGCAAAGATAAAGACTTTGTCTTATGTCACAAATAATGGGATAAACTGGTTTTGATTTAAACGGATATTTGGCTAGAGCTTGCAAAGAGCTCATAGAGTCAGTGAAAACTATTGCCTTATGTAATTTCATTAAAAGTATATATTCTACAGCTTTTAAAATACCATAACATTCCCCGGTAAAAACTGAAGACTCCGGTGGAAGTTTAATTTTTTGAACGATATTAAATTGTGAATGAAACACACCCACACCTACACAACCGCTATTGTCTGGTTTTGATGCATCAGTAAAGATGTAGTGCCATTCATTCCATTCAATGTCAGTTATAAACATAAATTTGGCATTCAATTCTGAATCATTTTTTAATAACCCAAAATCATATTTAATATTAGGAGATAAAACTAAAGATTGATATGAGCATTTATAAATGGGAAAACAGGACGATGTAAAAGTGGGAGATTCTATGGATTTATATTTTTCATAACTTTGTATTAAACATGGAGGTTTTTTATGTTTCCAATAAGATGAAGACGAAATAAAGATATGTAGTTGAGATAACTTTTGAATAAGCGGATGATCAGATAATTGTAAACAACGAAAAAAGAAGCGATCAGATAGATATTGTCTTCTTAAAACCAAAGGTGGATCACCGACTTCGAGCTGTAAAGCATTGATTGGACTTGATTTCATTGCTCCAGAGATAATCCTCAAGGCCTTTGATTGAATTAAATCCAATTTCTTAAAAGCAAATGAACTTCCTGGAGCTAACAAAAAAGTTCCATAATCAATGACACTCCTTATAAGACCATTATAAGCAAGTTTTAGTGAAACGGGATGTGCTCCCCACCAAACTCCAGCAAGGCACCTAAGAATGTTGAGGTTACGCTCACATTTCGTAGAAATATAATTACAGTGGGACAGACCTGTTAATTTATTATCTAGCACGATACCTAAAAATTTAATTTCAGTCTTTATAGGAATGTATGAGTTATCATAAAGCACCTTAATTTGTTGCGGTGATCTCATTCTTGAAAACAAAACTACACTACTCTTGGTTACAGAAAGATTAAGACCATTTGCATCTAACCACGTTTTTAACAAATCTAATGAATCAGATAATTTGGCAGAAGCAGATTCTATGGACTTCGCAATAAAATATAATAAAAGATCATCAGCATATTGTAAAATTTTGACGGATTTATCAAGGAATAATTCTAGATCGTATGTGTATATGTTAAATAAGATTGGACTGAGAACAGATCCTTGTGGAAGGCCTTTCCATACTGTTCTAGATAATTTGGTATCTTCATCTAAATTCATATATATTGTTCTTTCTGATAAAATATTAATAATGAAATTAGAAAGCATTACCTGGTACATTTAGAGCTTGTAATTTAGTTTTTAAAATAGAAATTATTACATTATCATAGGCAGAATTTATATCTAAAAAGGCTGAGAGGATTGACAAATTTTGTGAGAAAGCTATATGAATATCTGAAATAAGAATGCTCACATTATCTAAGGTGCTCTTACCTTTCCTAAAACCAAACTGGTTCGGGGATAGTAAGTTATTACTTTCTAAAAACCATTCTAGACGGTTTTTCACTAAATGTTCAGCTAGCTTTAGTAAGACAGAGGAAAGTGCAACAGGACGGTATGAAGATGGTTCAGAAGGTGGTTTATGAGGCTTTAGAAATGGTATAATAATCTGAGACTTCCATGAAGTAGGTATATTTCCCGAAATAATTATGGAATTAATTATATTTAAAAAGTAAATTAATGTCGCATCGCTAGCATTTTTAAAAATGGAATACGGTATACCGTCTTCTCCCGGTGCAGAGTCTTTAATAGAAGCTAGAACACCTTTAAGTTCTACTAGAGTAAAAGGAGAGTCAAGTTCGAATAATTCGTCAGAGACGGATAGAGAAATATTGTAAAGGCATTCCGGCACATAACTAGGAGCAAGACGATCTAAAAATTTATTCGCTAAAGTTAAATCGAGTGCAGAACGTGATGTATGATCACTAAAGGCAGATCTGAATCTTTTAATATTATTCCAAACGACTGATGAATTAACTTCTGGACAGATAGAAGAACAAAATCTTCTCCAGCCTTCTAATTTCTTTTTTTTCAGTAGTTTTCGAGTAGAACGTGAAACTGCGGTGTAAATTTCAAAATTTTCTGGTGTCATGTAATTATTATAATTTTTTTCAGCCTCTTTACGATTTTTAATTGCTTCCGTACAATCTTTGTCCCACCAAGGTGGCGAGTGAATTTTCCCTGAAGCACTATTTTTAACAGGAAATAATAAATCAGCAACCTCCTTCATATTTATCATCAAGTCATTACAACATTGATGTTCATTTCCATGGTAAACAATAGGTAACTCCGATATTTTATTATCTAAATATTGTTTGTAAATATTCCAGTCTACATTTGATAAATTATATTTAAGCCGAGGACCACTCTTTCGACTTGAGGGAATGGAAATTGGAAAAGAAAGAATGAGGGGAAAGTGATCGCTTCCGAAAGTAGAGGAATGAGGATACCACGACAGTGAAGAAGCTAAATCAGAAGAACATATTGAAATGTCAGGAGCACTAAACCCTTCATTCGGTGCAGTTCTACGTGTTGGTACATCTGAGCAGTAATATTGTTCAACATTGACAGCAGAAATTTTAATGTTGCTAGTTTTTACTTATATATTTACCTTAGAATAAGATATATTCACATACAGAACCAACATGCGTAGATAATTGAGAGTGAAAATGGAGATAGGTATAACAATTAAGAGAAAAAATATTTCTTTTCCTGCTTCTACTTTCAATTTAAATGGCTGTCATTAATTTTAATTAGTGATTCTGCTAACGTCATGGTTAGGGAGGCATGGTGATATTCTATATTTTTATTTTTGTGGGTCTTGAATCTACCCTGTAACAATATTACTTGGTGTTGAAATTGTATGCTAAAACGAATACAATACAAAATGTTAATACAAATAAGAGAAAATAAACAAATGATAGTAAAGATAACATTATAATAACAGAGAGACGACACACAAGTAAGTGGGACTGAAACAAATTGTGTCATCAATAAAACTATATAACAGATTGCCAGAAACACTAAAAAATGAAGAAAATAACAATATTTTTGCAAGAAGTCTTAAAAAGTTATTAATTACTAAATGCTACTATACTATTGACGAATACTTGAATGACAAGCAGAATTTATCTTGTAATTTATAAATAAATAACTAATTATGAATTGATAATGATTTAAGACATAGCTAAAACTGACATTGCTGCAATTTTATTATTAAACTATTTATTGATTAATTTTACAATATGAATATAAATAATTATAAACTATAGAATATATTAAAGCTTAAATAACTATATAATACTAATAATAATTACGATATGAATAGATACACACCAATACTTAAATAATGAGTAATAATAATAAGAAAATACGTACTTATCGTGATATACTATTTAGAAAGTGAAAAAAGTGTTGTCCTCCTCTCTCCTACTTGCTGTGCCCAACAGGGTCCATAATTGAAACCTTATGTAATAATTATGTATTATGTATTAATTAATTATTATCGAATGCAATAAATAAATAAATAAAATAAATAAATAAAAAAGGCAATGGAACTTTCTTGTACATCTTGTAACCCTGAACTAATGTCAAATTAGTCAAATTTTGACAGTCAGTTTTGAAGAACATACCTATGTGTTTCATACTTATCAACTAAATACAAATAATTGTTTATACATTTTAAAACATGGAAATTTGAATGAAAATAAATCATGGTGGTAAATGCACCAGATTCGCCTATACAGGCGGAAGTAATTTTTGTTATTGAAGCCACATCTACGAATGGAGCATACATTAGTGAACTGAAAACGAATTATTTAATTCCTACACTTGAGTGAGTAATTCTATTTATGATATAATAAACAACATAGTACACTTTTTACATTAAAAATATTTTTCTTTCCAACAATACTGTTATTATGAGAGTATAGCTTTTGTTATTCATGTTATGTTATCTACCCCCTGTAGTTATGGCGGGAGTAAAGATAATCTGAATTGTTGTTATTATTATGAGTAATTATGTATATTTTGTAAAAATATAAAACGAACAAAAATTTTCCTAAGGTACTAATCTGTAATTTCAATCTACTAACATAAAAGTGAAAGTTTGTAAAGATGTTAGGATATTTGTATGTTTCTTATTTAATAATGCTTAAATTGTTTAATGAATTTGAATGAAATTTTGTACACAGGTAGATTATATTCTAACTTATGATACTTAATACACTAATTCATGTGGGCAGTTTCTGCAAATGGTTATATTGAAATAAATGCTGTTTGTTGGTTATGGAAGCTTTTATATATACCATGTGCTTTTATCCAGATATTTCCATGGAGGTGCATTAGAGGAAGGTGGTGGTAATGGTTCAGTGTACTGCATAGTTACATACCGGGCAGCTGACTGCCACCCTGGGCTGCCTGTTTCTGTATATGGACCATTCACAACACCACAGAATGTTATTGAGACAGTTGACAAACTTCAGTGAGTAATTTAATTATTTTTACGAACAAATTCTTTATTAGCATCTTCTACCGAATTTATCATGGGGAGTGGAATTATTTGGATTGATACCTGCTGTTGATTTTCACCATTGTACAACCCGCCATAAACTAAAATTTCATCACAACCACTGGACGAGTGGCGGTCCTCCACCATGCGTTTTTCAAGGCACATTCTTCCATGCACAACCACACTTTGGAATCAACTTCCAGCAGCCATATTTCTGAACCAATATGACAACATAACCTTCAAGAAATGAGCATATTCCCTTTTAAAAGGCACATTTGCAATGCTGTTGGTGTTGTAAGTGATCATGGGTGGCGGTAGTCACTTACTATCAGGTGCAGTTCACCTGCTGGTTTGCCCCCTGTGTTGTAAAAAAAATACCTACAACTGCATCTTCATAAACACAGATGGAGATAATTTTTTTTATAGATAAATTGATCACTCCATCTTTGCTAATGGTTTATGCTAATGGATGGAAAAAAGCTTATCATCCTTCACTAGTACTCACTGTACTAATGTAATATATATAGGATAATAGGTTTTTTAATGGATGAAAATGAAATGGTAGCACTGCCTGTTTTATTGGTACACATTGGCAGGGCAGCAGTGAGAGATGATAGGTGAGGATGAAAACAGGTCAGTTAGCCCATCATGATAAACTCAAAAATTAATCACTATGGTTTCGAGAGGAACCATACTTTCCCCCCAGGGATGATAGATCTCTACCATGAATTAACTAGAATGGTTTTCAAAGGAGACTATGTTGAATTTGACCTCACAGGTTTTATTGCAAGGAAGGGGACAAGAATTATGCTTGGATTTAAAGTAATGTCTTTGACTGACATGACTTTATGTCTTATTCATACTCATCAATATAAATCAATAGTGCAGGAGATTATTGTTCTATTTATTCTTTGATATATCTCATATTATCTGTTTCTGTCTATACAGCGCTAGATTTACCATTAGGCCGTTTAGGTTGTGACCTATTAAGGAGTAGCATATTTTGTAAACAAAATCCTATAAAATATTGTAATTTATACTTGAATTTACTTTTATCATTTAATAATTAATTTGTTGAATAGCTTTGCAATACCTACTTTACCTACCTGCACCCAAATAAATGCCTAGATAATAAAATACAAGTACATACTTCACTCCTTCTTAGAGTGATGGTAGAACGTGAAATAACCTATACTTTAGAAAAATATAAATCTGCTACTGCGTCTATGCCATATGTTTTTGAGACCGATCATTATTATTTATCAGATATGTAGGTGGACACGCAGAGAGTCGAGCATGTGTCACAGAAGCACTAACAACAGCACTGGCTTGTTTCGAGGAGCTCGGCAGAACCGACTTACCAATGCACATTCTATTGATGTGTACTTCTCCACCATATTCTGCATATGCTGGGGGACTGCCACCGCCAGGTAAAGCCAGAGAAATCTTAATTAAAATTACAAAAAAGAAATATTTGATTTATTGTTTGTAATAAACTCAAAAATACATAACATTTAAAAAATATTTGATTTATAGTAAAGTACATTATGAACTAGTATCATGGTTTCTATTTCATTAAAAAAAAACATGTATAACTGGGATAGGTTTTTATTATTTTGTACAAAAAAAATGTATAATTACATAGGTCTCATCACTATATAGAATAATGGTTTCTTTTTTTTTTTAATTTTTTTTAAATTTAGATAATGAAAGATTATGTCCCATAAAAAAAACTAACTTCAATGATGACAAAACCAGTTATTTCAATTAAAAAACTAAACTACTGTACCGATTTTGATAAAATGGGATCAATCTATAAGTATATCCTAGGAGTTATGAGGTAATAAAAATAAAAACAATTACAATCGAATTGAAAATCACGAGATTTTCTTTTTGATCACGAGATTTGAAATCGGTTGAAAATGGAATGGTAACCTCGCCTGTACTACCCATATATAGCGTTACCATTCATTGATAATAGACAATGAAATTAGGTCAGTTGACCCATTGTGGTAAATTTACTACAAATTTACCACATTCTAGGGACGACTGCATGGAGGTAAACCTATTAGGGTATTTGACCCCATTACTAGAAATCCCTTTCCTCTCTAAATGGAGATTTATATCTGTATAGGTGCCCCAGCAACTGTGGATCAAGCTGCTCGGCTGGTAAACGAGCGTGGCGTCCAGCTGTCCATAGTGGCAGCTCGGAGGATGCCCACTTTAAACTCCCTCTATGAACATGCGGGGGGTGAGCTACACCAGGCACAGCAAAGGAACTACGCTAAGGTATGGGTTTTCTAAATGATGCAGGACAATATTGGTAGAATCCTTCAGTCATTATGTGGTATATTTTAGCATAGTACAAGTTTCTTCAGTTTGTTTAAATAGACAATGATAAATACCCCATCTGGACTATTAGTATATGATGGCAGGGCATCAGTGAGAGATGATAAGTGAGAGTAAAGTGAGGTCATTGGCCTCATACTGACTAACTGTACTTGTGGTAATAGTATATGTGAAGGTTGTTATTGTTTATTCCCCAGGATCCAAGGCACTTGGTACTACTCCGTGGTTACAGTTTGAAGGAGCGACCGCCTAGTCCAGCCCCACCGCCAGTGCCTGACATACAGACGGATATGTATGGGTGAGTGTTATGTACATGTACATGTTGGAGTATGCTTTAACAGAAGTTGTCTATAGGCGATGGTTGCCACTTTCCATCATGTGCGCCGTCAGCTTGTTTGCCATTCTAAGTTGCATAAAAAAATTTATGCAATATATTTGTCACTTATAGATAGGGACAGCATAATGGATATCACGGAATATTACTGTTTCTGTGCACTAAGATTTTCTAATTAGGGTCCCCTTAATGTGTGCTGGTCATAATGTGTGGTAGTAGAAGTTCAGAATAACATGAATGTTTACAATTTTTTTTTTCTTTTTTATATCTAAATAACAACCAAAATTTATGAAACTTTTGAAGGACTTTTAAATTACTATTTAAGTATACAAAAATCATTATTACAAAGAAAAAAAAATTAACTATTTTAAAGATGGCGTTGAAGTCAGTCTCCTTAAAAAAAGAACCTGGGCGATGCACGATAATTTAGATCTTTTATGGGTCTGAAATAAAAATAAAAAAAAAAAACAAACAATAACGTAACAATAATACTAACTTATGTAGCTGTTGAAACTAAAATATTTCCCTTTACTACAACTCAGGTATAGAAACCAAAGCAGATGCATTTCGCCGAACAAAAGAATTACTCACTGGGCCGACCGGCTAGACTACCTACTTTGGCCCGGATCTTTTAAATGGGTTTTACAACAATAAAATACTGAGAATATTGTCACCAAATTTTAATATTATCGAAATACTATACTTTCGAAATGTAAAAAATATATCAATTTTTCGAAATTTCTAGATCACCTTAAGACAAATTTTTTTCTTTTTTTTGTGTCAACTATGTAGATCTATATATAGTTCTAAATAGACAGGTCTATATCTATCCATATATCTAAGTCGGCATCAAAATTCTATTATATTATATATAATATTTACTGCTATTTTAGGTTTTTTTGGTTATAACGTTTTATGGAATTAATACGTCACTTATAGCGTAGTTTTAAAATGCGATACCCCATAATTTGAATATCGAACGGATTTGATTTCAGAGAGTTTATAATCTTTTTAAAGTAATAAATAAAGAGTTTTTTCAATTAATTAAAATTAAGGATCTAAGATGAGGAAGGGGTGAGGTCAGTCGACGGTTCGTGAGGAATTTACTGGTATGGATGTCGACCTGATATCCTATCAGCTTCTCATTGATAGTAGAAGTATAATCTAGTAGAAGGGTAGGTCACAAGATTCCATTAATAACGATTTCACTGGGCAAACCAGGTAGTGGGATAAATCCCAGCTCCATCATTTCCAAGAATCGTTGTTAATTCCTGGTGAATTTCTCACGGTGGACCAACTGCCCTGATTTTATTCTCATCTTTCTTTTCCTGATACTCCACCGGCGTATACCGATAGCGCAGGCGGAGCTACTATTCAAATTTTAATCCATTAAAAATCAAATTCTCCTATTGAAAACGTATGTGTGTGTATGTGTGTGCATCAGACAAGGACGTGGCGCGGGCGTGGGCGTGGGCGTGGGCGTGGGCGTGGGCGTGGGCGTGGGCGTGGGTGGCGGAGTGGGTGTGAACACGGCGAACCCGCCGCGGGCCGCGGGCCCGCTGTTCCCGCGCGCGGCCGTGGGCGGGCGCGGCGGCTGGCCGGTGCCGCGGCAGCCGCTCACGTATGCCAACTCCGCGCTGCTCACGCAACTCGCACAGCCCTCCTTTCCGCCGCCGCCACCGCAGCAGGTTCGTACTTGCCGTTTTTGCAAGTTCTTTTCGCCTAGATGTAGCCTAGGCCCTAGCTTGAGGACTGACGATTGTATAATTCTGTGTTACTTATGTATTTTAACTCGTGTTACTTTGTTTAGGTCCAATCCTGTAAGCAGAATTAGAACCTATTTCGTTTAACGAGTTTTACTGTAATTTTGTACGTTTGTAATTTTTGACAAACTAGAACCAGAACTAGAGATCCCTCTAGTTCTGGTGACAATACAATATGTAATACTTCATATTGTAATAGTTACAAAATGGATAGTGAAAAAAAAGCTAAGGTAATCTATATTAATTTCGATCAGGTTCTTCATTTCGATATTACCAATTAGTAATATATATAAGCGGTTAAGCATCTGGCAACCATCGTGGTCGATTCGTGAAGAATTTGAAACGATAGGCCAATTGACCTAACTTATTCCTAATTTGTCATCATTCACTGATATCTCATTAGCGCAGGCGGGGTTACTATTACCCCTTCACCCATTAAAAAAAATATGTATATCTCCCGCCAGTTTAATAGTAAAAAAAAAAAAACATTTTAAATTATAGACTATTTCTAATCAGCGAATGCCGAATATGCTCACTCCGGGACCATCGACGTCCCCGGCTACCGGTCCTCCTCCGCCGCCCCAACGTTCCATCGTGTGGAATGGCGTGATCGAGTGGATGGAGAAGGGGAAGGCGCCTGGTGATCAGACGAAGACCACCAGGCATCTGCCTTGCCAAGTGAGTTGCAAGTTCACCAGCTATCCAAGGGAATTAAATACCTTATTGTGCACTAATCACAGTAGAATTTGCTTTGTATAATCTAATTCAGGTGTCGGCAACCTACGGCTCTTTGTACGCATAGCTGCAGCTCTTTAGTAAATATTATCTATTAAAAAAATAAAAATCGTTCTGAATCGGTTAATGAAGATTAGGCACCAAACTTTATTTACGCAAGTACTATTTATTGTTGGCAAGAAAAATTTTTGTTGTTCTTTAATAACTTTGAAATTTTGTAAATTGTAATTTTTGACTCTTTCGACTCAAAAGGTTGCCGACCTGTACTCTAGTATGTTAACTACATTCATACTTTAGTTTACCGAAATGTGACAACGTTGATTTTCTATCAACTATAAAAAAACAATTGAATTTTTATCAATATTTTTGATTGATTATTTAAAAAGTGTTTCGCTAGTGTTGGCAGTCGTACGCATACTAAAGGTAGCGGAATTGAACAAAATAATTTTAATCAATTCTACAATGTGTTTAAATAGTTGGGTTTTTCTGAAACTTTATTACGTTATGCCAGGTGTCGGCTAGTTCCAAGGATGTAGAGCCCGACCTGAAGGTGGATACGTGGCCGAGCAAGCTCCTCATGCAGTTGATGCCCAAGCAGCTGATCAGCAACATAGGCGGGGCGTACCTCAAAGAAAGCAAATCTGTTTTGTTTCACCTCCAGCCAAGTGAAGCGTTGGATGCACTTACTAAAGTCATGGTTAACGGGTTTGTAAGTATGTTTGTAAATATGGTTTTTTATTAAAACAATGCCACTGGTAAAGCATATGTGTGTGTGTGTGTGTGTGTGTGTGTGTGTGTTGACAATGACTCTGTATGGGAAAACACACTGTAGGACGACCCTCCCAATATATGGAGTTACAACCTCAAATGCATTGCACGGAGTAAAAGGATACAGGTAGCTCAGGACCATTCCTTATGGCAGTTTATGGGGGACGCCTATGTTCAGTAGTGGACGGATAACGGCTGATATGATGGTATCTATTATAACGTTAAATGTGCTACGAAGACGGCCCAATGGCCTGACTTAAAAGTCCCAAGAAAATGTAACAGATTCCCTTTTTCTAAGTCACTTAATTATTGCTTCTGCCCTACTAAAAAGTTCTTTTGCTCTAATTTAAACTTGGGTCTAGCTATGGCCTTGGGGGAGGCAGTTGGAGGAAGCCTTTGCTAACAAAAAACAGACGATAGTATTTAAATAAATAATAAATTGTAAAAAAATTGTTATGTCTGAAAAAAGGCTTATATTATTGTTGTTATATCTATCAATTGTGTAGTACCCATAATACAATTTCTGCTAAGTCCAGAACTAGATGGCGCTGAATAATATTGGACATCCAACGCCATCTAGTGGTATTTATTTATTGATCACCGCGTGTTTACTTTCAGGCGGGTTGTGTACACTTTTCACCGATGCCGACACCACCGCAGTGCGATATCAAAGTGTTGATATTACTATACACGCCCGATAAGAAGGCATACCTCGGGTTTATACCCAACAATCAGGCCGCATTCGTCGACAGACTTAGGAAGGTTAGTAACAATGAAATTTTATTGTTAAAAATTCATAAGTACACGTATTTTAATGGAATAACTACCGGTTTCACTCACATGTACTTTGGTTGAGAAAGCACAATTAGTTTTAAGACCATACGGGATCCTTAATCTTGAGCGGCTGAACCTATAGAATTTTCATCATATTCCTTTCTGTAATATGTATGTGTATAATTTTGTAAACATATGTTTACATCATATGAATAGAATAGAATTTATTGTAATTTTAAAATTGTTTTACAGGTGATACAACAGCAGAAAATCACTCAAATTATAAATAAACAACAAATGCCGACGGGCGCGGGCGGTTCTATGCCCACTTCCACTATGGCAGGTTAGTTTATTATACTATTTACATGAAAAGTTATAACACAGCCTGAGCGTTCGCGGAAGAAAATTCCTTTGAAACCGTACTGTACGTCACTATTTACGTTCGAGCGTGTGAAGATGAATTCCCTGTCGATTGCAAGCAGTGTGATAAAAAGTGGCTGTGGGTATCATTTCAAATAATTCATAAGAATTATACAATTATACAAGCGATAGAACACATAAAGGAATAACACCTGAGTCCTCAGGAATGGCAACGCATGGGGAGTATCATGGGCGAAACAGTATACTTTGTTATGTCCGTGGTACTGCTCATGTCTATAGGCGACGGTTACCACTTTCCATCAGGTGGACCGTTAGCTTGTTTGTCATTCTAAGTAGTATAAAAACAAAATCGTTTAGTGTGTAATAGGTTTTGTTTAATAAGTGTTTTTTTTATAACAGTTTGAAATTTATTAAAAGGCATATCCAAAATATCCTTCGGTATCGCATTATAACATTTAATGTCCATTTCCATAAAAAACCTGTTAACTTTTTTGGTCAGATCGATTATTGGTTTGTATATATTTTCATCATGTTCTATTGAAAGAAACTATATGTAATAGGCAATTAGTATATATTTTTTAATAGATAATGAAATGGTAACCCCGCCTGCGCTAACGGTATACGTTGGCGGAGCACCAGTGAGGGATGATAGGTGAGGATGAAGCAGGTCAGTTAGCTCTTCATGACGAATTTAATGAGAATTGTTCACGATGGCTTCCACGTAGAGGTCGAGGTCTGATAACGTGGTATATTGCTAGAAATGGGGCTGTCAAAGTCTGCATTACTAACAATCCTTTTCCCTGCCTATTAATATTTATAGATTTCATTACTACTGCAGGTGCCATGCCGACGCCTGGAATGTCCAGCGCCGGTATGGGCAGTGGGGCCACCATGGGGCCAGGCCCGAGCATGGGTCCGGGCGGCACTATGGGCCCGGGCTCAAGCATGGGCCCTGGCACTAGCATGGCCGGTGGAATGCCCGTGGGCAACGTTGGGCAAATGACCGGGGTGCCGACCAGTCAAAGTATGGTGCAGACTCAGATGCAGCAGCATCCACAGGTAAGTGTTCATCAAATTCTCTTTGTACAAAAGTGGATTGCTTGGGTACCTCTGTCCCATTCCAATAATATAATTAATATTCAATATAACCTTGAAGCAGTTGTGTTTGCATGGCTGTGTTTCGGTTTGAAGGGTGGGATATGGCGTGAATTTACTGGGTACAGAGGAATAACACCTGAGTCCTCAGGAATGGCAACGCATGGGGTATATATATGGGGCGAAACAGTATACTCTGTTATGTCCATGGTACTGCTCATGTCTATAGGCGACGGTTACCACTTTTTATCAGGTGGGTCGTCAGCTTGTTTACCATTCTAAGTTGTATAAAAAAAAATATATATAATGAATATAAACAAATTAATATTCAAATAGTATAATATAATACCATAAATTATTTAAGAACGTTTAGAGTTTGATAAGTAATCAGAAGAGACAATTAATATGGTTGTTCTTTTCGTTGATATGCGTCTATCATTCTGTCTCGCTTTCATGCATTATGGTTACAATAAACTCTCTCACTCATATAATAACGAATACGTTAACGAACTTTAGAAACAGTCTAGATCTAGAGCCACGATTTTCAGGGTATGATGATAGGCGGAATGGGCGGGCAAGTTCAGCAAGTGGGCGGCAAGGGTCCTCGGCCGGTGACCCAGCTGGACGGACTGGAGGCCGCCCGCCAGCAGAACCTGGAGAAGATACAACACTTGCAGCAGACGATGGATGCTGCCCATCAGCAGGCCGCTCACCAGCAAGCCGCCCAGCAGCAGTACAAGTCACAGATGGACTTGATGTCGCATTTCCACGCTCAGTCGGAGCATTACAAACAAATGGAGGTAATTATTATTATATTTACTTTATTGTATAAAAAAATTGTAACCGGCGAGCGTGTGTGAAAAGATTGATGAATGTGGAGGAAGCGAAAGAGGTTTGTTTGAATCGAAGCATTTGGCGTTCCATTGTTTCTGCCTATCCTAATGGGAGACAGGCGAGACAGATATGTATGTATGTATGTATGTATGTATGTATGTATAAAAAAATTACATTGTTATAATTTATATTAAATGAAAATGTATAATAGGTGAACTTAACTCTCTTCCAGCAAAAGTTGAATGGAAAGAGCATTAATTACTAGCGAATAGTGTGTGTACAATAAGAAGTGGAAACAGTATAGTACTAGTACTTACTATTATATATATATATATATATATATATATATATATATATATATATATATATATATATATATATATATATATATATATATATATATATATATATATATATATATATATATATATATATATATATATATATATATATATATATATATATATGATTATTACAAAAATTGTATGACAATAAAAAATAACAATAAATAAATAATGAGTAATAACAAATATATTTAGTTATCCATAAATTTTAGTTTATTTAGTTCTTCTCTTTTGAAAATTGTTACAATATTCTACCCGCTGACATCGATGTTCCTTTCTACTTTGGGTGTTGCTGGAAGAGAACTCTTTCAGAATTAACCTCGCCCTTGTACATTTGCTTCGTCATCATTATCTTTTAACTGTTCACTGCGGAATATAAGCCTAATCCTTGGTGGGTTTTGCCAGTAGTTGCCACGACTGGCAGGCGGTTTGGCAACTTCAGTTAGATATTGGAGGTATTTTAAGAGGGGCGCTCCTGCCCACACCTCGCTCTCCCTTAGTCGTCTCTTACGACATCCACGAAAAAGGGTGACCTATTCTATGTCGAAACCACACGGGGAATAAAGTTAGTAATAATAATAAATTGAATTAGTTACATATATATCTTTAAAATTAAACTCAAAGCCTGACTTTTTGATAATGTTTTTTATAATTTAAATGAATACTTTAATCTTAAAACTCATTAAATTAATAATTAATAATAATTGACATGTAAGCGAAATTATGTTTATTTTATTTTAATTTGGTTATGATTATTCTTTGTCCTGTTAATTGTATTGTCAAATATTTCATATTTATTTGTAATCAAGTAATGGTAATAGTATTTGAATGTCGAAACATTTAATGTTAATTGTTAATATAATTGCTGTTCTTAAATTGTTGCACGCCCGATAGGGTATAACTGTTGATACTGATGTCAAATCCAAAGCAATGGTTACTGCTATATGTATGTACACAGTTAGCAATAACATTCTATTCTATTCTATAAATTCAAGTTCTCGTTAGAAAATTGACACAATATTGCACACCGCTCTACCCGCTGACATTGATGCTTCTTTCCACTTTAGGTTTTTTTTTTTAATGGATGATAATGGAATGGTAACCCCACCCGCGCCATCGGTATACACCGGCGGGGCACCAGTGAAGGATGATAAGTGAGGATGAAGTAGGTCAGTTGGCCAATCGTGACGAATTCAACAAGAATTGTTCACGATGGTTTCCAGGGGAAACCACGTGGAGGTCGACCTAATAAGGCATATTGCTAGCAATGGGGCTGTCAAACTCCATTACTAACAATCCCTTTCCTCCCTTCTACTTTAGGTTTGCTGGAAGAGAACTGTTTTAGAGTTAAGCTCGCCTTTGTACATATGCTTACCTCTGTCATTTTTTTTTTATTCCGTTCGGTGGCGATATAGAATGGGCCCCATTCCTTTTCCGTAGGTGTCGTAAGAGGCGACTAAGAGAACTTTACGGTCGAGATAGGCAGCAACGTCCTTCTTAAAACATCGCCAAAAGCAAACTGCGTGGCAATTACTGGCAAAATCCCCCGATGGTGCCTTTAACCCCCCCCCCCCCTACCCTCCCCCAACTAATTCCTATGCCATTTTACAGTTACAACAGCAACTACAACAACAGTTGAGAAACGCCGGGGCGGGCCCCTCAGTGGCGGGGGGACACCCTTCCCGGATAATGAGGCCCCTGCTACCGTCCAACCCTGGACTCAGACACCTGCTACAGCAGGTAAGATAGCTCACCCACATTCTAAACAACTCACTACCAGTATGCCAACAGACATAGAAATGCAGGTAACGCGTAATTGATACCACGGGCGTCACTGTATACTCTGTGGAGCCCACGATGCTATTTTATATCAGGTGGGCCGTTGTTTTGGCATTATAGGTTGCATAAAAAGTGCATCTCGAATTGTCACGTAGTTCGGGACACGTAAAGGTTTTAGGTCTATTTTTTTTTAATCTGTAGATTGTGGGACTAACTAATTGTGTGCTAATCTATGGTATGTTATATTTAACTTTTTCAGTTCTAGTAATAAACAACTGATTTTTTTTTCTTTGAATGCTACATTACTTATTTCCATAGGAGACATTTCTATATTTAACCTTTAGTATAGTTCACTATCTTTTATATAACCCAATTTAGTCAATTACAAATCTTTACAGTGTAATCTCTAAGCCTCTGTTTTTTTTTTCACTGCTATGTTTCCTATCAGGCTGGCCTTAGACAGACAATGTCAATGTGAATTAAGGAATTGAATTTATGTTGATCTTAAACTTTCATATTATTTGCACGTGTTTATATATGATTCATCACCATCATGTCAGCCGTTCACTGTCTTTTGCTGAACATAGGTCTCCCCCATAAGGGAGAGACCTATGACCTATGTGGTGGGGGGGGGGGGGGCTCTGCCAGTAGTTGCCAAGCTTCCATATAATTGCGTCGCATTGTATCCCAAACATGAATTTAAAGCCGAACGATTGATACTATCATCCGAGCAGCGATTTTCGCGAACAAAATGGCGGTCATCAGATTGTTGGCTTGTGGAACTTCTGGTAGTAATAGTGCTGGTCAATATTCGAATGTTGGCAGTCACACACATACTAATGGATAGCGGAAATAAACAAAATATTTCAAATCAAGCTGGTGTTATGGACATCCATAAGATAACACCTAGTTCAGTTAAATAAACATTAACTTATTTAAACACTAGCTTATAAAAAGTAGCCTATGTTCTCCTCCATTTCATATAGTTCGTGAATATCAAATTGGTATTCGTGATTTGTTAGTGATTTAGTATCCATGGTACTGCTCATGTATATAGGCGACGGTTACCACTTACCATCAGGTGGGCCGTCAGCTTGTTTGCTATTTTTTCATGCATAAAAAAAAAAAAAAACAATATATAGATATCAGAGCGATATCAATATTACCCACGTCTAGTCTTTTAGCAGAATTTACTTCAGGCGCTTCTAAATATTTCAAATTTGTTACAATATGACAGAACTAATAGGTAACTATAAATTGTATTAATTAATTTAATAATATTGTTTTTTAATTCACAAAGATGTAGACTGTCCAAGGCATGCCCTGTACATCTCATAACTTTTCATTCTATTTTTCAAAGATCTATATAACTATAATAATTTTTTCGCACGATTTGTCTATACTTTTTCAATCATTGAAACTGCATTTAAACCGTCTTATTCATAAAAACATTACCTTTCTAATCTAATAATAATATAAGGCAACTGCCAACGCCTGACTGTTGACGCACAATAATGGTAGCGGAATTAAACAAAATAATCAAAAGAATATTTCCTTTTGTACAAATAAAAATATGTTCTTGCTAGAACCTGACTATTAATTCCAAACAAAAAGAGTTGAATCACAATATTAACTTGACAGTTGAATATGTCGTGGTCGTTCCAAAAATAGTCACTCTAAGGATGCTAACGTTTGTTATTTTATTTATCTAAATATAATGAAGGGGAAAGAAAGATTTTATTTTATTGTATATTTATTTGAAATGGATAAACTCAAAATATAGCGATTTTAAAAATTCTTTCACTCGTAGAAACATAGAAAGAACATTATCATCGAGTAATATAAAATATATTCGACTTTAGAAAATAGTATGTGAAGAATTAATGATTATATATATATATATATATATATATATATATATATATATATATATATATATATATATATAACTCTACGTCTCTATTAATAAAACTAAAATGTCCTATGAACCTATTGACAGAATGAGCGATAGTTAACTATTAGAGGGTTACTAAAATATTGCTAATAACAGCCATGTTATATTTTATTATAGTATTTCTTTGCTAGTGTCTTTTAAATAAGTAATTTAACGTAAGAGAAAACGCGTCAATAGTTAAAATAGGCTTTTGAGACATTTGCGATTTTAAATATAAATTAAAATGCTGCCTACCTAAACGGAGTTCAATAAAACACTATCTAAGTAATCAAATATTGTTGCTATTGTATCATTTATTTGTAATTTTTTATGTCTAAATCTATAGATATTATAACAAAATGTCAATTACTTTTATTTTAAATATTAAACGCTACAGAAAATGGTTTGAATATTTTGTGGGTTACTTTTAAATTAAATTGCAATAAGTCGATACTGAAACTAAAACCTTTTGCATTCTCAAAATGCAATACCAGCGTCAATATGTCTCCACCTGGCTCCGTATTGTTCTGATAGATGCATATTAGTATAATTTTTCAATATAGTCTATTGTAAACCGATCCCAATTATAACTTAAACACTACCTGTTATTTAATGAGTGCATTGTAAAATTGTCATTGGTAATATATTGAATTAATATTGATGTAGGATTGATAGTAGGGTTCATCTTTTAAATAAATTTAATCAATAATTAAAAAAAAAACAATAATTATTTTACTACAAAACAAATAAATTTTTAAATTGTCCTTGTTAACAAACACTCTCTCGTCGCTGTCCCGTGCGCGGTATGCGCGCGCAGCCAACAATCACAAAGCGTCTGCGCGACCTGCGTGCGCATCTTGCGTGTGAGTCCCGTGACCAAGCGTCATGTTATCTAATATATAAAATTCTCGTGTCACGGTGTTTGTTACCAAACTCCTCCGAAACGGCTTCACCGATTTTCATGAAATTTTGTGTGCATATTCGATAGGTCTGAGAATCGGCCAACATCTATTTTTTATACCCCTCAATGATAAAGGTGACCCACCCCTAAAAAATTTTTTTTTATGTTTTTGACAATTTTTTTTTATTTTAATTTTAATATGAATTAGCATTGAAAAATACATACGACTTTAAATTTTCATCGTTTTACGATCAACCCCTGTATTTTAATCGTGATTTTTATATTTCGCAATAAGTGGTAAAACAACGTTTACGGGGTCAGCTAGTAAATATATATATACCAAAATGTTAGTTTGTCTGCTTGTTTTTAACTAATAAAAAATTCAATTAAATCATAAAAGTTGATATACATATATATAACAAACATTGGTGAGTATTATCTCACCACATCATGGTGCCGAAACCCGGGATATTAGATTGATATTAGATTCAAGAGTAGACTCGCTGTTTATCGCAAGTTTAACCTTTTTTTTTATGGTAAGACAGTTGATGTTTTTATGAATAAGGCTGTAATCTGTTTTAATTATTAAAGTGTTTATAATTTTCTTACTAATAGAGAGTTTAACATAAAAGAAAGAGATAAAACACGTTAATAGATAAAATAGGTTTATCAGACGTTTTTTTTCTGATTAAGGGGGAATAAATCTTTTTTTTTTTTCATCTCTTCCATTCATCTCGCAACGCTCTGTATCCAAACATTAGTAAATAATTAGTGTAATGGTGTATATAACAACGGATTAATAATATAATTGGAGTTAGTTATGCAAAAACACAGCCAAATATCATTTTGAACGGTTGATAATGGAATGGTAACCTCGCCTGCGCTGGTTTACACTGACGGGGCACCAGTTAGGGGTGATAGGTGAGGATGAAAGCAGATCAGTTAGTCTATCGTGATGAATTTTACCTGAATTAATTAAGATGGTTTCTAAGGGGAACCGCGTGGAGATCGATAGAGAGTCCATAAGCTACAGTGACCGTTTACCTTTAGAAGGGTTTTATGCTTATTTTCCACTTTTGTGGTATAAAAAATATGTTAAAAATGGAGCTGTCATATCTTCAGTGCTAACAATTCCTTTCCTCTAACTACATGGTCATATTAAAAAAAAAGTTCATAAATAATGGCTTGTTTTTGTATAACTAGCTACAGTTTCTATTTTATAGTGTAGTAATAACTTATAATTAATCTGTTCCTCTATACTCTACATCAGGGGTCTTTAAACTACGACCCGCGGGCCAAATTACCAGTGCCATCATTCCGACCCGCGACAGTTTAAGACTAGTGTCATCGATTCGTCCCCAGTCTCTAGCAATATAGTTAAGAGCAGACTTTTTTGCCATTAAAGCTGTTTTGACCTTTGGAATATAGTGGAAAAATCATGGCCCTAAGGCTTCAAAGTTTGGAGACCCCTGGTTTACTTAGTTAATTAGTAAAGTCTTACTGCCGCACTCAGAGTGATTTGATGATCACTTAAGTAACTCCTTTGTGTAAATTTAAAAAAAGCCCCTCTCAGACCGGTTAACCACTTAAGCATCTCGAACGAGATCCACTCGCGCATCAGATGTGTTCCGATTTGCGCTATGCCGAGAACCAGAGGGAGACTTTGTACAAAAGTCGATTGCTTGGGTACCTCTGTCCCATTCGTGTTTCAACCGTGGAGCAGTTGTGTTTACATGGCTGTGTTTCGGTTTGAAGGGTGGGATATGGCGTAAATTTACTGGGTACAGAGGAATAACACCTGAGTCCTCAGGAATGGCAACGCATGGGGTGTATCATGGGCGAAACACTATACTCTGTTATGTCCATAGCACTGCTCATGTCTATAGGCGACGGTTACCACTTTCCATCAGGTGGGCCGTCAGCTTGTTTGCCATTCTAAGTTGTATAAAAAAAAAAAAAAACCTCTCGCCACTTATAAATATTATGTTTATATTATTATCTGGAACGATACCTTCTTGCCCGTTTGTATTTTATACAGCTTAGTGTATATTTATTGTATGCTCGTTCGAATTTAGTGCGTGCGCCAGTGCGCCAGTTGACCTCGTTTCACAGAAAACCCTCGCATTAAGTGGTTAATAATCCATCGTTAATACGTCAATTAACAATTGTAATTATTATTAACTACTATCTGATTAATATTAATTTAATGAACATCTCTGAGTGCGGCAGTAAATGTATACTTTTATAGAATAAAAAATTAATCAACAATATACAGGGTGATGTCGAAATCGTTAACGGTGCATAAACATTGATAAAATTCTTATTTTTATGTTCTATATTCGATGGGTAGATATCCATGCTATATAGAATGTATTAGGACAGAAATTACGCAATTCAAAAATAAAATAATGTCAAATTATTTTGAGTTTCTCAGTTCTCACACTTATGGACTTAAATTTTGTTTGACGTTTTATTTTGACCATTGCTTCTTTAGTGGTGATAGTAATTCACAAAAAAACCGACTTCCAGTTCCACATAACCAGTTATTTTAATTAAAAAATTAAACTAGTGAACCGATTTTGATAAAATGTGCTTGGGACCAGTCTCTTAGTATGTACATTCTTACAGATAAAAAAGGAATTATCCAAATCGGTTTACTATAAGGTGACGAATATAAAAAAAAAAATGTAACCGAATTGGGAACCTTCTTTTCTTGAAGTCGGTTGAAAGTTGTCCAGTTTCGCAGGTAGAGCGCTCCCTTCAAACGACGCACACGATTTCGGTTTCATTCCGGTATATATAATATACTTACTTATATACTAAAAATTTCTTTCAGCCCATGCTTCACTAGCCACGCTTATTAAACATATTTCAACATAATCATTTGAGTATGCTCAATTTGGATCAGATCATATTTCATATAAATAAATAAATAAATACAAATACAAATGACTTTATTGTGGATCATAGGTTAAATTAAGGTATTACATGAGTTAAATAGTATCTCCATGCCCTGCTATATAAGCGTACAATATATGGAACAGTTAACGATATATAAAACATAACATTTAAAATTATACAGTGAAACAAAATATATTTATATGAGACATTATTTTTTACAAATGATGACTATTTATCTTTATCATTGATATATTCGTTTAGGCTATAATAACATTTATTTATTAACGTATCATGAAAGGTTCTTTTTAAAAACATTTACCTCAGTCAATCCTCGTATATGTTTTGGTAATTTATTATAAATTATTACAGCTTTACAAAATATATATTCATATTAAAGAAGCATCCTATTGATAATTCAAATATCTACTATTCCAACATGAGACACCATTTTTTAATTAATAAAAGAAAACTCTGTATTGTTCACTTCAAAGAATGATATAGGTTAAAAAGCCTGCAATAACAGTATACGCTGGGGGAAAAGGGATTGTTAGTAATGGAGACTAAGAATCCTATTGCTAGCAATATACCCAACCAGGTCGACCTCCTCGCGGTTCTCCTTAAAAACTATCATGGTTAATTCCTGATAAATTCATAATGATGGGCTAACTGGCCTGTTTTCATTCTCATCTATCACCCTTCACTGGTGCTCCGCCAGCGTATCCCGTTAGCGCAGGCGGGGTTACCATTTTCACCCAACAAAAAGAAAAACAGTTTGTGATATAAAAAAATGAACTGAAATCCTCTCCTTTCATGTTATTATTTATTTATTTATTACATAGTTATAACGTGCTTAATACATATTTTAGATACAAAATAGACTATAATTGCTTAATTTTATATAAATACTAAATTTAGTGTGTATTTAAATCCATATCTGCAGACCAACTTGAGCATACTCAGTTTACTAAATTGTACTGTGTATAGTGCAATTTTAGTAACCACTATTGTATTTAACGATCATTCCACGGAGTCGGCTTGAGCACGCTCAGAATTGTCCAGTAGTGTTGAGCGCAAGGTGTGTTTCTAGCAACAGCAGGTCCCGCGCGGCGGTCGACCGCACATGTGAGCCGCCCACCGTACACCGCACTCACACGCACAAGTAATGCTTACCACCACTCACTACTAACTGGCTGTTGGCATATTGATTTAGTAAAGGCAAAGGAATTATCTTATGCAGTTTTTTTATATCTAAAGCTATATTTTATATCAAATATCTAAAGCTACAAAAAATTATTAATAAATAAATAAATATCGAGCCTTCTATATATGAAAAAAGATAAAAAAAAATCAAGAAGAAAGGTGTTCATTTAAGTATATTATTAAATTAATTGGAATTGTGTATCTCATATGAAGAAATCTCATATCTTTGACGATTATTTAGCAGCTTCTTATGTCATTTCTCCAATCATTGTCAATCAAACTGACATTGCTTTCCCGCCATAATTTACTTTGTGTGACAAATGTTGTATTTGAAATTGACAGCGTCTATATCTGTTGCTTTCCGGAGCGTGGCAACGTCGCAAATATCTGTAAATTTTCTAAAACAACTGAATATTATTCAATGTTTCGAATCGAACTAAGACGTTAATCGTAGAACACGTTGTATATAAATGTAACATTAAATTTTTTGCATTTACTTCATATTTTGCTTTGGAGTTTTTCAAATATAGTTTTGCTAGTAAAATACAAATTTTCAGTGTCAACCTTATAAGAATATTATTGCATTATTGATGTTTTAATTCGCTAGAAGAGAACTTTTTAAGCAATCAGAAATATTGATAAAAGTTCAATTATTTTTGAAAATTGACAAATAAAGGCGATGTTGCCACACTTGGATAAACTAAAATTACAAGCGCTCTTAAGTTAGTACGGGCCTCATATCGTTCTAGTATAGGAAGGCTCGATATTTTTGTTGTTTTTCAACCGACGTTTCTTGGGTGGGCTTGTGGCGGTTATTTCGTTTTGATAGACCATTATGAGTGTTTTTACGAAAATATTAAACGTGTGAATTACCTGTAATTTTTCAAAAACACTATTTTCTCTTTGTTACTCGAATATCTTTATGCCAATAGTCAAGTTTCGCATGTTATCATACATTTCTATCATACTATTTTTTTTTCTTTTCTGCTATTAATATTGCATGACTTTTGGTGACTTCTGAATAATAGTAATATGTGGAGGTACTGCAGATTAAATAAATATTTAATTTTGAAATAAAAACAATTTGTTTACTATTTATTAAAAATATATTCGCACCCTTAGTGAAATATTGTCCTAACTCAAAATTTTCTTAAATACCCATCTAAATGTAATTGGTCAAACGTGATTTGAACTCAGCGGCTGAGTTACATAAATAATCTTTTTTGTGTGTGTGTGTTTTTTTTAGTTTAATTTGTAAAATTATATACGAGTTAAATGACTTTGTATGTTTATCGTGTTTCTTATATGAAATATACACAACAGTATGTTTTCTTGCGAGATTGTCATACTTTTTAATAAGGACAATATTTTACCCAGGGTTTGATTTATCAATGTTTGTCTTTATGTAAGCCTATGTATTTATTTACACCCATTTTGTTTAATTTTCATAGCAACCGCAGTACAGGCCGGGTGGTGGCGCGGCTCGGCCATCTGCGCAGTCGCAACAGTTTGACGACGTTTCAAATTATGACTTCCTCTAGATAAGTATTTAGTTTTAAGTATGTTATAGGTATAATTTACATTTGTATTTTAGTCACTGCCCTTACATGAACTTTGTATTGGCACAAGAATTATTATTATATTATATTGATCACATACCTAAATTGTTTAGTGTTTATATGTGACAGTTATCTCACTTTACCTTTTTTTTATATGTATGTTTTACGGCTCTGGAAACAGGTATTTTTGAGCCTCTTCTTTAAAGTTCGAAATGTCGAATCTTAGCTCTTATATATTGACAGGTATACGGACAGCGTTGCCAGAATCGAATTTAAAATATTTTTTTCCTTTAAAAGTTGTCACTATTTTCATTACTGTTAACGAGTCATAAATCTTTGTCGGATATTAGTACTTTTTTTTAACGAACGACAAAACAAGGGCGCCGTCCGCTGTTTTTTTTTTCTTTTATTACTATTTTCATTGGTATATTCTATGGATACACTGCTATACAGTTATTTCTCCGAAAATTTCTTTCCAACAATTTTCTTTCTCTAAAATTTTACTTTTGAGAATCGACGAAATGAAATATTTTTTTCCCAAAATTGAATAAAAAATTTCCAATCTGGTAACACTGTTCATATAGCTTGCTTGTCATTTCAAGTTTATTTGAAATATTTTATACAAAGTCGTGTATATGGTTAGTTCTGTCCTACTCGGATTTCTACCGCTAAGCAGCTGTGCTGGCATAGTTATGTTTCAGTTTGTAGGACGAGATCCGGCAGTGAAATAATTGATAATGGAAAAAAACCTAATCTTTATGATTAGTAATACACGAGATGTATTAGATACCAATGGTATTCTGTTATGTCTATGGTACTTTACATATCTATGGCAACAATCAGTACGTTTGCCATTCCTATTCGTGCAAAAGCAACAAAAATATTTAACTACAAATAGGCAACGTTTATTTAATGTACTATTTGTTTAGTAAATATTTAAAAACTGTGAAAGGAATGGCGAAAAGTTGAAAATAATTAGACAAATATATGGGCTGCATCGAGCCCCAGATTCTTCCCAATGGAAGACTTTTGATAAGTCTATTAGCAAGACAATAATAATAATTTTGTAATATTTTATTTTTTTTATCATATCATTATAATTTATGTTTTATTCAGTTTTAAATTATTATCAAAATTTTATAATATACTATAATATGTGATGTATAAATATAACATTTGAAATTCAGTGATAGTATTGTTGAAATCGAACAACTCATCTACAAGGAATAGCTTCTAATAATAAAATAATGTTTGAACTTTTCATAGTAAGCTGATCACGTATCTCATTGAACAACTTTTCAAGCATACATTGTGATACAATTTGATATTTTTCATAATCCGGTACGAAGGATCAAATTTTGTTAGCAATATCTAGTCCGGCTATATCTACAATTGTGGTTAATTCCAAGTGAATTCCATCACCGTGGTCCAACTGATCATCATCATCATTATTTTCATCTATTAACTCTTTGGTGCCCTGCATTGCCCTTATTGTAACAATAGCGCAAGCAGGGTTACCATTCTATTTTCATCTCACTAAAAAGACTTTTCATTTTTATCACAGATCTTTTTCCACATTTTTGTAGAAAGTTGTTCAGTTTTATAAATACTACCTCTGTATGTAACGACATTATCTTACTAGCCCATTTTGTACTGTATAAATTGATATTATGTAAATAGGCACTGTACCTATACTATATTGTGAGATGTGAAATGAAATGAGACTATGTGAATAATAGTGTTGTTATATTTTGTACAAATTATAATAAAGTCTGAATTTTACTATAAGAAAACCGATTTTTTAATTATATCTATTTCTACACCAGATTAGTTACAGATAATGAACTGTTTAGGGACATCGTGTAGTCCCGGTATACAATAGATCACTCCTTCCTTTCCTGCAGATGTCGTCAGAGTCGAATAAGTTCCCTTATTAATCCCTTAATGGTAGAGGGACGAGCAGCAGCCTCTTAAAACATAACTACGGTTACCAACCTGCCTGCCAAGCTTGGCAACTACTAGTTAAACTCCCTTCATAGAAAGGCTTATGTTCAGCAGTGGACAGTTAACGGCTGAAATGACTACACAGTGGACTGCGCAAAAGACAATACTTAGCGTAGAATTATTAGACAACTAGCTTTTACTCATGACTTCGCCCGCATGATAATATGTTTACTGATCGGGAGAAAAAGTAGCCTCTCCCCCATTATTGTACATACATATATATCAAATTTCATAGTGGTTTAGGCGCTAAGAGATAATAAAGAATTATTTATACTTTCAGGTTCATATTAGTACCTAAAGATTACTTTTATACCAAACATTTTTTGTTAAGTGGTCAATAAAAAATAAATAAATAAATAGTAATAATTCAGTACAACTAAATAGTTTCGGGGTAGTCTCTCATATGAAAATTTAAAATGGAAATGAAATAAAACAAAAAATATCTTGGAAAATATCTCCTTATATGTTATATAAGTATGCGTTTTCAATTAAGTAAACATTATGTAACAATACAAATATAGTCTAACTTTATATCGGAAATATACAATTTGGTATAAAATCTGGCACTATACAGCAATTGCTACTCGCATAAAAAAATAACATAATATTGCAAATATGAATTTCGTGAATGTATATTTGACATATTTTAACACTAAAATTCTCTTAATCTCTCTTTCTTCAAAGTTTCATCACCTTTCATTCTATATCGATATTTGTATTTTTATCTTTTATTTATAGAAATATTAAAATAAAATAAAACTTATTTTTTTTTTGTATTTACTATTGTATCATAACAAATAACTTTTTGCAATCATTGCCAGTCTTTTAGAGCCGACGTACAATCAACGGGACAAAATGCAGGGCATTTTTAATGTCAATATTAACTTAGATATATTGCTAGTTGGGCAACCAATGCTAGCAAAATACCCTGTCAGATCTTCCACGCGGTCCCTTCTGGAAACCATCGTGGTTATTTCCAGGCAATTTCGTCACGGACTTACTTCATCTTTACTGGTACTAGAGTATAGCTATTGGTATACGTTAACGAACGAACGAACGTTATAAAGTTCGTTCGTTAACGTTGACTTTACCATTCCACTTTCATACTTTAAAAATCTGTCAAATATACTTTCCGATAATATTATACAACCGCTTATAAATACAGTGTTAAACATTATTATGTTTTTGGAGTTTTTTTAGATCTATGTAGGTATAAAAATCTTATCTAAATTTATATATCAAGGTATTTTTAATCTAATTTAATAAATAATTTGTTTGACAAATTGTTCTATATCTAACTTATATACGCTACGTAATATTTTGTCTTTTCATTATCAATCAAAACCACAGCAGTACATATTAGGGGCACGTTGTGACATAGGCGATAAGGAAATATCGCTTTTAAGTATCTATTTCCAAAGCTACAATTATTTACAATAATTTTTTCTTGTAAATATATTTCATTCACGAGTCATGAGATATTTCTCCAGTTTCTTGAAATAGGCGTATTTAATAGCAAATTTGAAAATGCCATTAAAGAGTCAACTCTATCGTTCAATCTCCATTCAACATTTTCCTTTTATTTACAACAATATAAATTGCCATCTTTTATTAATCTACTTGTTAGTAGTTACATAATAGATTATGTTATTTACCAACACCTACACTCATAAACCATCTATTTTAAAAATCCGACCAAAAAAACATCTCGCCATATTGGGAATATTGGCAGAACTATTTTTCTGAATTGGCAACACCAAATGCAGTATTCCATAGGTTCGTTTGTATATTTTACAGTCATAAATACATATTTAGAATATTTCAAAAGTTCACAATATTGGTAAAATCAATCTCCACATATTTTATACTGTAATAGATTCCTTCGAGCCTGTTTATTTATTTTTATTTTTTTGGTCGGTCTTTAAGTTTCATAGTCGCATTCCTTTCCCACCTCTTATATTCTGATTGATATATCCCAAATACCTTATATTTTAATTAATTTTTGATATGACTAATACATTTAAAAAAATCAAATAAATTCATTGAATTATATTATGGAATTCCGCTTAATATACATTTTAATTTGGCTACAAAAATAAAATTTTATATACAATTGTTGTAAATGCGAGCAAAAGTCTCTTCCTTACAGCTGTACAGCAAATTTTTAATATTTATTAAAAAATAAATTGTTATTTTTTTCGTCAAACCTCGATATGCTAGCCTTACAATGGGCTCTAGAAACATATTACAGAATCAACACCAGTCCTAATTTTGCTGGAGTATTATTAAAGAATACGAATTTATGTCATTTTCATAATTCCAGTTAATTAATTATAAAAGTATTGAAATATTTCCTAATATTTCGATATGTTTGTCACAGTGTATTGCATCCAATCAGTAGTCCAACTTCTAAAAGGAACACATCCTTAATTCAAGTTACTTTTAAAAAGAAAAAAGCTTTTCCTGATAGTATTTATTCATAATTTGATTCCATAATAATTTAATTATGGTTGAAAGTATTTTTGTGCAACAAAATCCTAAGCTATATCAATTTAATATAATCAGGCACCATACAATACTACATATACAATACGTAGCAATAACAAGAATCGACATTTTGTTTAAAATTGTTTTTTTTTTCTTATTTGCATACATACTTGTACTATCTTATTTATATAGTACATTCCCTTTTTCATAAAAAAAAAATATCTTCTACAAATCTAACCATTACACTGTTTTGTCGCTTATTTTTAAATTGGAAATCTAGTGTTAAAAAGACAAAACAGGTCAATAGCTAAAATAAATTTATGACACGTATCCATAAATAAGGGGGTTAGAGTATATTTTAAATATTTAGCTTATGTTTTTATTCTCTATGATTATAGGCGTATTTACAAAGGGGAACGATGGGCTGTGCTTACTCCAGGATGAGAAACCTTTGCAAAGTTGTCTGAGAGTACGTATGCGCCTTTGTAAGAAGTCAGGCCTCTCGCGAAATATGCCAATGCCTATGACAAACTCGTATAATGCAAGTGTACTAATTAATTGAAAATGTTAAATCTAATTATTGCTACGGTACTGCAATACTATCGTTATCATCACACTAGGTCCCTTACGGAGCAAGCAGTAACCTCTGTCTTTCTTCGCAGCTCTAGATTCGTTCATTTTATTTTATACTACTTAGAATGGCAAACAAGCTGACGGCTCACTTGATGAAAAGTGGTAACCGTCGCATATAGACGTGAGCAGTACCGTGGACATAACAGAGTATACTGTTTCGCCCATGATACCCCCTATGCGTTGCCATTCCTGAGCGCTCAGGTGTTATTCCTCTGTACCCAGTAAATTCCCGCCATATCCCACTCTTCTAACCGAAACACAGCCTTGCAAACACAACTGTGTCACGGTTGAAACTCGAATGGGACAGAGGTACCCAAGCAATCGACTTTTGTACAAAGTCTCCCTCCCTCTCCCACTTTCATAATTCGACCCCATCATGATCAACAGATCCAAAGAATTCATTTGGAAAATATATAAGATCTGACCATTAGGCTGTTTTAAGTCTCCACTCGTCTTCACATCCTTTCTTTGCCTATATTACCAGAAATTTATATTGTTAATAAATTTAAACTTAAAAAGCTTAAATTGGCCAGATATTATCAATGATGTACAGTGATAATGAATTGTTACGCTCTCTTTGTTAGAGCTTTATGTTTAAAATATTATAAAATATTTCGTAATTAAACAGTTTTCAACATAATAAATGCATTTTTATCACTAACAATTTGAATACAAAGAAAATTATATAAATTTTAATCTAATAAATGTTCTTGTAAAAAATTTACTTTTAATAAATAAATAATATAGTTAAATAATAATAATAATAAGATAGAGGGCAAAAGAGGAAGAGGAAGACCGAGGATTAACTACATGGGACAGATAAAGGAAACACTAGGCGTCATGTCGTATAGGGAGATAAAGGATATGGCCTGGGATAGAGCTGGCTGGAGGAAGATGCATGAATTAGTTGCACCGACAAGAGGAAACTCTTAAATGAAAATGAATGAAAATAGTTAAATAATAAATTAATATTTATGATTGCTTATTTGGTAGAAAAGTATTCTGACAAGGGAATATTAAATGATGTACGTGTACGAGTATAGATACCGGAAAGCAATTTCTGTTCTTTGGGGCTTGCGATTTTATTTAAACTACCAACTTTATGTTGTAAATAGCATCCTGCTATTTACAACATAAAGTTGGTAGTTTAAATAAAATCGCAGCAATAAAACATATATGTATTTGAGATACAAAATAATAAGTTTAGTGAGAAATACGAGACATGTCCCATAAAAATCTGACATAGAACAAACTTATAAATAATACATTGTTTTTAAAAACCTCAGTGCCAACAGCCAGTATTAACACTCCAACACTTTATACCGCGGCTTTGTACGTATGAACCAGCACGTTATGTATCCAATGTACTAAATTAGAACATAACCTATCCGGGGCGGAAAGGGATTGTTGGTAATGGAGACTGAGAATCCCATTGCTAGCAATATACACAACCAGGTCGACCTGCTCGCGGTTCCCTCTGGAAACTATCATGGTTCATTCCTGATTTATTCATCATGATGAGCTAACTGGCCTGTTTTCATTCTCATCTATCACCCCTCACTGGTGCTCCGCCAGCACATCCCGTTAGCGCAGGCGGGGTTACCATATCATTTTCACCCATAAAAAACGCTGGCGGAGCACCAGTGAAGGGTGATCGATGAGAATAAAAACAGACCAGTTAGCCCATCATGATGAATTCACCAGGAATTAACAATGATAGTTTCCAGGGTGAACCGCGAGGAGGTCGACCTGATTGGGTATATTGCTAGCAATGTGATTCTTAGTCTTCATTACTAACAATCCCTTCCTTCCTAAGCAGGCTTTTATATGCTACTTTTTTTCTTATATTAATTATGGCGAATAATATTTCAATGGTTCACCATCGATGTCTTGTAAATGTCAAGGACGCTGTGATGCAAAGCGCCAAACACCCCCTGGAGAAGACTTCCAGATCAAGTCGAAACAATTGTCGGAAACGTCAAGAACACAGTGAGTTCGTTAATTTCCCGTTACATATGTCAGACATCGTTAAAAAATAAACATAAGTTTTGGAAAAAAAAATTGCAATTTCGGAATAATAAATTAATATCATTTGTACATAACTTTAAAACAGCCGAAACTTTCTTATATATCATATATAATTTTATATTAATTATTAAATGCATATAATTAAACTTATATAAATGTGTATATACCATTATATTTAAATAGACTAAAAAATTAGAAACAATGTTGCAAAAATAATAAAAAAATCATTTATCAATTGTTATTATCCAGGTTAAAATATGCATACATAATAATTTTCATAATATATTCAAATTTTGAATCATAAATACGTACATTTAGATAATACAATAATTGTTTCTTTTGTTATAAATAAAAAGCCGAATAAAACATGTTTACTGACTCTTTGTTTTTCGTTCTGAAATATAAACTGATTGACTATAGCTGTATGGGTTTAATTCATTCGCCTTATCAATAATCTAATCTTAAAGGAAGGCATCGTAACAATATATTTATTATTATGTTTAGTTATTGCTAATGCTTGCATTATTTATATTTGTCATTTGTAGCCATTAACGCGTTGTCATTATACTACATATATATACATAAATATATACTTTATAGGTTATATGATATAAAAAAAATCATTCGCATAAACCTCTCGTTTCGCCATACATCGTACATTACTGTATGTGTAGGCATTGTCATAATTAAAACGATACATTTGTACAGCAACTTGTTCTACTATTCTACCAATAACTACCGTGATTTAGTAGAAAACAAAAGGCGGCAACCGCCATTTTGTACGAAAACTCACTACATTTTGTTTACAGCATGTCCTATTCAGTCTCATTTGTTATGTTGGAATTGGTGCACGTTTATGATACTTTAGCTTTGTCACTGTCACACTTATCACTTTTGCCATCTTGCATCTCTTTCACTGTACTGTTGTGACACTTTCCGTTCGCGACGGGTTTGTCCTGTGCAACCTTTTTTTTCTTCTTCGGCAGCTCCCAGACGCGCTCAGTTAGTGCCAGTAATATGTTACCGGGAAGTCTTTGATGTTCCTCTATTAAGTTCTCTATTGAACTCGCGACCTAAGTAAAAAAACAGAAAGACTTTAATAACAAATTTTTTTTAACGCCTCGAGCGTTTATGCATCATACGCTGTACCCAATAAAAATGTAGTACCGCGCGCTAATGTAACAGCGTCTGTTGCATAACTCGAATTTGCAGCGTCGTTTTCATTAAATTTATGTAAGTCATTAATTTATATAGGTAATAAACCCATTTATCCGGGGGGAAAGGGATTGTTAGCAATGAGTTTGACAGTCCCATTGGTAGCAATATGTCCTATCAGGTCGACCTCCACGTGGTTCCCCTGGAAACCATCGTGAACAATTCTTGTTGAATTCGTCACGATGGGCCAACTGACCTGCTTCATGCTCACCTATCATCCTTCCCTGGTGCCCCGCCAGCGTATCTTGATAGCGCAGGCGGGGTTACCATTTCATTATCACCCATTAAAAAAACCCATCTATCCATAACCTCTGATCGAAATTTGGTAATTTCAAAAATCGGTCACGCAGTGGGTGTGACGAGCTAGCCTAGAGCCGATCGCTCCACGGGTTAATACTGATTAATGGTGCATACAGTATAATCGACAAATAATCAATTATAATTAAGATACAATCGATTGAGTAATTAATGATTATTGATTGATCCAAGAATCGAGAGTATTGCTAGATTATTATATTATAAATCAATAAATTAATCAATTACATCATTTACATTACTGTGGGTGAATTAGCGAAGCACATATGCATTACGAGCTTCATAGGTGATAATGAAATAGTAACCCCAGCCGCGCTATCGGTATACGCTGATATCCTGGTGCCCAGGGAAGGATGATAGACGAGGATGGTCAGTTAGCCCATCGTGACGAATTCAACAAGAATTGTTCACGATGGTTTCCAGGGGGAACCACGTGGAGGTTGACTTAATAGGGCATATTGCTAGCAATGGGGCTGTCAAACTCCTTTACTAACAATCCCTTCCCCCCATGCATTACGAGCTATGCCCCGAGCGTGACATAGACGCTCGCAAGCGTGTTTTTATAATACCATATACAATATATTTTTTGGAAAATATATTCAAGGCCATGATGTGAGTCCCGACATGGAATAGGCCACCCCTTCCTTTCCCGTCGGTGTTAAAAGAGGCGACTATTGACAAAACTCCGCTTATGGGAAAGGCTTATGTTCAGTAGTGGACAGTTACCGGCTAAAATGTTGATCATGTTCGTTGCCATGCCAACAGGGTGTTTCTTAAATATGATTTATTAAAAATCTTTTGTTATACTTATATATTCAAGATACGACTTCATCTTAAACGATATGTAGATAGATAGATAGATAGATACTCTTTATTGTTTCCTCCAAAAGATTACAACAGTAAACTTATTATAGATATAAATAATTACAAGAAATAATCACAATGAGAAAACAATGGGCGACCTTATCGCTAAGAGCGATCTCTTCCAGGCAACCTTTGTTAAACCAATTAAATAATTACGTGAGGCATTTTGGGCGATTTTCCGACCTCCCCCCCCCCCCCCCTCTTTCACCGTGGTGATATGTTGCTAGATTTAGCTCAACCCTCTCCCCTAGATCCCAATCTCACGTGAGTTTTTTCAAAATGTATATTTTTAGGAAATGCGTTGGATTTATTACAAAAATAAACATAATTTAAGACTAGTTGTGTATTTAAGGTTGCTTAGAATGGGGTTAGAATCACTGTGAGATAATTGAACAATAGAATAGATAAATGAGAACTACTAAAATTCATAAATTTAGCCAAGACATACCCTTACATACCCTTGTGAGACTGGACGAGATTGGACTCAACCACCCCCACCTCTAAACGCCTCACGTAATAAACGGATGGGTCCTCTAAGAAGCTAACAACGCTATAGAATTATGTTAGAAATCTCATGAATTAAAAAAAAATAATCAAAACCACAAAATATGAGTCTCTTACTAACTTAACAGCAATTTTTTTTTATTTTCTATTCATATTTCTGTAATGAAAATGTTAAATTTCATTGATAGAGTATTCCGTTATAAAGTAAAAATTGGTTCTTAAAAATTTTAATTTAATTCAGGTTATGGAATGAGTTCTCTGCCGAGGTTTTCCCAAAAGACTACAGCATTCTTCAAAAGGGGGAGGTAAAGAGGTTTCTTCAGGGTCGGCAACGCGCGCGTAATACCTCTGGTATTGCAGGTGTTCATAGACTACGGTAACCACTTACCATCAGGTGGGCCGAATGCTTGATTGCCACCTTAGTGGTATAAAAAAAAATAGATAAATTAATGTTTACCTTGCGCTGCAACTGTTCAGGCGTGAGCGTGGGGTCGTACATGATGGGCGGGCCGAGGTGTGTGATCAGCTTGACGGGGAAGCCTCCGTATACGGGCGTGAGGGGTACACGCGTGGCCGCGTATATGCGTAGGCACACGCTCCGCAACCATCCCACTGTCCGGAACGCTTCACGGACGTTTTGCGTGAACATCGGGATTATTGGCTGCCGGTCAAAAAGTAAAAAAAATAATTTAAGATAGTGTGCCACAAATAAAAAGGGCTTCAATTGTGGAAAAACTAATTGTTTTGATTAAAAAACTGAACTACTGATTTTGATAAAATTTCTATAGGATCGATTTGTAAGTATACCCTTTCAGAAATATAAATCAAAATAGGTTTATAACTGACGAGAGTTATGTGTAACAAACATACAAAAAAAAAACGAATCAAGAAGGTTCTCACCTTTTTTTAAGTCGGTTGAGAGAGAGAGAGAGAGATAAATAATTATGCTTCCTGATTAGGTAATCAGAGGATTTGTCAAATTGCCGTTACCATGAACGCGAAACTCAAATATCCACAATTCGGCTTGCATATTAGAATCCAAAATAAAACTTACCACTTTAGCTTCCTGCGCGACCTTCGCGAACCCAATCCTGGACTTCCAGTGGAGTGCATAGCAGTGGTCACCAAATTGCGCTTCGTATACTCCCCCGGGCGATATAGCTAGAGAGTTCCCGGACTGGAGCAGGCTCGCGCACGTCTGTACCGTGCCAGGGATGACGCATAGACCTTCTAGAAGACTTGACCAACCTAGTAAAATAATATTTAATTATTTATTTTAGCGTAAAATTATATATATATATTTTTATACAACTTAGAATGGCAAACAAGCTGAGGGTCCACCTGATGGAAATTGGTAACCGTTGCCTATAAACATGAGCAGTACCATGGACATAACAGAGTATACTGTTTCGCCCATGATACCCCCCATGCGTCGCCATTCCTGAGGACTCAGGTGTTATTCCTCTGTACCCAGTAAATTCACGCCATATCCCATCCTTCAAACCGAAACGCAGCCATGCAAACACAACTGCTTTACGGTTGAAACACGAATGGAACAGAGGTACCCAAGCAAACGACTTTTGTACAAAGTCTCCCTCTGGTAATACTATATAGTATCCTTTAATTTTTAATGTGAAGAATGAAGTTGTTTCACTGTATGAATAATTTCGTGAAACCCACTTTAGGTATCTCTGATCTACCTACCCGTGCAAAGTCGGGGCGGATCGTTAGTTACCAATGAAACTCACCGGGTATCTTGAACAGGAATCTGTCGGCGACGGTGTGTATGTGCCTCTGTTTGAACAACAGCATCCTCGCGATGAAGTAGTACATGTCTATGGGCAGCGCACCGTGGTAGTATATCACCAGGAATGGTCCGTCCGGTATGTTCTCTAGGCCGCGAATTTCGTATCCTGAATGAACATTGACAGATGTTTATACTCGGGGTGGACGGTACATACCAATATCTTTATTGTTTCCTCCAAAAGATTACAATAGTAAACTTATTATAAAATAAATAATTACAAGAAATAATCACAATGAGAAAAATTTACTACACTAACCGAAAAATGGTTACAGTTTGGCCTAATTTCTAGGTTTTTCTTAAATGCCCATAATTTTCAAACTGCATGGGATAGATTTTTTTTCTGATTTTACTCATGATGTTTACAATCAAGCCTGTCACCCCGATTCGGCTTGACGTTGAGTTCTGGGACACCCTGTATATATATCTTGGATGATAATGGAATAGTAACCTCGCCTAACAGTATACGCTTGCGGGGCACCAGTGAAGGATGGTAGGTGAGAACGAAAAGGCAGGTCAATTAGCCCATCGTGATGAATACATCTGGAATTCAGCACGATGGTTTCCAGGGCGAAATCTATATATTAGCGTAATTAAATATTGATCACATCTAATATCATCATAACAACCCCCCCCCCCCCTATTGGAGGGGATTAGCCAGTAGTTCCCACACTTGACAGGCGGATTGGCAACAGCAGTTAGGCTTTGGTGATGTTTTAATAAAGACGCGAATTAACTCTCAAGTATTCTCTTGGGTATAGCTGAAGAGCTCCGATTGCATCCTGGGATGGGCATGGTCCACCCATTTAAGTACGTCTATATTTGTAGTCATATAAATTGAGGTATTTACGTCATCTGTTGCTATCAATGTCTATGTACATACTACTCACCATGCCAAAGCCATCCGTGCGCGTCCCACAGAGCGCACACTGCTATCCTCGCTTTCTGCTTCCAATCGTTTTGCACACCTGGCACCACCCGTAATCTATCATAGAAAAAAATAACATAATTCCAAGCAGTGTATTTTTTCAACCGATTTAAAAATAAGGTTCTCAATTCGATTGTATTTTTTTTGTTTTTTCCTCACAATTCCATAAGTAAGCTAATTTTAAAAATTCTTTTTTATCTGAAAGGATATATTTACAGATCGGTGTCATAAAAATTTTATCAAAATTGGTTCAGTGGTTTAGTTTTTAAATAAAAATAACTGGTTTTATCACAAATTACTACAGCATGGGGTTCTTCAAAAGGGGGGTAAGGAGCTTCCTTCAGGGTCGGCAAGGCACGCGTAATACCTCTGGTATTGCAGGCGTTCATAGGCTACAGTAACCACTTACCATTAGGTGGGCCGTATGCTTGATTACCATCTCAGTGGTATAAAAAAAAATGAAGTCGGATTTTTTGGGGGCATGATCTTTAATATTATCCCTTTATATAAACGAGCCCCCTAATTATAAGCAACTACATAAGAAAATAAAGGAAGCAGCGTCAGCGGCAGCGTATAAATATGTTTGGATTCGTAATTGTAAACTATTCGTCCGAAAAAACGACACATCACCAGCATTAAATATCACGGGCTACGAGGAGTTGAAGAAAATAAAGTGAACGTGTTATTATTTTTATCAATATTCTATAAAATTTACTTATACTGTAAAAATTTTCATTACTTATACTTTTATTATTGTACTGTACACAACAATTACATAGCAATATATATATTTTTACTATTGAAAACTACACAAGAAGTCTAATTTTGTGTTTCGTTTAGATACTTGTATTTTATTTTGTGCAAATTCTAGTGGCTACCAAATTACTCTTTGAGTATATAATTATGTATTATTTTAGCTGTTTGTTTGGCTTAAATAAATAAATAAATAAATTAGTTTACATACATAGTACATACCTGTAAAGTCTGTATATGTGGAAGATAATGCTGCTCATATATATCAGGATAATGATGACGGCTGGCAGCAGGAATGTGACGATGACGGGCGTCAGAAACCACGTCAGCCATAGACTGTACTCCGCGTCCACATACTCCACTGGAAACAAAGATAAATGTTAATTTCTTACAGTAATATTTTCTTCATCGTATCATATCAGCCGAGACGTCTACGTAACTCGGCGGGTTATACGAAATGAAGCGTATTATGAATAGTCTAAAGTGGCTATAAATGCTGGTACTGTGGCGTTCCTGCTTATAGGTGAGAACAGTATTCCATATGCGGCCTGACTTGAGCTTTATACAATTTCAGGCGGTGCTCCGATGTGAAATACAGTGTCACTCTATTGAGCACTCCTAACTTTTTAGAAGCTATCTTAGTTTTTTTTTATCTTAGTTTTTTAAAAGTATTTTATATACAGTGCACGGTATTAACATTTCAATTTTAAAGATCCGTTTCTTCCAAAGGAAAAAACGGAACACTTATAGGATCATTTCGTTGCTCGTCCGTCCGTCCGTGTGTCAAGACCTTTTTTCTTAGGAACGCGTGGAGGTATCAAGTTGAAATTAATATCATATATTCAGGTTTGTAATCTCTTAAAGCAGTAAAAAAGTCAAGCTTCTAAATCAACGCAATCAAAAGTTACGGCCGTTTATGTTCCATTTATATTGCATATTTTGACATTCGCAAAGGGAATTAAAACCTATAGGGTATTTCCCGTTAACCTAAAATCATGAATTTTGACAAGAAGCAGTGTCATATAGCACAAGTAAAGGAACAAAATTAGATAACCGCAAATTTGTAGTTATTTAAAAAAAAATCTTAAAGATTTTGTACGGAAGCATCGTTATGCGAGCCCGACTCACACTTGACCGGCTTTTTATATCTAAAAGCAAAACAAAACTAACAAAAAAATATGTTTAAAACTAATTAAACGAAAAAAAAAGATTATAAAAATAAAAATATAAACAAAATTTTATCACTGTTCCGATATGCAAGTGATACGAGCTAATGAAAAATTAAAAACAACGGAATAGACACAATAACCATATCGTTTGAATCCAGATCGTTCCACTGGTATGACAAGTTCATACAAGTTCATTACATCAATACATAACTTGACAAATTATCAAAAGCTTCAATAACATAATTAATACTGTTTATCATAAAAAAAAAAATACAATTGTGGTGAAAATTAAACTAATGAACTAATTATAAATATAAATAAATAAAATTAAAAGTAATGGGACCCATTACTGATAATCCCTTTCCCCCCACCACAGCAGCTTTGTGGAACAAACACAACTGAGACAGTTGTTTCGTTAATGGAATGGTAACCCCGCTATACGAGTATACCAGTCACAGATCAGTTGGGCCATCTCGACGAATTCAACAAGAATTAACCACGATGGTTTCCAGGAGGAACCACGAGGAGATTGACCTGATAGGGTATTGCTAGCAATAGGGCTGTGAGAACCCATTATATAGGTTTCTAGGGGGAGCCGCGTGGAGGTAGTCTTGATAGGTATCATCATTTCAGCCATTATCCGTCCATTGCTGGACATAAGCCTGACAGGTATACTACTAGTAAAATACTCTTAGATCCCATTATTAAAGATCTCCTTCTTCCCAGAGGTGGTATTACAAAAGGTGTTGGTTTATTTTATAAAACTTAGAATAACAAACAAGCTGAAGGCTCACCTGATGGAAAGTGGTAACAATCGTTTATAGACATGAGCAGTACCATGAACATAACACAGTATACTGTTTTGCCCATGATACTCTCTATGCGTTGCTTTTCCTGAGGACTCAGGTGTTATTCCTCTGTACCCTGTAAATTCACTGCCATATCCACCTTTCAAACAGAAACACAGCCATACAAACACAACTGCTTCATACTAGAAACACGAAAGGGACAGAGGTGCCAAGCAAACGACTTTTTTACAAAGTCTCTGGTAAGTTTTAACCGGACTTGAAGGAGAAGGTAAATCCCCAAGAGAAGCACGTGCAATCGGACGGAGTTCACTTGTTATTGTTTTTTTATCGTTCATCCGGGTACTTTGTACATGTGGGTAACATTTGATGCAGCCAGGTCACCTGCGATATCGACAGCAGTAGCACGCCTCATGCACTTGATAGCCATTAAATTTATCTTATTGTGTCAAAACAATTGACTCGCACATTATTTTTTTTACGATAAACTATTTATATACCTGGCTGTTGTGACAGTAATATTTGCAATATAAACAATATTAATGATGTCCAAAATCTGTACTTATAATAAATCTGTAGAGAGGTCAATTCTGTACATGAAATATATTTCCAGAATAACCAGCAGGGGGTGAATAATGATCGATACTGATGCTAAAAATGCAATCAGTAAAATTTTTGTCTGTCCGTCTGTATGTATATACGAAACTTTGTACAATTATTTTTCATACTTCTTGGCAGGTCATAGTATATTTTACATCACGCTACGATCAATAGGAGCAGAGCAGTGAAGGGAAATGTTGGGAAAACGGGAGAAGGTACTCCATTTTTAAGCTTCCGTCGCGTGTGCAGCCTTAATGGCCACTTTATATAAATGTAAAAATGTCCACCCGTGCGACGCCGGGACGGGCCGCTAGTGCTAAATAATGTTATAAATGGGAAAGTGATTTTCCGCTTGACCGTGACGCTTTCACGTCTAAACCGCTGGATCGATTATGATGAATTTTGGTATAGAGATAGATGTGTGACGTGGGTATGTAGTGGTTAGAAGCTACTTTTTCTTGCGAAAAACTTATAGGAGGTGGGGAGAGGTAAAGGTAATTTTTGTATGAAACTTTTTATTACGTTCTCGGATTTACTTTAAACTTTACAGAATTACTGTTTAGGAATTCATGATTTAGGAATAGATACATTTTTATTTTTCAAACTATACCTTAAAAGGGGATGGGTTTCGTTCTGTAACTTTTTTCTCTAACTATGCCAACAATCAGAATTGTTGACCAAAATCGATATTAACACAAGCAAAGCTGCGGGTTAGAAAAGTTAGTTACAAAAAATTTTAAAAATATTTTTTGCTGTTGGTTCCAATCTTTTCCTTTTTAAGAACCATCCTCAGACTTCAACGAATATTAAAAAAAAAAATAGCCGTCTTGGTATAACAGTTCTCGAATTTAGTGTTCTAAACACTATTTTTATTTATATAAATACATAAAAGGCAAACGTTTTTTATGCATGAATATGAATTTCTAAACCAAATATAAACCTTAAAACAATGGACTCAACCAATGTCAATCAAAATAACATTTATATTTAATCCATAATTGACTTTGTATCACAAAAATATAAATTTTTGAATGAGACCCAAGTAGTTACTAGGGAGAGACTTCAAAAAGGTTATAAGGTTGCAAGGTTATATCTACTTCTGTTCTATTCATGTCTCTGTTGTTAAACAGGTGTGCTTGCTAAACAGTTTTTTAGTTTGAAGGGCAATCTAGCATCTACTAGTCCGGCTTCAAGATAGTGGATAAGTGGGCTTCTAGCACATATCGAGGAAGCCTGAGAAATGAGTGCACTACAGTACTTAATGCATCACATTTTTATCAACGCGGTACTTGGAGGTGGAAGAAAAGAGTTCCAAGTGAGTTTTAACCAGTAGGAAGCCAGCAATATCTTTTTGTCTTTCCCCGAGATTTCTGAGACTTCATGTTGAATTACGTCACTTAAAAAAAAGCAAAGTAAAGACTGGACAGCAATTCTTCACAGTACATTCAAATGGGTACACATATAAATACCTAAATCTAAAAGTTTAAAGACCAGGCCCTCTGTCTGCTGATAGCTGATAGCCGAGACAGCGCACCATTAACCTTCGCATCATATCTACGGGATAGTCACAAAAATACATAAATGTCTGCGATGGTACTCGAGTTGTTATAACTTGATGAACGTAAATAATTTACGCGACAGTATTTTTGATAAAAACGGAACTTATCAATTGCAAAAAAATATCCAAATCGATTTATATTTGGCGAAAACATCGCGTGCTGTGCACATAAGAAATATTTAGTTAGGTCGTTAACCTCCTAGTAATATATTTTTATATAAAATAATAATAATCAATCCCGTGTGGTCCCAACATAGAATAGACCACCCCTTCTCGTGGGTGTCGTAAGAGGCGACTAAGGGAGGGAGAGGGATGGGCAGCAGCGTCCCTCTTAAAACATTTCCAAAGCCAAATTGCGATTGCCAAGCGTACCAAGTACTGGCAAACCCCTCCCTAGGGGGAGGCTTATGTTAAGCAGTGGACAATTAAGGGCTGATATGATGATAATAACGATGATTTTAGATATGTAGATCAAATAACACAGCATCTAATAATTTCATTACTACTCCAATATTCCATAAAACCGGAACAGCATGTAAGAAAGCTTCTTGGCAAAATCAACTTATCTCGTTGAAACTGTCTCATACAGAATATAGAAACCGTGAATCAAGACGCGAGCGTAGAATGCAGGGAGATTAGATTCAGGCTTAGAAAAGTCAAATGTAGGTAATACACACATATTGCATCTTAAACAAAACTTTATCCCAGATTTTGAGTAGAGAATGGGAAAAATATAGAATCTTTTGTGACAAATCACTTATTCTCAGGTTTTAGTTACATGTATTTTAAACTACATATCTATAAATATCACATAAATCGTATAAACTCTGACATTACAGTAAACTTCAACTACGAAATTGAGTAAACCACAATTTTTTTTAAAATCATGCTTTGGAGGTCATGTTCACCGTCATCTGATAAACAATGTCAGAGGCCTTAATTTACAATGCAGGTACTATTGTCACAGAACGCCACTCTCACACGAATGTTATCTGAAGATGATATTCTCCTGTACCCGGTTATCTTTATGTGATTTCGAAATACACTGCTCTAAATAAGCTTCACATTGTTATTGTTTTTTATCTGGTATCCGGTTCGATTATCGTGCACGTCTAATGAACATTTGATGCAAAACAAACGACCTCTCGGACAAAGCACGCACGGGCATCACGCATCGGCCACGAGTTTTGGTTTTATCTTCAGTTCTTCAGGGTTATGGTTAACCTTT